CCCCGTCAGCGACAAGTCTCACCACTAATTAATCACTCGGGCGAAGCGCTCATTCTTTCATCTCTTCTTCCGTTGCTCTGCTGAATTTCTAGACCTCTGTCACTCCTTCTTTGGTCTCTTGCAACCAGTCGATCTCTGTCCTTTGCTTTCCAACCCCCGCCGTCCTCTTGTTGCATTCCACTTCTAATCTGAAACACACGCTCTTTGTCCTCCCCCCTGATCTGGCCTTGGCACTGTATTACTACTATTACTATTCACTGGGATCAGCCGTCAAGAGATACCCATACCAGCACAGTCAGTCAGTGTCAGTCTCCTGGAGCAGCCGAGGAGGAAACAGGGCGCTACTGCAACCTGGGACCTCGCGCATCACACACTCTCTTTTACCGTCGAAGCACACCTATCGGTTCGCTCTCGGGGGTTCCTTGCCGCTGGTAGATTGTTGGTTCTGCAAGAGGATGCAGAACCTCTGAATTTCGTTCATTAAAAAGAACCCTGTGCTCTTGCCTCTCCTTCACACTTGTCGACAGCGTCGACTAGTTTTATCTCGGATTCCTTGCTTTGTCCTTGAATTGTCCTGGTTGCGACGCCGCCCGGCTGGCCCGAGCAAGTCGTGATCACTCACTGCCCTCAGAAACAAGAACCACTCGTTCTCTTGTCGCAGCGCGTCTCACCGACCGATCTTTCTCTCGTGACTTCGTTTTGATACCTGGCAGGTCCAGTCGCATATTATCATAATGGGTTGCTGCGGAGATCGAGAAAAGGGACCGGTGTCGGTGGAAGAAAGATGGGAATACATTGTATGCTCGCCTCAGAGATAAGATCTGAACAGCTCGTGTTGTGCTACCTATCCACCCCCACGATCGCTCGCTGACTCTGCATGGCTTTTCTAGAACCTCGACGATTTCAAGTCGAATTCCTGCCTCGCCCCGTTTTCCTATTTCTTCCTCTATGTCTTCCTTCTCGTCTCCATCGCCGTCTATGCGGTCGACTCCTTCACTGCCGTCAACCTGCTCGTGTTTTCCCGATGGGCCGGTCAGATCAAACCTGCCATCCCTTTCCGGATCTCGCGGTGGATTTTTGCCATCTGCATCATCATTTCCTTCGTGCTGTTATTCATTCGCTGGATGCGTGCGATCCGCTCCATTCGCTCGGGCAGCATTGCTCAAAGTTACCTCGACCCCTTAGCCGTCCGTGTGCAATGTATTCGGCCGGGCAAACGTGGTCGCGGATGGAGAAGGTTCCTTGTTTTCGCCGAATTGACCAAGAGTAAACAGGGCGCGGAGTACGTCGCGCTGTTCGCATACTTCTCCTTCAACTGTAAGACCTGCGCGGATACGTCGGGAAGACGGGCCTTGCACGCTTTTGCTAACACTTCTATAGCCTGGTTGAACGTTATTTTTGCCGACGGGCCTCGCCAAGTCGTCAACGCCATTACTTTGTACTCCGTCATGAAACTGGATCTGCTTCCCGGGGGTGCAGATGCGACATCCAAAAGCTCGTCTTCGATTTTGCAGTTCTTCGACAACATCAAGATTCTCGCCGAAGAAAATGACGAGCAAGCCTTGGTCCTGTTCGGCATGCTCTTCACCCTCATCATCTGGGTCTTCTCTGTCCTCAAACTCGCCTTGGCCATCATCCTGTATCTTATCTTTTTGTTTCACCATATACCTTCGGAAGATGGTAGCATTAAAGCCTATTGCCGCCGCAAGATCAACACCCGCCTCAAGAGGATCGTCAGGCAAAAGGTGGACAAGGCCCTTAACAAGGGAGTGGCTCTGCAGACTCGCAAGACCAAAGACCCTATTCCGGATGCGATGGACCGCAAACCCACCCTGCCCAACTTCGGCGACTCAGACATGAATAAAATGCCGAACGTGTCTCTGTCCCGAACGACCACCCAGACGACTCTGCCTCCCTACTCGCGTCCGGGAACCGCCGCGCCGGATCAGCGATCTCTCCACAAGCAGGCAACGCTGCCAGATATTTCCTTGGCGGACGAAAAGCCACCCCTCTCGCGAACTATCACCCAGTCATCGGCCTATTCCGAGTCTGCTTCGTTGACCGGCCATGCGGCCACCATGGGATATAGCCCCCTCGATCGTCAGCAGACCTCTACCGCACCTCCGGTCCCATCGCTGCCCAGCAACAGTCACCCCCCTCCGGTCCGGTCTCATACACCACTAGCAAGACCCCCGACCACCGCGCCCCGGGCCACACCCGCTCCACAGGCAATGGGAGATCCAATGTCAGGCTCTATGGCAGGTCCAATGGGAGGGCAGATGGGAGCACCGATGGGAGCACAGATTGGAGCACAAATGGGAGGTCCAAGGGGCGGACCAGCTCGCAGGCCCCCTCATCCGGCCTACCGAGGCTCCAACGACGAGTACGACGAGTACGAATCATACCATGCACACCAACCGTCACTAGATTCCCAGGCGCCCTCGGAGTACTCATCCTATCGACCCTATACCCCGGCGAATGACCCGTATTCGCGTTCGTTGACCCATACGATGGACACTCCAGCAGCCAACGGTGACTATCCCGTGAGATCATATACCCCGCTCAGCAGCGGCACGCCGCAACCGCCGAGCATCATTGCTGGAATGGCCAACGGATATCCAGTTCGATCCCACTCCCCTCTAAGTCAAAGTGGTACGCCTCGACCACCCACGCGCCTCGACTCTCCTGTTAACCAGAGAGGAACACCTCGCCCTCCAATGCGTACGAACTCGCCTAGCCAGGGTGGAATGGCTAATCCGCCAATGCGCGTCGGCTCTCCGGCTAACCAGAATGGAATGCCTCGTCCTCCCATGCGTGTTGACTCGCCGGCTAACCAGACCGCAATGTCTCGTCCTCCCATGCGTGTTGACTCGCCGGCCAACCAGAATGGAATGCCTCGTCCTCCCATGCGTGTTGACTCGCCGGCTAACCAGGACGGAATACCTCACGCACCAGTACGCGCCAACACCTTCGACAACGAGCAGCCTCCAAGGTCATTCACTCCCATGGGCCCTCCTCGATCCCAGACGGTTCCGATCCCAGCTCATGATCAGTATCCTGGTCGATCGTATACCCCCGCCAGTCGAAGCGAGTCCCGTCAGCAAACGAGAAGCCCCCCCGTTAACAGCAACACACCGGGACCTGCGCCGCCGGCGGGCGGGTATATGGCCTTTGACCCTTCTATGGTAAACCGATCTGGTACGCCGGAAGTCCGCTCCCAGACACCAGCCTCGGCTACTCGACTGTACAATGCTCCGCGGGTTGCGTCCCCATCGAATGAGTCGAGTCACGGTGCGCCGCAGTTCCGCGCGTACAATCCGGAGGGAACCTCGCCGTACTAGGACAACAGCGCAGTCGTCTGGCTTGGTTATTTTTTTTTTTTTGAGCACCAAACCAAAGTATGAAGCCGAATATGCCGAACATAGGGTTGGAAAAGTAGCAGCGGGTTTCTGTGATGGTTTTCCAAGGTTTGATTTTAATTGGTGATGATGGATTGGGGATTTTCTTTCTAATCTTAACGATACGATTCTACTAAATCCGGATGGCGATGTTATCCCTTGATACCCGACGACGCGCAATCCTAGCGAAGATGTCATTCATTTCATATGAGAATCTATTATATTCAATGGATGCTGTTCACATGCGACCCTGTCTCCGTAGAAGACTGGTATTCCCCTGTAGCTACTAAGCCAACATATCCTTTGAATACGCAAATCAAAAAAGTGCATGTCAACTTTCACAAGCATGGAATTGTTGACAGTTCCGTTGAAACGGCGTGGCCAGGATCCGACCGTGGGTAGTCCTAAAAAAATGCTTCTCATAAGTCATCCTGAGCGTAACATCCAGACAATCGCTGACCCTCGGTTTCGAGAACCCATCCTCATAAGCTCCTAGATGAGTAGTTTGACGGCGTAAGAGATAGCCATATTGACGATGCTGCATAAAGACTTGTGCTACTGGCACTAGTTAAGGTGCTGTCCATTGACTCGTCGCGGATATCAAGGAGGATATGGGTTCAGAATAGTAAGTGTCTGGGTACTCTGCCTCTTCTTTCAATTGCAACCACATGCATCAAGTGTCGGCCATCTGTACGCGGATTGAGAATGAATCTATAATCAATCCGTCTTAGCAATAAATCAATAGAGTGAGATGAAGATCTCGGATTTGTGGAATTCCATCGAGGCAAGTTGTTGGCAAAAAGGCGGTCTGGGGTGTTTGTCGTAACTCCCGGTCGCAGCCCACGCCGACCTTATGCAGGACGCTGCACGAAGCGATCTGACATTTTGAACCCCTGCGACTAGGGGCGCAGAACTACTACTGTGCGATAGAGATGGTCTGAATACGATTTACACCGGTCTTGATCTCAGGGGTCCTGCTGGCGTTAACCTGTTGGAACTGATCAAGATGATTGCTTCGCCTGTTCCCTCCACGCCCTTTGACCACTCCCGAAAGGACAGTCTGCGTTGCCAGCCTTCCTTTACAGATAACGAAGAGAGCAGCAGACGATCGTCGAACAGAAGCGTCCAGGAGAATGCCGGTACAAATGAAGAGCACGCACTGAACGGCCAGGTCAACGGGACGGGCAACCGCGCGGTGGCGATGACCCAGCGAGAGGGAATACGGCAGTTGCGTGGAATCGAAACGGAAACCTCCGATCTGCATGTCCCCAAACATCGAACCGAGAACGAGAAAATCAGTGGTGCAGGGCCCAGCAGGATGAACGCGGTGGGAGAGGGTTCTGGAACGTCGTCGCTGTCGCCGACGGGGACACATACACACGGGCAGGAGAATGAGGATGGGCCTGACTCCCGGTTGGGTTCGGTTATTGAATCTCAAGGGAAGACCAACGAGGGTGGTACGCGAGCCGTCCTTGAGGAGAGGACGAATGGACTAAAGAGCGGTCAGTCCGCCCCATTATTGCCAGAGCAGGGTCTCGGCATCGTTCTTGAGCACTCTTCCAAACCAGGCGTGGACGGTTCGAGCAGTACATCGGTGGTAGACGTTCTGGATGGTCCGGGAATCAGTGCTGCATTGCGGTCTCTCGCTTCACAAGACGTCTCGCCGCGCAGTTTGCAGGAGGGTGATCAGGTCTTGAAGTTGTCTCTGGCAAAACCACAGGAGCCGGTCTCATCGCCCGAATCCAATGTACCCCAGCCAGCAATGCCAGAAAGCAACCAGCATCGACGGTCAGTGCCGGAAACTGTCGAAAGGCAATCGGGGCAGTCAAGTGCAGACCTGCGACAGCAGCGCCAACAGCATCAGCCTCCTTTAGACGAGGCCAAGGGCTTAGAAGCGTCCAAGGTGCGACCGAACAAGGAGCCGCCTCATCTCGATGATGCACTGGAATTCACGAGCCCATTCCCATCCAAGATAGCAAATGGGCCCCGAACAAGACCACATGCTTCACGCACCATTTCTACACCGACTTCGTCGCACCGACAAATGCCTACGTTTACCAACGAGCGGTTGGCATCCACCTGGTCGTCGAGATGGAAGCCGGATCGTCCTTCCATCTCTCGCATTGACGCTGATCCCAAAATTAATCATCCTACTCCATCAGCGCCGCCGCTGGCTGAGCCGCTATCATCTTCTATCCCTCCCGGGATTCCTCTCCCGCCCCTTTCCATCCCTACGTATCTGCAACTCGAGCTTGCCTCGGGTCGACCGTCTCCATTGTATATTTACCGCTCAAGTGCGAGCGATTTTCCTTACGAGTCGTCGCGGGTGAAGCTCGAACGCTTGATGAATTTCTTGATGATACCCCCGGTGTTGGAGCAAGTACTCTGGTTTGGGGCCCTGGCGTGTCTGGACTCGTGGCTCTATTCGTTTACAATCCTCCCTTTGCGCTTTATCAAAGCTCTCTATATTCTTATTACCTCTTGGGTCGCAAATATGGGCTTCGAAATTCAGTCTATATCGGGCTTTGTCGTCAAGGGTGTTGGGAGAGTGTGGCGCAGACGATCTAAGGGATCCTTCTCTGCCGAGACTTCTACAGAGGCTGGAACAAGATCTCGAAATCCCTCTAGTGGATCCATCAAACCGCTGGAGACGTTACCGGCGGATCGAGATGTGAACTCGAAGCCAATGGAATCCACGAAGCGTCACCGGCGCTCGGAGACGCGCAAACACCGCCGACAAAAGTCGATCCCATCTGCGCTCCTACCGGAAGACAAGGCCGATATCCTCAAAGGCCTGCTCATGATCTTCACATGTTGTGTGTTGATGTTCTTCGATGCCAGCCGGATGTACCATTGGATCCGTGGACAGGCCGCGATCAAGCTATACGTGATCTACAACGTGCTGGAAGTGAGCGACCGGCTATTTGCAGCGATCGGTCAGGATGTGTTAGAGTGTCTCTTCTCCCGTGAGGCGCTGGAACGCAAGCCTGACGGCCGCAGCAAGGTCTCCCGTCCTTTCTGTCTCTTCCTGTTGGCGCTGGTCTACACGGTGGTCCATTCGACCGCCCTATTTTACCAGGTGATGACGCTAAACGTCGCTGTGAACTCGTACTCGAACGCGCTGATCACATTGCTCTTGTCGAACCAGTTCGTGGAGATCAAATCGACCGTGTTCAAGAAATTCGAAAAGGAGAACCTCTTTCAGCTCACGTGCGCGGACGTGGTCGAGCGCTTCCAGCTATGGCTAATGCTAACTATCATCGCGTCGCGCAACATCGTCGAGACAGGGACCTTCAATTTCTTCGGCAGCCTGGGCTCGCTGGGTCTCGGCGGCGGCAGCAGCGCATGGACTGGCAGCACCAACAGCACCCCCTTATCCACCCCGCCGCGTACAGCGGCATCCATCCTCCCACAGGCGTTCACCATGTTCCCGACCTACTTGTTTTCTTCGGTCAGCAGTGGTGCGAACTCCTTCCTGCCGACAGTGGCGCAGGTGCTAGGCCCGTTCCTGGTGGTGCTGGGTTCGGAGATGCTGGTCGACTGGCTAAAGCATGCGTACATTGGCAAGTTCAACAACACGCGGCCCAAGATTTACGGCCGCTTCCTTGATATCCTGGCCAAGGACTATTACACAAACGCCTTTGCAGACCAGAACTTGACGCGCCGGCTGGGCCTGCCGGTCATCCCACTTTCGTGTCTTTTCTTCCGCGTCTCGGTACAGACGTACCAGATGTTCTTGGCCGCGTGGCTCCCGCAACCTCCTTCATCCTCCTCATCGTCTTTCTCGTCAGTTTCCGTTGCAGCGACTACGCTAGCCACGATCCAAAGCAACCGCCACTCGTCAGTCGCGCTACCGTCTGCAACCCCGCTGACACTGTCGACGGTGATCCCAGCATCCATGGCGCATGTGAATTCCTTCCTACGCACGATGCTGGCGAACGCGATCCCCTCCCCCGCGCAGTCGGTACGGATTTTCACCGTCCTGTTGATCTTGACCGGGTTCGTGATTCTATTGATCCTGAAACTACTGCTCGGCATGGTCCTGCTGGCGTTTGCTCGATCTCGGTACCGCGCCATGAAAGAGACAGAGACCAGCCTTCCGCCAACGAGCACCCCACAACCAACATCTCAACTGACCAGCACGGCCCCGCGTCGCGAGTACGTCGTCGAGGGCAGCCGGCGGGTGGGTGGATGGGGCGTGGTGGAAGTCAACGAAGACAAGCGGCGGTGGATCTACTCGGACGATGCAGAGGGTCTGCGGCGCCTGAAGGAGAAGGAGGAACGGGACAAGAGCGGCAAGGAGGGAGTGAACATGGAGCTGGTGTCGCGGTATGAGATGGTGGCCAAGCGGATTTGGTAATATACATTCAGTCTACATAGTCTACAACACAGTCTACAACAGTCTAATGGTTTATATTCATCTATCTACAAGTGCTTGTGCAAGAAATCAATAACAACCCGATACCCCCTTTCGTATTCCTTGCGCGGTTCCTCTTCATCAAGCTGAGCTCTGCATAAATTAGCAAAAAAAAGAAAGAAAGAAAGAAAGAAAGACAGAAAGAGGTCCTCTTACCGGCCCGACATCCAGCCATGAATCTGGTTAAAGGTCTCGACATGTTTCTCCTGCACCGCGAGATTCAGCCCATAAGCCTGCACGAGGGCGGCATCTTCATCCTTGGAAGCGAGCATCATGCTCGGCACGGTGACGGTCTTGGCCTCGTCCGGGTTTACCATCGCAGGGGAGGTCTGCACGCCCACATCGAGCGGGGAATCCACCCCCTTGCTCGTCAACAGGGACACCATCTTGCCACCCCAGCAGTATCCGATGCCCGCCCAGCGAGTGATGGAAGCATACTCTGGCGCGGTTTTGAAAGCGGTGACTGTCGAGGTAACGCGCTCCCAGGTCTCGGGGGCCGTGATGCGAGCTCGGAACGCGGCGAGTTTCTCCTTCACCTCCTCTGATTGAGGGGGGATCACCCACTCGGGTTCTACATAGTTGGATACTAGTAGGTCGGGAACAAGAACTAGGTACGGTCCTCCGGAGGCGAGGATGTCGGCACCTTGCACCGTCTGCGGTGTATACCCGAATACATCGTAGATGAAGATGATTGCCTTGGTTGCCGTTGGGGGACCAGTGACATCTATTACTTAGCTTTGACGCCTTTTTTCTTTTAGTTTTTCATGGAAAGAAAGGAAGTACATGTTTTCATTCCATTAAAGTCAATGTATTTGCCCTTGGCGACGTACTCGCCCACCACGGCGAGCGGGGCGGTGCAGCATGCTTTGGAGTATTCGGACATGATGGGGGAGATTTGAGGAAATCGAATAGAAGGTATTGACTGAATGATGAGAAGAGAAACGTGTAAAGAAACTGTTTTATATCTGGCAGCATTCTACATCCCGCTTTTATCTATAAAGCGCAATCCCGGTCCAGGCCCGGAACCGGCTTCGTGCCCGGTTTTGCTGGAGACCGAGAAAGTGGTTAGTCTGACTGAGTATTGGGAAGTGGAATAATTGTAGGTGTTTAGAGAATTTATGTAATATCGATTGGGTGCGCATTAACTGATGGTAGTAGTTATATTAATGCAGGCGGAATTAAGACTATACTACATGGCAGCCCACGCCATCCAAGCTCCATTGTTTTTCTGCTCACTCCTAAGTCTGTCTGCTCGGCAATTTGTCAAACACGTATCTGAAGATCTCGCGGCTCTTGTACAGATTCTCGACCCGCAGCCGCTCGTTGGCCAAGTGGGCATTGTCACTCGCCTGTCCGCAGGGGAGGTTCGCGGCCGGGGCCGAGAACTCCTTTTCCAGGAACCGGATGGTGGGGATGGACCCTCCCTCACGGATATAAATCGGTTTGACCACACGCGCGGTCGGGGCCGATGTGACTTGCTCCGGGGTTGGTGCCGGTGATGGGGATACCGAGGGAGAAGGAGAAGAAGCCCGCGAAGCCCGCTCCGGGAGGACGACGGCGAGGGTCTTCTTGGCTAGTGTCGACGAGGTCGGCACAATCGTGTTCGCAGCGGATCTCTTGCCCTCGACACCGTTGGCCGTTGATGTTGTCGAGGTGATGACCCGGTCAATATGTGATGCTAGACTGTCTGAGGAGTCCTTGCGGACGAGCTGCTCCCCCCGCGGGCCAGCGGGCGCGGGACGTGTGGCCGTCCCCACGGCCACTGGAAGGTAGTGCCTGTACCTCCGGGACTGGGCGTCGGGCGTCCACGCGGCAGAGATGGCCTCGGACAGGGTGGCAAAGATCTCGTTGTTGGGGTCGCCGAGCCACGGCTCGGATTTCCCGGTGATCTCCACGGTGAGGTCGTTTTGCGATTCAAAGCTGGCAAACTGCTCTTGCACGTAAGCCGTCAGGTTGGCCGCCACCTCGTCGGGCTCCTGGTTAGGGACGATGCGGATGGAAATAGTGGCCTTGGCCTTCTGGGAGATGGTGGTGGTTGCGCTCTTGTTGCCAGGCACTTCGACCGAGTGGATGGTGAGTGCCGGTTCGCGCCAACGGTGCATGAGCGACCGGATCAGAGCCTCGGGGCTCGTGATCTCCGGGTGATGCGGAAGAATCGCGTCGGCAATGGCGGAATAGCGTTCCTGTTCCTCCTCGGTCAGAGCCAGAACCGGGGCCTGGAATCCCGGAAGGTTGATCTTGCCCTTGGGGCCCACAAGGGTGGCCAGCAGCATGGACAGGTCCTTGAGCGGCTCATCTAGCAACGCGCTGCCGTCGATACCACTGTGGAGGTCCGGGTGATCGCTCGTCACGACCAGATTTGCATGGACGACACCCCGCAGGCCGTAGGTCAGGCAGGGATTGAAGTCGTCGAGCCAGTAGCTGTTGGCCAGCAGAATCCAGTCTACCGGCCCGATCTCCGCCTTGTGCCGGCGCACGGTCTCGTGGAACCCCTGGGACCCGGATTCCTCTTCGCCCTCAATCAGGAACACGACGTCGCACTGCAACGTCTTGGTGCGGGCCAGGTCTGCCGCTGCGTAGAGAGCGGCAAGAATGGGGCCCTTGTTATCCGTCACGCCACGACCATACAGGAAGCCGTTGAGAGAGGTGAGCTGGTGAGGGTCTGTCTTCCACTGGGCGCGATTGCTGTGTGCGTTGACCACATCGTAGTGACCGTAAAAGAGGATGGTCTTACCCACTGGCTGCGGCGAAGTTGCATGGAAACGGGCATAAACGATCGGATTGGTATCGGGACCAGTCGTTAGCAGCGTGGTCTTGGCTCCAAGATAATTGCAATGGCGTCGCAGGAAAGCTGCGCCCTGGTTGCATTCTCCGGCGAATTTGGGACTCGACGAGACGGTCTTGAACGCGATGAATTTGGCCAGAGAATTCACCATTTCATCTGATAATCAGTCTATGGTCGAGCGAAAAAATAAACGAAAAAAAAAAACCCCTACCACCTACCATTACTGATTGGCGCCAGTTCTTGATGGGCTGAAGAAACCTCGGTAAGATCCCAGATACCGACCGTGTTGTCGTTACCTCCTGTGGCATAAATCATTCGATCTTTATACCGACCGGCGGCCGAGGCCAACATGGTCCCCTCGTGGGCAACCCAGCTGCCCACTTCTTCAAAGCGCGAGTTGAATTTCTAGGTTGCGTTAGCGGGTATAGATAGTTACAGCACAAAGCAGAGGATGGATTAAATACCTTGACAATTCCGTTGGAGTCGCCACACACGGCGACCGAGCGGATGATATCAACAGCCCACAAGTCGCCGATATGCTTGGTGATGCGTTTGACCAGCTGGTAGGAGTCAAGGTTCCAAATGTTGAGAGCACCCCCAACTAGACCGCAGTACAGAAAGGAGCCGTCCACAGCGATGGACAACACAGGGTCCCCATTCTGCAGTTTGGCCATCTGGGTGGGCACAGAGTTTGTCTGCTGGGCCAAATGCCACAGCTTGACAACACCGTCCCCGGAACCTGTCAGTAGGACTTCTTCCAAGGGTGCTGATTCCACCAGACCGGCAACCAGGCGCATCGAGTACACGTATCCATGGTGGGAAAAGAGCTTGTGGTGATCCCGCTTGAACGTCAGCAGCTGACCACCCTCGGTGATGGCCTGGGCATCGTCTGAATTAGAATCCGATCGAGGTGCTCTCTTCCCGTCTGGGCCACGGGAATCGAAGAAGCGATGGGTACGCCTCGACGGGTGATGAGGCCCCGCCGAGGTCGTCGCCGACGCGGTAGACGAGCCTGAGAGGTCGCACCACTGAATACTGGTGTTCTGGCCACCACAGTAGACGGTGTCTCTAGTAGACGAATAGACGACGGCAAAGATATCGCCGACATCATGGTGCGAATAGATGGAGTAGAGCCGTTCAAAGGTAGTCGTCGACCATACCTGGTTCATCAGAAAAGAAGCCACAAAATAGCTCAGATCCAGCTAGAGAATCAACGCACATTGACAACGGAATCCCCTCCGCTAGAAAACAGAAGACGACCATCATCCGACAGATACAAGCCAAGAACACTTTCCTGGTGTGCGTGGATTGACAGAACCAGATCGTACGTCTCGAGCGACCACGCCTGATAAATTAGCAACCGACAACAAACAAGCAGTCAATCTAGTAATCCGAGATGATCAAGAATCCACCTACGAGAATATCGCCTCCCTGTAGCCCTGCATACACATACTCGTCGTCAAGGACCAAGGCGAGCACCGAGCGACTGGCTCGGACACGGTGGCCGATGCCACAGTTGACTTGAGGGGCAGGCGTGGCCAGCAGCGCAGCCTGCGGATCAGTCTCCCAAGCCTTCGTCTGATGGTCAACCTCCAACATACTGTCCGTGTCGACTGTGGTGTCCATTGGTGAGCTCTCTCTTCTTCCAGCCAATGACTCACTTTTTTTGTCGTTTGGGGTGGAGGAAGTTGGAATTGTGCGGATGTGGCGGTGCGACCGGGGAAACTTACCATTATGATTAGGATTAGTAGTATCTTGACCGGGAGCCAAATCTGCTCTATCTTTATCTTTACCCATCTGGTTCAGATACAGCGGTCTATCGTGGTTAACAATGGCTTCCTCTTCGAATTCCGAGCTTCGAATTTTGAATATTAGCAGAGAATCGATCTACCTCTCGTCCCATATCAGTCTGGCGGCCAAGAGAGCCCTGTCGGGCACTGTGAGTATTTTACTGCTCATCGCGAAGGGTCGATCATCGCAATGTCATCGATGCAGGAATGATGGGATGCAGGAGGCAAGGAGACAGATATAAAGAACAAACGAAGTATCAAGTGACACAGTCCAGGTACAGATAAGCAATATAGTTAACCAGTCAAATACAGATGAGGGACAGACGATCGCTGGCATAACGTGTCTGTGCAGGGAGATGGCGACAATTGGCGGTCTACAGAGTACGGAGTACGGGGTACCCCTGGTTACGAGTACAGGGAGAACTAACTGCCAGGGGATGCATCACTATACAGGGGAGACAAACGAGCCAGAAGTTTCGAGATGTAGTAGAAAGTACGGATACTCCATACTCTGTAGTGAAATGATCCGGTTCTTTTAGACTCACAGCTGATGTTGCACTACCTGACTGTTGTTAGACTGATGCCTGACACTCTACGGTGTAGTTACTTTGCGCTACATATGCCTCCACGCTTAATTTCCTAGGAAGAAAAAATAGCCGAGGGGGTTTGGTAAAAGTAAATACCTCCTGTATTGAGTATTTTCCCCTTTTTTTCTCTCTGGTTGGTATTCTTTAGCTCACTGCTCTGTCGCGTGACACCATGTGACTTGATATCAGGAGAGCGACTGCGCCACAGTGGCGTGGGCATGGGTCAGGTCTAGAGGCATGGGAAGTGCCACATCAGGCAGGAACGGAAACGCCAGGTGCAATGATCTCTGCCTGCGCCACACTTCGGCCCTGCGCCTGCCTAAACAGAACCAAACCAGCCAAACCAGCCAAACAGCGCAGTCCACGATGCCGGTCGACAGCAGCTTTAGCAGCTCCTCCCAGGAGGGCGCTTCCTTTGCAACCCAATCGACCAGACCAAGAGCTCTTCCGGTTCGCTGCATCGTGTTTTACCCCGTTTTCCCTGGGGGCATCGCCCTGTTATGAGTAGCTTTTAATGCTGTCCTGGCCCCGTTGCTTCCCAGCCACCCCGACCGTCTGTTCTTGCTCTGCCAACACATGGGTGTGTGTGTGTACTGCTCTGCCGAATCCACCCGCGGCAGATAAAGGCGTTTGCTCCCCTTGGGGACTGAGCGTACACAGTGCTTTTACTCTGGATTCTTTTTCTTTCTCTACGGTCTTTGTGACGTCTGGACAAACGCTCGAACCGTCGCGTTGCTGAGTACTTATACTCTCGCTGCTGCGGGGATCCGGACTCCATAATAAATAACTACTATTTCCCGCCCCGCCACCATCTATCTATAGCCGTCACACCGCCGATCTGGAATCCGGCAGACGCATGGTCTTCCTCGTGTGAGGGACGGTCTGGTCAACTCTTGTTCTTGACTAGGAGAAGTGTTATATGAGGAATTGAAGGGGGAACATACAATACAATCGAACCAGATCATCCAGCCACGATGCCATTGGGCCAGACGATTGCTGTCATCGACAAGTCTGGCAAGGTCGTCAGCACGGTAGGCAGGGCGCCATGTCGATTCTGATGGTCTGTATGACGAGCTGACCCCGTCTCGGTGCGATTGCAGGGAAAGAACCTGTTTGGCGTCTTCCAGGAGGCCAAAAATGCCTACCAGGAGCGTAAGGCCGTGATCCAGTCCGAGCGCAATGCAAAGATCGCAGAGATGCAGGCCTTGAAGGCGCTCGAGAACTATCACATCAACGAGAACTATCGCATTAACGAGGCCCCCCCGTCGGTTGCCTCCTCCCACCGCAGCCACCGCAGTCATCGCAGCCATCGGTCACAGCAACACCCACACAGCTCTGCGCGCAGTCGACATCCCGTGTATGATCACGATGTTCACACCGTTGTCTCGGAGGATTACCCCCCGAGCCAGCGCCAGCCGACAGAGATGGTTCGGCGCCACACCCACCACGACTTTACTGCGCAACAACCTGAGGTCTACGCCCGCCCGACGACGGCTCGATCTAGATCGGACGCTCACATCGATATGGACCTTGCTTACGGCGAGTACCACCAACCCACCAGCGCAGATGCCGGCGCCATTGCTCTGAGGGATGCCAGTGGAAATCCCTCGCCTCAGATTGAAGATCCAGAACTGAAGGGCCTCGTGTCTCGCACCGAATGGTTGCTTGAAGAGGCCCATTGTGTTCACCACAGCGCTACACAGACCATCGCCCACCTGCAGAAGAATCCAGAAGCTATGGCTGCAGTTGCGTTGACGCTGGCAGAAATTAGCAATGTAGCCAGCAAGCTAGCCCCATCAGCCTTGGGGGCTTTCAAAGCCGCTGCGCCTGCTGTCTTCTCCCTTTTAGCGAGCCCTCAGTTCCTCATCGCCGCCGGGGTCGGCATCGGTGTCACCATCGTAATGTTTGGCGGCTACAAGATCATCAAGCAGATGCAAGGCGCTACGAAAATGATCAACGGCGCCCCCGCCGCCCCCGCCCCTGCCCAGCAGCCACAATACCCGCCGGAAATGGCCGAGCCTCAGTGGCAGGAGGACCCCAACATCATGGAGGAGATCCTCGAAATCGATCCAGAACATTTGAGCTCCGTCGAAATGTGGCGCCGTGGCGTGGCGGATATCGAAGCTGTCAGTTTGGGTACCTCGGTTGACGGCGAGTTCATCACCCCGACGGCTGCGGCCATGTCCGGTATCGATGTGACCACTGCACGGATGACACGCGATCCCCGGTTCCGTTTTGATGATGACGACGGGGTGTCCGACACACGATCCCGGCGCTCACGTCGCTCGCGGACTTCGACTTCCAAGCCCCGGTCGCACTCTTCCTCTCGCGTCGATCGATCTGAGGCTCCTTCAAAATCGCCCCCCTCGGGCATATTCTCGCGGATCGGCTCCAAAGCATCATCAAAAGCTCCTTCCAAGGCATCTGGGAGCGGCAAGCGACCCCAGGAAAAAGTCAAACGATCCAGCCGACTGAAAATGATGTTCACTGCTTGAAATCGCAGAGCGCTATCTTTTTATTCATCTTAACTTCTCGGTCATGAATACTTCGGATATACATGGCGATACAGTTTGCATTTGTATACATGTACAGATTACATGCATGGGAAACAGACAGTCCCACGACTCAACTCATACGACTTTATGGTTTACCTTCAAATGATGGTTATGTATTCATGTCTTTGGTGTTTGAATATTTGGCGTCCGGTGACTGTTGAGGGCACACAAGTAACTATATATAACAGATAGAAAGCTTGAGCAATATCAGGCTATCGAAAAGAAATGACAAAACGATTTGAACTATGAAATTTCATGGAAATCCCTCATTTATGGAGTAACTCTCATTTCAAGCTTAAATCTACTGGGGGAAGACAAGAGCAAAGGAACCAGTACAACCTCAATATCCATAACACTGTCGACGAGCAGCCTTGAACACAGCCCATTTCCCCCGTACGACGTCTAGACGATAGTGCCTCTAATTTTTATTACATTCAATTCTATTACAGTCTGTTATTGTTTAATTGACGATATCGTCGTCTATAAAATGCCGAGGAATCCAGTCTAAAATGCCGGAGACTACGATGCGCATCTGTCTCTCCTCTTCAAACCACCCACTCCATCTCCTGCAATCATCATGCACGCCAGAAGGAAATATCGTACAGCAGTTGTCGAAACCATGCACGGCTAACACAGTACAGAAGATTCTCGGAGATTTTTCCAGAGTGACACAGACTTGAAAGCATCCGCACGGAGGTGGTAATAGTGTGAAGTCACGCAAGGACGGAGAAGTCCAGGATGGAAAGCAAAAAAAAGGGCATTATGGACTCCCTGTACGGAGGTACCACTGAGGAACCGAATATCTGGTGACGTTTCTGCCCCTTTGTACTGCATTGGCCAAGAATACCTCCTCCTAACTACCCTCTGTTGACTGGAATGTGGTCCACGCCCAGATGCTAGAGACGGCCCCTTGCTGAATCCACAGATCTCAATTTAACATGGTATAAAACGGACCCGGACCCTTTTTCTTTTTTCCATTTCGAATGGTAAATTCCTTCTGGAAGACACACACACACAAATAGAAAGAAAATGCACACTCTGTTGTGGACGGCGCTGGCAGCCAGCAGCCTCGCGCAGCAGGCGGCAGCGCTGGACTGGGCAACGGCCTACGACAAGGCCGAGGCAGCGCTCGCCCTGCTCAACCAGACAGAGAAGGCAGGGATAGTGACCGGCGTGACGTGGGAGGGCGGGCCCTGCGTGGGAAACACATACGCGCCGACCTCGATCCCGTATCCGTCGTTGTGTCTGCAGGACTCGCCGCTGGGCCCTCGATTCGTGTACCCCGTCACTGCGTTTCCCGCGGGGATCAACGCAGGCGCCACCTGGGATAAACAGCTGCTCCGTGCTCGAGGGGCGGCAATTGGCGCCGAGTCGAAAGGGTTGGGTATCCATGTCTCGTTGGGGCCGGTCGCTGGGCCCCTGGGGAAGAACCCCGGTGGCGGGCGGAACTGGGAGGGCTTCTCGAACGATCCGTTTCTCAGTGGGGTGGCTATGAGTGAGACTATCCAGGGTATCCAGGGTGAGGGGGTGCAAGCCGTTGCAAAGGTAAGCTTTTAGGTTTCCAATATGTGTGTGTGTGTATATGTGTATATGTATGTGTGGTTAATGATGCAGCACTATATCGGCAACGAGCAAGAACATAACCGCGAGACGATGAGTTCGAACATCGACGACCGGACCCTGCACGAACTGTACCTTTGGCCATTTGTGGACGCGGTCAAGGCGGACGTCGCCTCGGTGATGTGCTCGTACAACAAGGTCAACGAGACGTGGACGTGCGAGAACGACGAGCTGCTCAACCAGATCATGAAGACAGAGCTGGGCTTCCCCGGATACATCATGAGCGATTGGAACGCGCAGCACAGCACCGTCGCAAGTGCCAATTCAGGCCTCGACATGACCATGCCCGGCAGCGACTTTTCAGAGCCACGGGGTAACATTTTCTGGGGCGACTACCTCATCGAAGCAATCAACAATGGGTCCGTGCCCCAGACTCGCCTCGACGATATGGCCTTGCGCGTTCTGGCGGCTTGGTACCTCCTCGGCCAGGACGAGGGATACCCGGCCGTCCAGTTCAACTCGTGGGAGTCCAGCGATCACGGTGGACATGCCGCCGTCGACGTGACGGGGGACCACAGCAAGCTGGCGCGGACCCTCGCGCGGGACTCGATCGTGTTGCTCAAGAACGACGGGGTGCTGCCTCTGGCCAGTCCCGCCAGTCTGGCGATCATTGGCTCCGATGCGATCGTGAACCCGGCGGGACCGAACAATTGTTCCGATCGAGGATGCGACGTCGGGACCCTAGCAATGGGCTGGGGCAGTGGAACCGATCAATTTCCCTACCTCATTGGCCCCCTTGATGCCATCCAAGAGCAAGCCTCGGCAGACGGCACCCGCGTCGTGACGAGCACGACCGACGAGACAGGGCCGGCAGCCAGTGCGGCTGCGGGTGCCGATATTGCCATCGTCTTCATCAACTCGGACTCCGGCGAGGCCTTTATAACGGTGGAGGGTAACGAAGGGGACCGCAACACCCTGGACCCATGGCACAACGGCAACGGTCTAGTCCAGGCCGTGGCTGGCGCCAACAAAAAGACCATCGTGGTCGTGCACAGCGTCGGGCCCATTATCCTCGAAACCATCCTGGCGCAACCGAATGTGGTGGCTATCGTCTGGGCTGGCCTGCCTGGCCAGGAGAGCGGCAACGCCCTCGTCGATGTGCTGTACGGTTCTGTCTCCCCGAGCGGGAAACTTCCCTACACCATTGCGAAGAAGGAAGCCGACTACGGTACTGGATGGGTGATGGGCGAGATTGACGACTATCCAGAGGGTCTCTTCATCGACTACCGTCATTTCGACCATGAGGGAATACAGCCCCGCTACGAGTTTGGATATGGTTTATGTATGACTCCTCTTTTCTCTTTTTGGGCAAGAGATAGAATTGCTAACTCGAACAGCCTATACCACATTCGACTATTCATACCTCCATGTGGACGTGTCCGTCTCTCCCGGTCCAGCAACGGGCCTTACTGTCCCCGGCGGACCTGAAGACCTCTTCGACTCGATCGGTGAGGTGAGCGTATCGATCAGCAACACGGGCAACGTGACGGGCCAAGAAGTCGCACAACTGTACATTGGTTTCCCTGCGGATGCGCCCTCGACGCCTCCCAAGCAACTGCGTGGGTTTGAGAAGATCCAGTTGACGCCTGGGCAGGAGGAGGAAGTCACGTTTCCACTGACGAGACGGGATGTCAGTTACTGGGATGTTGGCGCGCAGGCCTGGGTGGTTCCTCAGGGTGACTTTACGGTTTATGTCGGTGCCTCGAGTAGGGATATCAGAGACTACGACACATTCACTGTATAGTAGATAGCTAGTATACTGTTGACTGATTCGACCTTGAAAAAAGGCCGATCTTGAATGTTGAATTGTCGCTGCACAGGGGAATATCAACAAAAGCAGCCAGTATCAATAATATATTGTAGATCATTTCAGACGTCCAAATAACCTTGTCGTCTCTGTAAGGAGAGGTTGTACAGACAAAACTGCTGGGTTGATCCTGGGAATTGACTCGGATGACGCAGTATGACCTGTAGACAGGTGATATAAACATAGAACCTCTTCGATTCCAATCCAACCATGTCGCTATTCCTTGTTTCCCCAATTGGAGAGATTATGCCTCTTTCGTGGCTCTCAGGGCACCTTAGAGGGCAAAACACCAAAGACCTCACCGCGGCGGAATGGAATGGATGAAAAGGCTCAGCAAGTCATCTAACCCGTGGCCTTTTCTTGAGCCACTCCTTTCACCGACTCTGGACGGTAAGAGGTAGACAATTGGTCGTTCTGTTGATGACTTCACCATGCTGTGCAGATGGAGAGGGTATGCTGTGGCCCGAAAACCAGTTGCAAAAGGCCGGCAAGTTTGAGACACTTCAGATGCTCCAGTTCCATTACTTTTGGGATCATTTTACACTTTTGCAGATGTGGCAGGAGATTATTGAGGCAGACATTTTGGGCTGTTGGATCGTCCAGAAACAAGTCTATCTCACGGAAGAGTTGCGGGCTCTTTCCAAGTCCCTCGACCGTTCGGAAAACCACCTCGGAGATCTCAGCACAGCGGAAATCCTATGAAGAACAGCTGGAGAGCCTCAACGAGAAATCTTCTCGTCTGAAAAATCGACTCTAATCTGACTGGACCTCCGTTCCTGCGCGGGTACAGAGCCTTCAGAAAGAAATCGGACTGGTACTTATCTTGGTGGCTGCGAAAAGACTGCGCTGGGCGGGGGGGATGCTGTGGAAGAAAATGCGGTTGTTGCGAGAGACCTAGAATGGAGACCCCTGAAGAGGTCCATCGTGGTCACTGCACACGGGGCTGAGGCTGTTGTATTCGCACGCGAGGTGTCAAGCCAAAGGTTGAACCAACCGACTTGGTTGACTTTCCATCTGACCAGACTGCTGAGGTAAGAACCGAATACAGCGAATATCTAGCGCAGCAGTATCTCTGGGGTTTTCTTTGAATTGGTAAAGTGGAGGGGGTTATTGAGTCTTTTCTGTATTGCTCAAAGAAATGACGTTGGTTGCAGACCAAGCGTGGGATATTCTGCGCATCGAACTGGTTCTAAATCAAATATCCTGACTGATCATGACTATCATTGCCGGGTCAGACCGGAAATGATGCAAAATGAGGCGTCTTAGCTTGGGAATTAAAATTAGATTCGGCTTCATGATAGGCTTCTCCACACCATCGACGTCGTTTGAGCCCTAGGGAGATTGGGGAAATACAACCCGAAGAAAAAGAAAAGAGAGCGACCTGCTGGAAAGGCACGACAATACAGCAAGCCTGATGCTGTACAAGTGATCTCCCAACTTGAATAGGGCATCGCTTCCTTTTGTCAGAAATTGCAATACTATGGCTTCGGGACAAAGCCATGTGCCACCGCGCTTGACTCTACCGGAAAGAATTGTATTCGCAGCAAAGTGTTGCTTTCTGATTCCAGGAGTCGGGCTGAGGGTGGTATGGCAGGCACTGAAGACGCGAGACTTCTCCCTGAAGGCCCTGAAGGCGTCTTTTATAAAAGGTGTCGTTCAGGTCTCGACAAAGCTCTCGCTAAGAGAGCTGCGGTCGTTCACCCAGCCGTCAGGGTCTATCATCGACCATGTGTGCGAGACCGAGGGATTTTCCCATGAAACAACCACCCTTGATGCCGGACAGTATGGGCAGGCTGTTCTGCATTTCATCGATTGCGCTGTGCACACCCCAGGAAACATTCTCCTGTACTTGCATGGCGGAGGTTATATATTCCCGATTTCTGCTGTCCAAGTGGGCTTCGCCCATGCTGCCGCGGCCAAGTCAAAGTCAAATCTAGTCATCCTAGAGTACACATTAGCCCCAAAGCTCAAATATCCCGGGCAGTTGGCGCAGGCAGTGGCGGCGTTGCGCCTGCTCCTGGATCATCACGACGCCTCCGAGATCATCGTCGGCGGAGACTCTGCTGGTGGGAATCTGACCTTGGCTATTCTGGCTCACCTACGCCAGCCTCATCCTCTTGTACAGCCCATATCGGAAGGCGGACCGTGTCAGCTTCGCGCAGCGTTCTGCGTCAGCCCTCGCTGTGCCAACGACAGTGCAGCCCCGAGCTATAATCTCAATGCCTCCAAGGATATTGTCAACTCCGACTCCATGAAACTGTTCACATCGAACTGGGAGCCAGCAAACGACGAGGTTTGGGCAACGCCTGTGGCGGCTGGAGACGACTTTTGGCACTATGTCCACACCAAGCAGCTGCTTCTTCTCGCGGGGACCGCCGAGGTGTACGTGGACGATATCAAACGGCTCGCAGAGATGATGGGAGACAAAAATCAATATGGCAGCAAGGTCGAGCTTGTTCTGTGTGCAGAGGAGATTCACACCCAGGCGGTGCTCGACTTTGGGGCTGACAACTGGGATGGGGTGATGCTGAAAGTGCTCTTCACCTGGCTACTTAATCTGAAGTGACTTTAGGCCTTCTCTCACATGTTCTGCGATGCACTTCTCCCACAAATCTCAACTTGTCGATGACAACTCCTCTCTATCTAAAGTATTTCAATTTTAATAATATTTTTTTCTGCTACTGTGAAAATGACAACAATTCTTTCTCTCCTTTCATCTCTCTTCACCATCACATCCCATCCTGGGTGACCTGTGGAAATGGCCACTCAATCTAATCACACTCTAAGCAGCGCAATGGAAATCTTCAAGTCTATTGATGTGCTGATCATAGGAGCAGGGCCTGCTGGATATACGGCTGCTATGACCCTCCAGCGATATGGGGTAGACTTCCTGATGATTGACGAGCATGCTACTACTCAGGAGGCTGCCCATCCAAGCCGTAACTATCCCTGAAGCTCCATTTGAAAGATCTGGTACTGACAGCTGAAACCTAGTGATTCAACCGCAGACGCAGGAGATATTTCACGCGATGGGCATACTGGAGACCTTGGACAGTAAAGGGTGCCGGATTTCAGAGTCTTCGCTTTGGGAGGTCCGCGGAAACAGTGGGCAAGTTGCAAGAGCCTCCACCTTTCGCCTGGCCGAGAAAAGTGAGTATCAGCCATCCAAGGATAGAATTTCACGATCACTGACATGTCCACGCCGTTTAGCCCAGAAGTTTCCCTACCTTTTGAGTATTGGTAAAGGCGTCGCAGAGGAGACCTTCGAGGGTATCATACACTCCAAAGGCCAGTTCATTCAGCGCAACAAAAAGCTCCTGGCATACCGGTACAGTGGAGAGCAATCTTATACAGATTGGCCTGTCACTGCCTTCATTCAAGACCTACGTTCTGGTTCGGTTGAAACCTGGTCTTTCAAATACATCATAGTTGGTGATACGGCCAAGGACGATATAAATGTTGCCCGCGATTGGGGAGAGCTCCCGAGAGTGAAGCCTTCTTGGTTGGTTGCTGATGTCGTCCTTGAGTGCAATTTCACCGATCTGCGCCGTCTCTGCTCTGTCATCGCCCCTATGGGAACATTTATGTCGATGCCCGGCAAAGATAATCGCACCCGCATTTTCTTCCAGCTGACCCAACAGGAGATTGTGAATGTCAAGAGCCCAAATTTTGATATTGAGGATGGTTTGCATGCAAGCGAGTCGTTCAAACTCCAGGGGATCCTTTCACAACGTCTTTCAAACGGCCTTTTTCCTCGAGTCGCCAAGGTGACCGAAGTTGTGACTATCGGGCAGTATGAGCCTGCTCGTTTTCTCAATCACGTACTTCATGATGGCCGCCGTATCTTCACGATGGGTGTCTATTCCTGTAACCACAACATCGAGACTGGCCTGGGCATCAACGCCAGTTGTGGAGATGCCTACAATCTTACCTGGAAGCTTGCTTTGGTTCTGAAGGATATGGCAAAGCCGGAATTGCTGGCGACATATCAAATCGAGAGAGAGAACCGTCAATTCCAGCTCCAGCGTCTGGAGGACCGATTCAAGAGCTTGTTGGGTGGGGTAGAATGGTGTTCCAGTCGCGCCTCAGTCTTTCAAGAGTGGGAGCATTTTGTCCGGTCCACAATGGACTATGACGACCAATACCCGCGTACTTCTCTATCCGTTGACATTCGCGAGATGAGACTGAGCCAGCAGGCACCTCACCCACCCATGCGTGGGCGGCGTCTCTATCCCATCGATCTCATCCGTCACGTCGATGGCAACCACGTCAACCTGCTGCATGAGATGCCCTCCAAAGCACGATTCCATATCCTTGTCTTCGCGGGTGAACTGATCACTTCTAGAGTTGTCGCAGCCCTCGGCGAAAAATTGGTGTCAAGAACATCGCCCTTGAATACCTTCAACAGGACGGACTGCATGCAGACTACCCCCTTCTCCCATGAGGACATTTACACTGAGTCAGGTCCCTGCACAAACTGGGGCTACGTCATCGACCTTTCCTTCATCCATACTCAAGACCACGTCTCGTTTGAAGTCAAGAATCTTCCCTCTCCGTTTTCCACGGTTTGGAGTGACAGGGTGTATGAAGATCCAGCGGGCAAGGGTCATGCACAGCTCGGCATTTCTCTGTCTCAGGGTGCATTGATCCTCGCCAGACCAGACGGATACGTGTCTGCAGTGACGAGACTCGAATATCCCGAAGACTTTACTGCCTGCCTTAAAGCAATCTTGAAGCCACAGCCTGGTGGTCTCTAGTCGAAGGATGGTTCATGTTGAAAGACATAGGGAACTACACAACAGAGATTACGCCGTACGAGGATTAATTTTGAGGGTTTCGTTTTGTACGCATGTTTTCTAGCAATTCTCTGTTCTGTCACCCAGGAAAATAAAAATGAAAATAAATTGAAGAAACTTGTTCATGCGGATGTCTATAGATGTTTCTGCCTCAGGCAAAACGATAGCCGTTATCTAATCTCCCCGCCAAACATCCAAATGTTGAAATTTTTTGACCACAGAACAAGACCCCTCATTGCAACTCAACTACATCCTGATTCTTGATCCTATCCTTCCTGAAATATAGGTCATACGTTTTTCTAAATCTCAATTGACTCACAATTACCCATTACCCATTATTCGTCGATCTACCATCCCGTGGACACCGTCGACTTCGCAGCAAACAACCCTCGTGAAGCCCCCCGCCCCAGGGTTCTCTTGAGAGAGAAGAATTCGAAATATAAAAGGCACATTTCTCAGACAATAATATACCATACATCCCCTCGCAATGGCGGAGACCACTCAACAATCGACCAGCGCGATCTCGCATCTTGACCTCGGCATCACCCTCGCACTCAACAACTGGCCGGCGCTGACCCTCGCGGTGCAGTCACAATGGGGCGGCCCAACCTCAGCCGATAAGCGCGACTGGCTGTGCGGTGCGATCTCCGAGATGATTGCCGACCGACCGGAGACCGACGCCGAAGACCTCGAGGACGTGCTGGTCCAAGTGATGAACGACGAGTTTGACGTCGTGGTTGACGACGAGAGCGCGGCCAGCGTGGCGGTCCAGATCATGCAGATGAGAGAGCAGATTGCTAGCGGGGATACGGCGTCCATCCAGCAGCTTTGGGAAGAGTGGCAGCGGAAAAACGAGCGAAAGGGAGCTGGCGGTGCGGACGCGGCCGCGGCGGCCATGTTCAAGAAGGTGGAAACGCGAGACGAGGATCAAGAGACTGATGACGACGAGGACGACGATGGAGATGATGATGGTGATATGGATATGACGGAGGCACCGGCCTTGGTCCGCGCTCCGAGGGAGAAGGTCGAGCCAGAGGTTGATGAAGACGGGTTTACAAAGGTGGTCGGGCGGAAGAAGAGGTGATCGTGGTGTTGTTTATTACATGTGACACCTGGATATAGAGCACTGTGTTTTTTTTTTTCTCTCATGACATGATGGATATGATGAAATTCTATAAATTTGACACAAGGATGAAGTCCTCTTCTTGGTGTCTAGAAATATCAAGACTAATTCAGATGTTGATAAAAGAGGGAAAACTTATATGTCTATTGGAAGAAATAAGGAAGAAATATATTTTTCATCATCAAGAATCAATCAAAGTTGAACCACTTTAATAGGATATATCCGCCCGCTCTTTTGCTCGTGTCTCATTGTCCCTAGATTCCACCTACTGCCTTGTAGATAACTGTAGTCAAATACAATGCAGCCTATTTAAACGGATTATCCATAGCTATAAAAATGTAGGTCGCTGAAAATCCCCATATTTGCCCGTTTAGGCGTCTTCGGTTTCGTTAAAAATGAGCTTGGTGATCATACCAATAGCGATGGTTTGACCCTAGAAAACATCATTAGTAAAGAGAAATATAAACCATTCGATGGTAAGGTTGGATATTTACCTGGTCGCGCAGAGTGAAACGTCCAAGCTGGTTGTAATCTTCGAAACGCTCCACACAGACAGCGCCGGCGGTGCCGGTGACCTCTAGCCGAGCGATGATGGTTTGGCCCTTGCTGGCAAACGGCGGGGGGCGCTTGCTCTTGCGGCCGGTGCCAGGCTCGAGCTTGTGCAGAAGGGCGGCGAAGGTGACCTCTTCGATGGCAGAGTGGACGTGCAGAACACAGTTAAATCCAGCGGAAAGAATGTTCTTGAGTTCTAAAATTCTAATCTTCGCTTCGAAAGCAGAGACGCAGTGAACAGGGCGTTTAGGCGAGCAGAGGACGAAGCCAGGGAGGATATCTTCTTCTTCGATACCGCGGAGACGAGCACGAATTTGCTCACCGCAAGTACCCGTCGGGATCTCGTCTTCGGTTTCGCCATAAAGAGCAGAGATGTCAACCTTGACGCGGTTCGGCATAAGGAGATAGCTTCCATTCTTCTGGATCACACCAGACTCAATGCGACCCTCGATCATAGTACCCATATCCCTGTACTTGGCGCTCACGGGCATCATGAAAGGAGCGTTGATTTTACGCTCGGGCATTTTCATGTTTTGCAGGTACTCAAGCAGTGAAGGGCCGTCATACCAGGGAACAAGGTCCTTGGGCACGCGGTCTTTGATACCCATCGCACGCTGAGCGGAGATAGGCATGAAAATGACATCGTTCTTCTTGTACCCAAGAGCTTCCAGATACTTGCTGATCTTCACAGTGCATTCATCAAATCGAGCCTTGCTCCACTCCACCGTGGGGTCGTCCATCTTGTTAACCACAACAATCAACTTGCTCACACCAGAGTTTCTGGCTAGCAGCGCGTGCTCACGGGTCTGGCCTCCCTTTTCGAAGCCGGTTTCATATTCACCCTTACGGGCAGAGATGACCAGGACACCAATGTCGGCCTGGGAAGCGCCGCCAATCATATTGGGGACAAAAGACTTGTGACCTGGGGCATCAAGAATAGAGAAGCTTCGTTCAATCGGACCCTCGGGCGACGGAACAGTGAGCTTGAAGAAACCACGGCCAACCTCCACGGTCTTTCCCTTGGCACGCTCTTCACTAGTCAAATCCAAAGCCCAAGAGAGATACCAGGTCTCTCGGCCAGCCTCCTTGGCATCTCTCTTATACTTGTCCATAGTTCTCTCATCAACCATGCCTGTGACGTACAGGATCGAACCACCCAGGGTGGACTTGCCGGCATCAACGTGTCCGATGAACACAACGTTAACATGTTCCTTCCGTTCACCGTAAATCTCCTTCAAGGTAGCTTCGTCGACATCAGCTTGTTGTTCTTTGGCAACGGCGTCCACATCACGAGCGGGCTTCGCATCAGCGCGACTTGGGCTGGACCGTCCTGTGGAGGGGCTAGGAGACGTCTGCCCGGACGCCGCAGCCTTCTTGTCGGCCTTCTTCTCGGTCTTTTCGATCGCCTTGGCGGCAGTCACCTTCGCTCCAGCCTCTGCGGCAGCGGGTCCCTTGGCATCGCCGGGAGTGCTGGCACGAGTGGTGGATGCCGGAGTGCTCGCGGCAGGGGAGGGCGTTCCGATCGAAAGGACCTTGGTCTTGGGGGCATTGACACTTCCAGTGGCTCCGATAGAAAGCACTTTGGCCACGGGAGCGGCGGCGGCAGCAGGAGCAGCAGCGGGCTTCGGGGCGGGAGGGGCAGCAGCGGGAGCTGCCTGGCGTGGTTGCTGAGCATATTGCTGTTGGTTGTTGTTGTTGTTGTAATTGCCATATGACTGGTTGTAACCACCAGGCTGCTGGTTATAGGCGCCGTATTGGTTGTATGCCTGTTGCTGGTCGTACGCCGGGTAGCCACCACCGTATCCTTGCTGGCCGTACTGTCCGTATTGGGGGTATCCGCCACCGTATTGATTGAACGCTTGTCCTGGCACAAAGGATGTCGCTCCGGGGGTGAAGGCAGAGGCGCCTGGTCGAAACGAGGGCGCCTGGGCTTGAGGTCGTCCCTGGGCGTTCAGGTTGACGCCCTCCGCTTGCCTGGAGAGCTCATCCTCCCAAGAGTCGGGGGGTTGGCCGGCCATTTTGAAAGAGAGAGCAATAAAATGCAAGCAAAGAAAATGAATATAAGTTCAGCGTGAGAGCAGACCCAAAGCAGAGCGAAGAAAGAGATCTCTCAGCAACAATAATGAGGCTCGTACAGTGGATGAGTTGTAGCCCAGTGAGGGGTTTGGTGCCGATTTTGCATCTGCTGACTCAGCACGGCGGTCCCCCACCACAACGCGGCTGGGCGTCTATCGCCTGTGGCTGTTTGTCGTGTTTGCCTGACGTTGCCGCAACAACGTGCGTTGAGAGACTTCTAGATGTTGCCCCTGAAGGCCACCAACTATCTTGCACGCGATGAGGGGCCCTTGCATGTCTGCTGTCGCTGCTGTCTTTGCCTCCATGGTGTGGCGATGACTGGTGGCTTGTTATCGATAAGCAAAGATTCGCCTTGAACTGACAGAAGAGCCTATCTGTTCTGGACTTCTAGTATTCTTTGAATACCTCTGGTATTTTGCAACTACGAAACGTGCTCTAGCTCTGGAATGGCCAGGATAAGGCCCTATTCTTGAAAGATGGATGCTTTTCTCACAAGGGTGGGTTGGGATAAGGTGGTTACGTCGTGATTTCGGACATTGTATGCTGACATCACTCCTAGCTCACCCAGCAGGCAATGAACTATGCCATTCGGTAAGCCAACCACTGGCTAAGAGACGACGAAGAGTCTAATTACTTGTGAAATAGCTCGGGGATCGCCATCACAGCCAGTTATGCAATTCGTCAATCGTCTCGCTTGCTCAAAGTAGGGTTGTCAGAGCTTTCGACTTGATATATATAAGCTGACATCTTGGAAAGAATGTGGGTGGCGAGGATCGAGATGAGCTCCTCCTGCTCCAACGCCGTTTAGAAAGCAAGATTCATGTAGGGTCTACCAAATGATTAGCTATAGGTCGCCTGCTAAGTTAGAGATAGGTCATTTCACCCGCTATCGACATGATCGAATTGATGTAAGATCCTGAGAAGTTCTCACAAAACTGTCAAGATAACACTTTTAACCTCACTTCAGTGCTGCGCGTGGAAATACTTCGTTGGAATCTGCCGTGACTCTCACCAAAGCGTTGAGATGGGACATTCAAGCACTAGGACAACGGCTGGCAAAGGCAGCAGCAGCTGAGGAATTGGTTCGAAGAGGGGCAAAGTCCAAAGACCAAGCCAAACATGATTTGGAAATCAAACTCATTATCAAGGACATAAGGAGACTTTTGGATCGTATCGAAGACGCAGTGCCCCTCATGAACCTTGCAATCACTACTTCCGGTGCTAAACTGTCCACAAACCTTCCCTCTACAGTCTCGCCATCTCGCCTGCTGCAGGCCAGCACATTCCTGACTACAGGGGATACTCAGTATTCCATCACCCCGTCACAGGCGATACAAGTTGGTCCTACCTTCACGCTTTCAATGTACATGCTCTTCGCTGGCCACGTTCGGCCCCACGATGAGGAAAGTGTCCGAGAGGCAACTTGGAAAGAAGTAATTCACAAAGCACGCTTAAAGCTCCGGAGAGTGCCAATGGATTTGGCATTTTCTCATCGCGGGCATGAAGTGTCTGATGACCGAATCCTGGCAGAAGCTAGGGTTGATGAGTTTGCCTACCAAATTCTGATCATCGAGGATCTAGACGACGGACGAGTGCACTCCTTCGAAGCTCCTAACCCGCAGCCACAACACTATGAAGGAGTTGAGCTTGCCGGCGTGCGAGAGATACTTCCCATTCACCAAATTTCCAAGATATTCTATGCTGATACCGGTCGAATCCTCAACATCAGCACTGAGGGCGAGACGAATAACCCAGTCTTGCTCCTCAAGAGAGACATCAACGCCGTTCCCCCACGGCGCATTATTGAACGTGATGAAAATGGATATCTGGATCCTGAAGAAGATATATCTCATACAAACGGCGATGAAGACGAAGAGACGGACGAGCTCCAAGCTCAACTGGATGCTCAGTTGAATATAAAATCCACAGGAAGGGATGAAGAACTTCCATCATTCCATGAGAGCTCCATTCCTGAAGAATGGAGACTCCCGTCGGGTCTAGATCCTGAGTGGATTGCGTTTGAAGTATACAATGAGGAGGAAGATTCAGATACTGAGTCGGAGGGTGAACCTATACAACCAACGGAAGCGGGTGCCGTGGATTCCGCTCAGATGGCCCGACTCTCCCTGAAAGGACGTCGTAGAGCACCTGTTCAAACCTATGAAAACAAACCTTCAGAATCCGCATCGGCTTCACGACAAGCTGCGACAACGCTGACCAACCCACTCTTCAACAACATTCGCACGTCCCTTTCTCTGCTTGAGATGCTTCTCCGGCTGATGTCTCTCCAACAATTCCAACAGCAATCCCACCTCTCCATCAGCGACGAACTTCTCAACTTCTTCCTCGAAGAATCTTCCACCACTGGCGCGGGTGGGGATGAACAGCATCGTCAGCGTCTCCGTACAGAAGCCAGACGCCGCGTAGGCTGGGATCCGTACGACGAAAGCCCCGTCAAGCGGAGAGGTGAAGATTATCAATACAGAGGAGGTACTCCGGTGAGCTACTCGCGCGACACGATAGAGGATTACGCATTTTCGCCAAGTGATCGGACCAGGCTCTTTCAAATTCGGTCCCGGGCCAACACTCCAGAATCCCCGTCAGCTCCTCAAGAGAAATCTCCGAGTATGCCTCCAGAGGCCTCAAAAAGAGCCTTGCAATCTTCTCGCCGATCCACGCCGCTAGCTGGCAAGGATCGTGACCGGGAGTAGTCTAGCACCGAGACTCAGGGTGGCGAAGCTACTACTCATTATGGTCAGCATACAAAGTTGTTCTGTAACTTTGTAAACCATAGCAAGTGTTATGGTACATCTTCGTCTAGTGTATGTCGGTGTTAGAAGAATGTCAGAAGCCATTTTGAGTTAAACTGGATGATATAGACATCTATACATCGGCATTGCTCCTCCTTAATGGAAGATCTATGAATTGCCCTTGATATCATTTAATATGTTCCATGATTAACTAAAGTCTAATACTCGTATTGATAACTTTCAAGCTGAAAACCACTCGAAATGCTTTCCATGTGTCGATCAATCGAATGGCCAAGCGCTCTCCAATTCTGCAATTTCACCTTCATCGCGAGCATATTTGCGAATAAACTCTTTCTTAGCTCGGGGTATAATCTGACTGACCTCGTTGTATTCATCATGGGTCACCACGCCGCGGGCATAGAAGTATTTAGGTCCTATCATCTCCTGGATCTCTCGCATCAATTCCATCGAAGAGGTAGCACCTATGTGATCCCTTTCGATCTGGCGGAGCATCTCTGCTGAAAAAACAAGTGGGAACTTCTCGTCAGTGTGATTCAGTTTTGGGATATCTTTCCAGTTGTTTTGCTGCTGATCTGCCAATAAAGCCAAGTAAGTTGCCTCGCCATCAACAAGGAGGTTTCGAGTAAAAAGAAGCAACTGGAAGCAAAGCGTTTCACGAAACTCGAGAGCCTTGAATAGCAGCGGCATTTTCTTATGCACCAAGTGTCTGTACAATGACACTAGTGACATTTTAGTGTACAGTGAGGTAGCTTTGCGTTCGGCCAGCGGCTCGGGATCACCTTGAAAGAGTGAACGGATGTCGGCGAGTTTTGGGCGGTCCAGCAGGCCATCGAGAGGCGGGCCATCGTATTCGAGGATGTAGGGCTCAATAGGATGATCGTATAATGGCGCTAATTCAGTGGATTGCCAGTCGATAATTCCATATATTTCTGACAGGTTGCTCGGATTGACAAAGATATTCTCCGCATGCAAGTCACAGTGCCAGATATGAGAGGTCTGGATAGACACTTCAGGCAGAAGATATCTCAAAAGTTTGAGATAACTTTCTATCGCGAGAATCTTCGACTCTCGAGAAGGTTGGTATGTTCCAGAATAGTGAAGGGCAATTGGGGACCTAGGGAGCTTCGGCATATTTTCAGTACAATATATCTCCCTCAACCCTGTAGCACGTTCATAGTCCGCTGCGGTAGTCCCTGCGAGAAGAAGTCAGAATAAAGGAATAGCTGGAATGTAATCCAGAGAAGGATTACATGGACCTCTGTCAAAGTCCATTTCAAGTCTGCCATCATCGGTATTTTGCCTGCTCACCGATGGACCAATTGTGAAACGGTCATCCACGATGGTGACTCCTGCTTTATCGGTATATTCGACGCTAGGCGTCGACAGTCCGACATCGTTCTTGTAATACAGACTCCCATAATGCGAGAAAGTGGTATGTAACCAAGCCTCTTGGTAGAAGGCAATATTTCGGAGTACCTTAAACTTCACATTAACTTCAAGTTTATCCCATAACTTGCTCAGTTGAACACCGCGCATATTTTCCATTAGAATTTATTCAGCCCTCACTTCATTTTCAGATGTAGAGCTCCAAGCCAGAACATTCGGTATGGGTATCTTCATAACGTTTCGCAGCTGCCAGGAATCAGCATGGTAACCTTGGGGAAATAATTAGAGACTGAGGTATCATACAAAATCCATGGTAGCGACTTCTGAGGCCGTGGTAAAATTCGCTTTGCCAGCATTAGGATTAGGTACTTTGCCCACAATTTGTGAACCGTCATCCATCGTAAACCGAACAACTTTGTTATGCATTCCGTCCGGCAGTTTCTCGGTGTTGACGCATCTTCGCGACCCTTGACTTGCAGTTTCGGCAGCACGAACAGCTAATCGAGCAAGCTCATCGATTTCAAATTGAACATATCTCTTAGAAAGATGACGGGACTCATCTGAAAGAAATCGCCCCCGAGTAAAGCGAAAGAGGTCGTTGCTGTTTTGGTTGCCAACTGCCGTGCAATCATTCCTCGCTCCATTGCGTAAGAGTTCGGCATTTGACGCCGACTTGGTAATAAGTGATTGAATCTGTGGACGTATCCTAACTCAAGCAGTGTCAGGATCTATCTTCGTGGTTTCGTCTGCACCGAAGCATTTGAACAGCTTTGAGTCCTCGTGCAAAGTAAACTAACCCAGTTAAGGTGCAAAATATGAGGTTGCCTGGCCATTACTTACTTTATATATAGCTTAAAAGCGCTGGGAGGCTTCATGTCCAAAGCCAAGCCTTTTAATGATTGTGATAGAGGCTTAGATTTACCAAGTCCTTGGTTGTTGCAGTTGTAAGTTTTGATGAATCGTTTCTTGCAGATTAGGCGTAGTTTCATGCCTAAGGTTGGCAATGACACCTTGACATTTTATCGACCATACAGACCAAACACAGCTAGCTACTCACAGAAAGAGGGAGTTCGTCCATGATCCATTAGGGAAAAGGACTAGAAACTTGAATTTGCTAGGCTATAAAATCACCGTATAGAAGACAGCTTCCTCGCCCTGAATATCATCGCTGAAAAAAAGAAAAAAAACAGTACTGGACGGAGAGTAAATTGATGAGAGTGATGAATGACCGATCAACGCCAAAAGCCGAAGTACGCCTATCTGAAAGGAAAGTACTGCATAGATCCATGATTCGTCTCGATGCGACAGAACAACCAGTGGGCTGAGAGCATCGCATAAAGGTGGGCGAGGGGTGGGTCGTGGTTTTAATCAGAAATAACAAACCAACAGCATCGAGGAAGAAGAGATAAAAGGGTTTCACAGGCATATCACTCCCAGTCCTCGTCACTTTCATCGGCCTTGGCGTCGGTGGCTGCGGTCTTCTCCTTAGGACTTTCGGGTGCCCGGCTCGCAGTTCCGCTGACCAGATCATAGCTTGATTCGCTATCAGGTTGCGACTGCTGGTCGTTAGACCGGCGAGGCTCGCCGGGCTTCAAAGTGTCTTTCTCCGACACAGCAGCAGCGGGGGCGAGAGACTTGCTAGACTTGACCTGGGGGGTAGAGGGGGAATCGGATCCCGAGTCAGACTCCGAGTCGGTATCATCGTCCCAGCCGACTTCTTCCTCCTCGTCCACGTTCGCGCCTAGAAATGGTTAGTCATAGGGATCAAAGGAAGAAGAAAAGAGTGCTGTAGTTTGGTGGTGTCATCGACAAACCTTTCAACAGCTCCTTGCGCTTTTTCTCTTCCGTTTCAATAACCAGACGAAGGAAATAGTACCGGGTCCAGAAATCGGCATACTCGACCGTCTCCGGCACTAGCTTCTCCATGGCCTCCCGAAGTTCTGGGTATGTTTCCAAGTCAGCCGCGATGGCGCTAGTCTTGCTATCAATGTTGAAATCCTCTCTAAACTTGGCCCACTGGTCGCTGACCGGGTCCTTGGAGAAACTCTCCGGATTCGAGTGGATGACGTGCAGCTGGGCTTCGAAGCGCGTGGCGTGGATAACCCTCTTGCCTTCCGCATCCTTGCTCTCAAAGAGCAGCTTGGAGGACTCTTCGTCGCCCGGCGGGACGATGCTCACCGCTTCACGCATCTTCTGCACCACATTCATGCCAAAGCGCAGAATAGCCTCGTCAGCGGCCTCCTCTGCCTTCTCGATTTCTTTGAGTCGCCGAGCAGCCTCGGTCTTAAACCGAGAGATGAATCCTTCCCCACTCTGGCGGGGCTCCTCCTCCTCCTGTTGCTGCTGCTGTTGTTGTTGTTGTCCATCCGGTGCCTCCTTGGAGGTAGGCGTCACGGCCCCATCCTTGTCCCCCTCTGTCTCATCGCCCTCCGGGGAATTCCCCGCCGTGAATGCTGTGCTCAAAGAAAGCCCCCTCGTGCGCCCGACAAGACTCTCCCGGAGGTCGGTGAAGCCCTTGACGGCCTCTTCGCTCGCGGCGGCGTATTCCTGTCGAGCCCCCTCGTAGTAGCTCTCTCCTTGCTTGCGGACATTATTCCAAAAACCCCCGAGCCGTGTTCCCCATGGACTCGCAGAAAATGCACGGAAAGTTTCCTGGAATTCGGCGTTCAGGTCAAGGTTCTGTCGTTGGTTGGTACTAGCATTGTTATTATTGTTGTTATCGGCGTCTCCCTGCGAAGTCAGGATCTCCTCCTGGATGTGGTCATAGGCGACATCCATGACGACGTCTGTCGCCTCAGAATCAGGGCTAGCTGCGTGGAGTGAATGGGAAAGGTCGATTCTCGACTACAGGGCAGTCGTCACAGATAAGTGGAAGTGGTGAGATCGACTTAATCATTCCAGCTCGTGGATCATCGCCGGAGCTACAGCGGCCCGAACGCCCCCGCCTTGCTCCTTGGACGGATGAGAAAAGGGTTGGAAGTTGCAACTTGAACTGGGTTTCAGTGGCAGAATTTGTTTGTTTGGTTATTATTATATACATGGAAAGTATTGTTTATAATATATTTATAATAGCAGAAATCATTTCTCATCTCGTCAGTATTTCTCATCAGTCACCCTTACCCAGATTGTCATTCGACGAAACAAAAAAACAACGAATGCGGAGTACACGTCAGTTCTCGCTAGGGCCTTCTTTATCATCCATACTGTAAGGCTCGCCGACACTGTCTTGACTGCCAAGTATGAACTGCGGCATGGGGATACTCTCCATAACACTAGAAGAGAGCAATTGACTTTTGGAGAAGAGCGGTCGGTAGGGTCGACCCTGCGCGGTTTCACGTCTTTTCAGTCTATCGGCTGGTTGCGAGGATTCTACCTGAATAACCGACTGGCGATAGGCTTGGGATGATCCGCTGGGAGCCGGGTGGCGTATTTCGTGTCTGAGAGGCGAAGATTCCGGGACGACTTCGGCGTCTAGATTCTGCATGTCCTGGCTTTGTGTCTCGGGTTGAGATATCAGTTGGCTCTGAGCAGGGCTTCCGACCTGGGGGTGTAGAGTAGTCGATGGGTTTGCCATTGCCACCAAAGTAAAGTCATTCAAGGACGTCGACGGACCTCCTCTTTCGCGCGGAAAAAGTTCGGCGAGTTGCTGTGTATTCATCATGGGGATCGGTTCGAGTGGGTATTGGGTAGCCGGTTGCAGTCTTCGGTAGTAAACCGATGCGTCAGATGAGAGGGTAGCTTCGGAAGGAGGAAGAACAGTCTCATCTAGGTCCAGCTCGGAATGCATGAGCGGCAGAGGTAAATCATCTTCAGCCGAAGAATCCTGTTCGTTATCTGAGAGACGTCTTTGTTGGCTATTCACAGTTTGTTTCGGAGACGATCCAGCAGTACTCGTCATTTCACCATCGAGATCCTCATATTCGCTTTCGGCATCGGTTTCATATACCACTGTCTTCTCAAACGCTCGGTGTGAGACACGCTCCTGGTTCTTCTCTTCTGCCGGTATGTTTTCATGGATGGCCAAATCTCTCTGATGCGATCCCTTCGGATCATTCGCCTGGATCTTGGCATCTTTGACTGCATGCGTATTTGCTATTGGAGAATTGGATAGCATAGAAGAATCAGAGATAGTACTTTCGCCGACAAGGAGGGGAGGACGTGTAGGTGTCAGCGACTCTTCCTTCAATACCCGTTGAAATCTGGAGCCTTCTTCCGACCTCTGACATAGCAGGTCGGGGGAGACATTTTTGAGCGGAGAACCTCCTGCACATTGACGCTGGGATGCTGCAATCATCGCAAACCCAGGGCTATCCGGCGACTGGGAAGAGGGAATTTCAAACTTCCGTGACTTTCGTGGGGTAACAGGGCTGCTAGTCGCTGTTGCAGTCGACATGCTTGCTGTAACAAGTGCCTTCCCAAACGGCTTCATAGCCCCTTCAATTTCGGAACCCTTCTGCTCCACCTTCATAATCTCCTTAGGTGTACCATTATGTTCCTTCTTAGTGTCTCGATCATAAGGAGTATAGGACGTATAATCTAGGTCCAGATCATCGGATTCAACAGGAAGGTAACGCCGCACGTAACCGATCTGCGTCAGAGTCTTCTCTTTCTTGCCATCTTTCCCCTTCTTCATGCTCCTATTTTTGCCATTTCCTGTTGGCGGGGTATTCTTCTTTTTCGCCCTTTTCTCGCTCGGGGTGGACACCCTCCGTCGTTTCGGAGTCGGATCATCTAGATCGTCATCCACATCAGCCTGCTCAAAGTGGACATTCCGGACCTGTCGTGTTCGCGGCGGAGGCAGCGGCTGGTAATCAGGGTCATTCTGCGAGCTGTCTTCGATTGTAATCACTTCCTTGGAGTTCCCTCCGTTCTTTGTAAGTTTCTGATCTTCTTGGATATAATCCAACCCGCCATCGTCCGATTCCGAACCCTGGGTTCTCGTCACGAAATCTATCTGTGTCAAAGTAGACTGCCGGGGTCCGCTGGGCAAACTGTCACCGGTGGTCTTCTTCCTTGATTTTGTCGTCGACAGAGAAGGAAAGGGGCTGCTAGTTTTTCTTCTTAAAACCGGCGTCTTCGTCGACGTCGAAAGCCCCTTGTCCGGCGTGTGCGAGTAATCGGGATTTTGAAAATTGGCGCCTAGGCTGCTTCGACCACGCCTTGTCATTGCCAACGGGAAGAGTACATTTCAGACTGTGAATTAGAGAAAGGAAAGCATCGATACGACGAATCTGAAGTGACGTCGAGGCAAGCGCCAACCGGAGAAAGTCGCGTCAACGACGCGTTTCGAGCGAGTGTGGTCCGTGCGTGTACATTTTGCCTATTACAGATACAGCCAAAGCTTCAGGCAGCAGTTGAAATCGATACCTACGGAGTACCAAAGTAGCTGGTAACTACAGGCTGGTAACTCAATGCTATTTACAGACATGACCCAGAGAAAATCATATTTCAGTCAGACATCAGCCATTCAGGAATGGCGTCTTCATCGTCCGGGTCCTCCGAGAGCAAAGACACCTCGTCCACCTGGCTGCCGGGTTCTTCGACATCGTCGACCGGCGAGTGCATTCCTGGTGGGCTGCGAGATACAACCTCTAGACTTACAGACTTGGAGTCACCCCCGACCGACGAGCTGACAACGATGGGCACTTCAGAGGACCCGTCGACCGTGTCCCTCGTAGGCGGGTCGACCTGTGGGCCAGGGTCAGGGCTTTCAACAGAGGGAGTGCTGGGCTTTGCGTGGTGGAGTTCAGACCCGCTGGAGTGGTTCGGTTGCTCGTTGGGAACCACAACAAGGGAATAGCGCGGTTGGTTGTCCGCTTGTTCCCTGCGAAGTGTGGACTGCGGAGGGATGGGCGGTAGAGGCTGAATGATTGAAGCCGACTGCACAGATTCGTCTTCTGGAATGAAACCTCCTCCAAAATCATCCTCGTCTTCGTCCGGAGGGTGGCTATGTCGGGAAGACTGCGTTTCATGGACTAGTCCACTCGATAAAACACCGCCGCTGTCACGGTCAAGGGGTTCCGGTAGGAAACCTCCACCAGATGCCTCTTCAATATGAGATTCCAGTAGAAATCCCCCGCCGGCTACCTCAACATCCTCATCTGCATCTTCCTCGGCACCGGCTTCATCCACAGCATCACTGATGTTTTCTTCGTCTTCACCTTCGACGGCATACCCCTTTACCCTCTCCGCAATTCGTAGGCGGAGTAAGAGGTGCTTCCACATTTGAAGCGCTGCAGCAGACCTCAACTCGAGCTCAGCGTGGACTCTTTCATGCTCGAGACCTCTGAGCACCTCCTGGACGGCTTCAAGGTACTCTGCTGCGATGACTACTCCCTCAAAGACGGCTGTTCCGTGGCGCCCTTTGAAATTAAAGCCAGTCACGGCGTCCGCGTAGTCGATCCCCAGGATTCTGGCCGCTTGTCTCGCTTCGAGATGTTTTACATGGACTCCACCAGGGGGAACCATGCTAGGCACATAGACGTCCAAATTTCCGTACCCATTTTTCGGGATCCGACCCTTGATCACCGGTGGGGGTTGATAAACCTCCGTTTGGAATGATGCATAGAGTGGCGTCATCTCGACCGGATCGTCACCACCCTCACCGTCCGTGGTTTCAGCAACCCTGTTCCGGCTGGGCCGTACCCGTTTCAAGGCCTGCTCGCCTAACTTGATGTCTCGGCCCAGACGGTACCATCCATCCGCGCTCCGGAGGTTATGGACATCTGAGCGCCGGTAAACGGGTTCCAGGACTTCGTTCTTCATCCCAGATTTACCTAAACTAACCTGACCAATCACCCGTTTCGGATGAACGACCTGGTTTCGTCGTAGATGTCGGTCGAGGGCATAGACCGGGTGGTCTTTGAAATCTTGGACGTTGCGAGGCATAGGTTCCGCCGCGGTTCTGGCAGTCAGTTCGCTCACTTCTATCTCGTCGCGGTCTTCTAGGAATGGTTTCTCGAACGCTCGTAACGTGCGTGTCCACCACATCTCCCCGTTTCTCGTAGATTCCACTCTGAGCTTGCGCGTCTTGGCGTTGAATGCTTTCGCGTACCGTCTCGTCACGTCACGGGCTGAGCCGTCATCTTCAAACGCAACGACGTAGCTCATCTGATTGTGCGGATCACTGGCCGGGGGTTCGAATTTTGAAGGTTTTGCAAGAGACATCGTCACCAGTGGATCGATGGGAATCCATTTCTGTACCACTTCATTGAACGCCTCCACCCAGAAGACAGGGTAGGAAGATTCTGATAAGCGGGGAGGGCGATCTGATCGATCAGATTACAGCCAAAAAAAAAGATCAGATCTCTAACTTACCCAGCCGAGATGAAGCCTGCAAAGGCCGCTTCGAGGTAAACTGCGGACGACCCAGGCGTCTTGTCGGCAATGGTGATTGTTTCTCGGATGAGGAAGTTTCATGGCTTTCATCGGAGGAAATGACTATATATGAAGACCGCTGTTTCTTGGGCGTCGTCGTATTCTTGATGGCACCGGAAAATGTCAATGGCTGTAATGAGCAGACCAGCCTGGCTTCTACCGCTACAGAACGCAGCAGGGCACAGAATAACTGTGCTCCAAAGTCCCGCGAGCCTCGTAAAGATTTTGCTTGTTTGCGGAAGTCATCCCTCGAGAGAAAGACTTCTGCATCGGACATGATTGATTTCTAGACTCAGGAAGAGGCTGTCAGACAATGATATTCAGGTCTTAAAAGAAAAATGTCCCTTGCGTACCGCTCTATCCTGTACAGCCTCGGGCTCATCCTGCCAATGGGGTCTTTTCAGACCGGGCATTGTCTTTCGGAATCTCTTTGAAAAGACATCAGCAGCCTGGTTAAGACCATCGATGAAGACGGCAGATCTTGAAGGCTGCGGGCGATTCTCTGGAGGGTTCAACAAGGAAATTATCTGCTTTGGGAGCATTTGTTTCAAGAAACCCTGTAGTGTATCAGGACATATGGATCAAACTTCCAAGGAAGAAAGAAGGAAAACACACCTGAACTTCTTCATCATTGCACCAGATATTTCGACGATTGACATGGCTCAGAAGACACAGCAGGTGGACTTTGTGGATTTCCAGGCGTAGCTTCTTCTCTGCCGCAGAAAGTGGCCTCCGTCTGGGGACAGCAGCTTTCCTAGCGGTTGATGGCTTTTCCAGCGTGATCTGAAGGGATTCATCGCCGGTCCTGCCACTCCCTGCCGGCTGGAAGTACTCATCTGAAGAGGCGGCGACTGGAATTGGTGCTTGTTGGATGTCAACCTCTTCCCAGTCCATCTCCTCTTCGTCCGAGTCCTCCTCAGACGCCGTAGAATCGTAAGCAGTTTGAACCTGTCTAGTTTCATCATCCGAGCCCGATTCGTCCGGCAGAGATACAATTTGAGCATTCGTCGTAGGGGTGTCATCTAATAATGGTGCGGTCAAGGCGGCCGGTCTCACACGCTCGCCCACTTTCCTCCGTTTGATGGGCCGATCTGTTTCTAGAGAAGTTGAATCTCGAGATTCCGCCTCCACAAGCATCTCCAAGTAAGCCTCTGGGATCTCATTGTCGTCATGTCCTCGTCTGGGTTGCGAGCGACGCGTTCCGCCGCCCCGGCCTGGACGGGCGCGCTGCAAACGACGCACCATATCGGAGGGATAGAGAAAAATTCATCGAGGGATAGTATATATATATATTCAGGGCGGGTTAATTATGCCGCGGGAATTCTGTACATATCATCGCTGGTGAGAAATGGTCCTAAAACACGCGTCTGGTAAGGGTCAATCCAAGGGTCAAAGAAGACTTTTCTTCTGCAAATTGGAAGTTCTCTGGCCTAGCAGTGCTTCTGAGATGAATATCCAAACATGATGTGTCATATACAAGATATAATAAATCGCAACCTGCTAGAAGCTCATCGGCTTCAGTGACGCGTTTTTCTCATATTTCCCTCTTAGGCAACACTGCGTCATATCGGAGGCACAATATTCCGTCCCGAGATATTCTTTGCTTATCTAATCTGGTATTTTCGGCTAAACTGCTTTAGGCAGGAGCCCTCTTTGAGCTCTGACCCTCAACTTTAACAGCAGAATGAGCAGGATATAAAATAGGCAGGTAGTATTCCTATTATTCTTATTATTCTTATTATCATTATTATCATTATTATCATTATTATTATATGGTACGTAGAAATAAAGAATAGAGTACTCCATACTGATATGATGTTTCTGCCTGAACTGGGAACTGTCGCCTGCTTTTCATCTCTCTCTCCTCGCGATCATCTCCAACGTTAGTGATTAATCACTGTTGAAAGGAACCAATGCTACAATCGCCAGCTGCAAAGGCAAACCAAAACATGCTGGCCTCCCGCCAGACCAGCCCTCGCCCAGTCGCAGGTCACGTTGACTCCAGGGACATCCTCCGAGCGCCCCAAGCGAAGAACCTCAACTTTTCCCAGCCGTCCAGCCCGTCAATCGCAAGATGTCAGTTGTCAGTGGCATCTCTACTGTCTTAACCCAAGTTGGCCCAGAACCAAGGACTGACCTCAGACGCAGAGCCCCGCAGAGGCTTGACCACTACCAGCCTGCCTGTCGCAAAAGCGAAGAGAAACTTGCTTTATGGCATTTCTAATGCCTCCCTAATCGCTGGAAGGGAGTTTGTGGGGTTTATAGTAACCTCCTTACCTCTTTGTTACTGCCGAGTGAGTGTCCTTGGAACAGTATATATTAGTGAAGACACCACTCACCAATTAGCAGCGAGAGCAGCAAGCCGAACCCCATCAGTCACCGCGTCCCCTCATACCAAGCGACAGAATGTTGGATTGATTGCTTCCACCATCACAGTGAACTCCAGAAGACTGCTCATACCTACTTCATCAAGACATACGCCACATTCTCCGACTGCCTTGACGCTGGTGACATCCGTCAACCTGACCCGTCGCCTCTAGAGTGCCATTTTCGGCTTGCAGAAAGGCTGAACGCCTCGGAATGGGTGCCTCCATCGATCGAAAAATGCGAGACTGGGATGCAATCAAGTGTGCACCGGGGGCTATCATTATTAATAATACAGATCTACCAGCTACCTAGAAGCTAGTCTATAGGGTCGTGTCTTTGTCCTATAGTTTCTTACACCTTCAATTAAGCATATGTCCAGCTGCCATGGAAAACTGAAGGATAGAGCATTGCAATATTACAATAGGAGTCAATATACACACTTATCAGGTATATGCAGTTTTGACTGTTTTTAGGCGTTATTGACCATCTTGGCTTTACGTTCACTGGCTGAATCATGGTTATCCCTTGTCTAGAGCACGCAATAATAGCTTAAAGCACTCTACCTCGCTTACCCCACCTGTCTTTGCTCAACATCTGCTTCTAGTCCTGAGTATTGCAGAGTTTCCTACCAACCAGGTACCACCATGGAATCAAAGAACATGAGCAAGAATATCCTGTTCCTTATTGCTGATGATCTCGGCAAATGTCTCAGCTCGTACGGGACCAAAGGGCTTTCCACCCCCCACATGGACCAATTTATATCGCAGAGCGTCACCTTCGACCAAGCCTTCACCAGCACGGCATCATGCAGCGCCAGCCGCACTGTGATGTACACCGGGCTACACCCGCATGAAACCGGCCAGTACGGTTTAGCCGGGGGGAATGCCCACTTCCAGACCTTTGAGCATATCCAGACCGGGCCAAAACTGTTCAACGCCCTCGGATACCAGACGGGGATTATCGGCAAGGTTCACGTTGGGCCTGGACAAGTGTTTCCCTGGGAAGTGAGGGAGGAGAGTGGGAGCCGGAATGTGGCCTGGGTGGCTGAACGGGCCGAGGCTTTTCTGGACCACGCTTCCGAGACGAAACGGCCCTTCTTCCTGACTGTTGGGTTTATCGATCCGCATCGAGACATCACGACTCGAGGCGAGTTCGGGAACTCGGAGACATGCAACGATACGTTTATCCCCCCGGAGATCAAGCCGGACGAGGTGGAAATCCCGCCCTGGTTGACGGACGTGGCAGAGACGCGCATCGAGTATGTGGAATACTACAAAGCAATTGCTCGGCTGGATTACGGGGTGGGATTGATTCTGGATGCTGTACACCGTCGAGGATTGGATGAATCAACATTGGTGGTGCTGTGCAGTGATAACGGGCCTCCCTTTATCAACTCCAAAACAACTCTATACGAGGCAGGGATCCAGTTACCGTTCATCATGCGAGTGCCGGGTTCTTCCCAAGGCATCCATAACCCCAACATGATCTCGTATATTGACATCCTGCCAACCTTTCTCGACTGGGCGGGTGAAAAGGCCGGTTTTTCTGTTCCTGCTGACGGCCATTCTGCATTCTATACGATAGAGACACAACCGCCGCCTCCTCCTCGCCGGCTGGGGAGATCGTTCCTATCGATCGTCAACCGTGAAGATGTTCTAGACGAACAACACTGGCAGCACCAAGTATACGGATCGCATACTTTCCATGAAGTGGCGAATTACTGGCCGACACGCTTTCTCCGGAATAGACGGTTCAAATATCATCGGAACATCGCGTGGCAATTGGATTTTCCTTTTGCCTCCGATTTATACGCCAGTTTGACTCTGGAAGGGATCCGTCGGAACCATCTGAAGAATGACAATGAAAATGATACCGACGATGATGTCATGGTTGGTTCTCGATCGCTTAGACAGTACGTCCGGCGCCCACGTGAAGAACTGTACGATCTCGAGACCGACGCCCAGGAGGTGAACAATCTGGTGGCGAGCGAAGCACACCAGACGATCCTCGTACGGATGAGGAACGATCTGGAGAAGTGGCAGGCCGATACGAGAGATCCATGGCTGCTCAGGGACGGCCAGAGCGTGGTGGCCTTGCAGCGGTATGCCGCAGACGGATTGAAGATGCCGAACAAGGCGGATTTTGTCTTGGATAGTGTGGCATACAGCCGGATGAAGCAGTACAGGGTGGATGATCCGGCTTTGCTGCGCAGTGAAGAGTAAATTAAAAAATAGCATCACATAGAATTTTGCATAGAATTCTAACTACCTCCTAGTATCTATACGTAATCCAATACTGTAAAGTCAACTTTAATAAGATGACATTCACAGCCTTATATTAAGGAGGCGGTATATTCTTATGATAATTATTATATGTAATTATGATATATAATATCTTATACTTTAAACTTTTGATATACTCCGTCCGTATCGACAGACCCTTGTAGTCCTGGCATGATGTGCGCCCGAAAGCGCCTCGTGGTCTCACATTTACTTGGCGTGGCTTACACGTACAGAAAAGGCGACGAGGCGTATTGTTAGTCTGCCTCTGAAGGGTTGACATGCATCCGAACGGGAGGGATCTTCCCACCGCCACGAAAGCTGCCAAGCAGACCTGGCTGGGCCCTGAAGCGCGAGATTAAGTACGAGTACTAGATAAGATGGACCATTAGCCATGGGCGTGACTAATTCCTATAATAGTGGCTATCGAGCTGCGGCTTCTTATCTTAGTGGGTATAAATATATTAGTTAGTAGTAGAAGAATGTATATGGGCCAATGTCATGTGACAGCATCATGTGATTATTAGGGGTAGCCTGAGAGCCTCAGGCCCTCAGCCTGGGTAGGTCACAGGTGGCTAGTTAGAGAGATCTCAGGTAGTAACTAGTACTAGTTATATACTACATAGAGAGTGTATGTAGTATGTACTATTAACTGACTTACTAGTAACTACTACATAACTATGTAGTAACTTGTAAGGCCAAGTAAGCTCACCCTAATTAGTTGGTTAGTGTTGCTTACTTTGCTTGTCCCATCTAAACCGCTCCCAGCCACTGGATTAGCATTTACGGCGTCCTCCGAACTTTACTTTAGTCCAAGTAAGACACTGGGTCTTCCCCGCACTCCACAGTCCGTTACCTATGTAGGATACTATGGTTCATACCTAGGCTACCTACATTGTATCCAGACAAGGTGTAGTATATGTAGTTCAGATTGATAATTATAATTTATCCCTGTATGTACGTAGTAAGCAGATTAATGAGCTACTCAAAACTAGCATGGATTTTCCAGAATCATACCTGATGTACATCTACGGTAAAAAAAACACTAACGGATACTCCGTGCCACTGATAGAGCCTGATCCCATTGATTATTGGCCACCTCTTATCTCCCCTGTAAGAGTTCCAATAGGGGGTGTTTGATTCTGTCGTAACCACCTAATTCACCAACTAAACCATGGTAAGATTTTCCCCATGCGCAGGATTTACACGCCTCCCGTCAGGTCACCAACGCGCCGTCAGCTAATGAGGCTTGATTTTTCCTCAAGGAAGCCTGGGCAATGACCTCCTGACAGGGTTCAAATGTGACCCTATACGGAGCTCCGGCTATCTGTATGTGTACGGAGTATTACCTAGGTAGTACCTACTAGGTACCCAGGTACCTACATACGGAGTACCTAGTATGTAACTAGTAGGTTACAGTAGGTAGAGGTAGAGGTAGAGGTAGAGGTAGAGGTAGAGGTACTCCGTAATCACCCAGCTGATCGATCCACAGTGGACAGGAACCATGGCGCTGTCTATCCAGAGATTTCCCTTGATAATTATCTAATGTGAATGTGTTCAGTAACTCCCTCCACCTATCACTTCCTCCTCATCGACTGTCACCCCTGCCGGGCGCAACGTCTCCCCGCTTTGCCTCCCCCAATACGCAGAATAAACCGCGCACCCATGTCTGAGCTGTCCGAGCTGTCTGAGCCTCGTTGATCGGCTTCTTTTTATTCTTGGGGTTTCCCATTTTTTTTTTTCTCTCTTCTTTTCTTCTCTTCCATCTTTCAATTCCTTCCCTCTCCCCGACCTTCCTCGGTGGAAATCCCAGCCGTGTCTGGCCCACCCCCTTCGCTTCCCGTTTTTCTTTTAATTGAATCGCTGTACCGAGTACGTTGGGTACTCAAATACCTATCATGTCCAAAGAGGAGAACGGTCAGGCTGTCATGGCCGACCCGGGAGTGGTCGAAGGCAAACCTCCTCCGCATTACGATGTCGCCGAAGGCGCCCAGGAGAGCCAGGAGGGCTTCTGGCGCGACAAGGAGGATTTCTGGACGCGGATGGGCCTCAGCGGTCGCTCCTTCGGTCGCCGCGAGGACGGCGGTTCCTTTGAGCTGGAGCGCACGATGAAGGGCCGCCATCTGAACATGATCGCCATCGGCGGTTCCATCGGCGCTGGCTTCTTCGTCGGTTCCGGCAGCGCCCTGGCCACTGGCGGGCCTGGTTCCTTATTTATCTGCTTCCTCATCTGTGGTGTCATGCTGTTCAACACCGTCTATGCCCTCGGTGAACTCGCCATCATGTATCCTGTCTCCGGCGGTTTCTACACCCTGTCTACCCGCTTCATCGATCCGTCCTGGGGTTTCGCCATGGGCTGGAACTACGTCTTACAATGGGCCGTTGTGCTCCCTCTCGAGCTGACAGTCTGTGGTTTCACCGTACAATACTGGAACAGAGACATCAGTGTCGGTAAGTTACAATCTACTACTGCTGCTACTTGCTATCTATAAAGCTAACTGTTCTCTCTCTAGGCGTCTGGGTGACGGTCTTCCTGGTCGCTATCGTCCTGCTGAACATCTTTGGTGGTATCGGTTATGCCGAGGAGGAGTTCGTTGCTGCAACCCTTAAGCTCACCGCCACCGTCATCTTCATGGTCATCGCTTTGATCTTGGTCTGTGGTGGTGGTCCCTCTGATGGCCGCTACTCGGAATACTGGGGTGCCCGCCTGTGGTACAACCCTGGCGCCTTCAAGTACGGCTTCCGGGGCTTCTGCAGTGTCTTCGTCACCGCAGCTTTCTCCTTCAGCGGTACCGAGCTTGTCGGTCTCGCCGCCGCTGAGGCCCGTAACCCTGTCAAGACGATGCCCGGTGCGATCAAGCAGGTCTTCTGGCGAATTACCCTGTATTTTCCCTCTCTCTCTCTCTATTTTCTTTGCTAATTTGCTCTCCCCAGCTTCTACATCCTTGGTCTCTTCTTTGTGGGCCTGCTTGTCTCGAGCGATGACCCGAACCTGCTCAATTCCCCCGACGCGGCCTCCAACGTGATCGATGACCCCAACACCTCCCCCTTTGTGCTGGCCAGCAAGTACGCCGGTCTCTCAGGCTTCGCCGACTTCATGAACGTGATCATCCTGATTTCCGTCCTGTCCATCAGCATGTCCGCCGTGTACGGTGGTTCGCGCTGTCTGACCGGTCTTTCCCAGCGCGGCCATGCCCCCAAGATCTTCAACTATATTGACCGCTCGGGGCGCCCCCTGGTGAGCACCGTCTTCATCATCATCTGGGGCTTCATCGCCTATATCGGTCTCAGCGCAAAGGATTCCACCGTCTTCGACTGGCTCGAGGCCTTGTCCGGTCTGGCCGCCCTGTTCACCTGGGGCAGTATCTGTCTCTGCCACATCCGCTTCCGCAAGGCTTGGGCCCACCAAGGCCACTCGCTCGATGAGATCCCCTTCAAGGCTGTCGGCGGTATCTATGGAAGCTACCTCGGCCTGGCACTCAACATCCTCTCCATGCTTGCCCAGGTAAGTGAAATCTAATCTCCATTTAAGACTCTTAACAGTCTTCTAGTTGAAACTAATCAAATTTCAGTTGTTCACTGCCATCGCTCCCGCCGGAGGTGGTATCAACGGTGCCTACGGCTTCTTCGAGTCCTACCTCGCCCTCCCCGTCGTCATCGCCTTCTGGATCTTTGGCTACGTCTGGAAGCGCCAGGGCTGGATCTCCATCGACAAGATCGATATCGACACCGACCGTCGCCCGCTGCCCTGGGACGAGATCAACGCCTACCGCGCCCAGGTGGCGGCCATGCCCGCCTGGCGACGACTCATCCATACTGTTTTCTTGTAAGACTTGCAGCCACATGGCTGTCTGTCTATGGGTTTCACGATATAATTATTATATCCCTATAGGATGCCGACCATGATTAATAATGCTTCCCATCTCTACTGTATCTTGATATCCATGTAATGAATAAGTATTTATCAACCTCTGCACAGTACTCTATAATGGTCTTCTGAGTATTCAGGACAGTTCTAGACTAATGAGAGCGGACCAGTAACCTTCTATTTAAATATATCACTGAACAAGAACAAGGCAAGTCTATTATATCCATACAATTCTCAATCCCTAGCGATCCTAAGCTGGATGAAATGGACGAGAGCAAAAATCACTCCGGCAGCAGTGACCATCGTCGCCGCAAAGACGAAGCCATGGCTGAATTCACCTTCGGAAACATGAATCATGGCTCCCGCGATGGGATTCCCAATCAGAAACCCAAAGCTGAGGACCAGGAAACTCATGCCCATCCAGGTCCCCACGCGCCCGAGATCTGGCGGTAATCGCGCCAGCACGGAAGCCGGCAGCGAGACGACGGCCCCCGAGAAGAAGCCATAAAGAAGACAAAAGACGATCAGGCCTGCTGGGTCGTGGATGGCGATCCACGCATAGGAAAGCAGAGCCGAGACGGCCGTACAGAGCACCATAATCTGCAAGGACCCGAACCGATCAGCCAGAAGGCCCGGGATGATACGGCCGAAAACAGAAGACCCGTTGAGCAGAGAAAGCATGTAGAAGGCCAGGGACTCGTCCATCCCCGCTTTACTCTGCGCGTAGAAGATGACATAGAAGAAAGGAATGTATAGTCCCATAAAGGCGAAGAACGACCCAATACTGAACAGGACGAAAGGGAGGGAGCGAAACGCCGCGGAGTCAATCATACTTCGGGCTCGCTTTGGAGGAGGCAGTCTCGTCCGGAGCACGGCGATCGCCCCCGTCAACGTCGCCAGGGCGATGAACCCGATCACGCGCGTCGCCCAGGGAAACCCGATCGAAGGCTGCAGTCGGCGAAACACAATCGGGTAGATCACGCTGCCGATGCTGCCGCCCGACACGGTGACTCCCGTGGCGAAGGCGCGCCGGCGACTGAAATAGGTGGCTACGATGGCCACGCTGGGGAGGAAGAGACATCCCGCCCCGAGACCGACGCAGATCCCCTGCCCTAGAAACACTTGCCAGTATGTCGTCGCCAGGCTGGTCATCATCATCCCGAAAACTACCAGGAATGTACCCGTGACAAGCAAGTGGCGGAAGTATCCCCGGTCGAAGATCGGCCCGCCGATGATCCCCAGCACGATCAGGAAGAATCCCTGCACGGTTCCGATCCAGGAGATCTCCGAAGAAGTTCGCCCGCTCATGAAATCGGTTTCGTAAAAGGTTTCGTACGCGCCGAACGTATTGATGATGCCCCTGCAGATCACCTCTAGTTAGTACACTACTCACTACCTTTGGTTACTGCTTAAGTGGCATTACCATGAATTGAAGCAGAGGAGATGCCCTCCCAGAACTTGCAGCCATGCAGTCATCCCTCCATCTGGGGGAGGCGGAGGGGTCGCCTGGTCTGACGTCTCGATGGTTGTCTCTGAATCGCTAGCCGGGTCTTGCTTGATATCGGACATTTTGAGCACGAAGACGGTATGAATTCGTATATAAGTAGTAGGAGTATATAAGTGGTAGAATAGATAATCCCTGTATCTACTTGAGATCTCTGGACTTTATATTATGCTAACGCGCTGTCGTGAATCTCGTCTTCGCAGAGCGAGGCGGATACTTGCCCGATCGGGCAACTTTCGCTAATTTTCCGCTGAGCGAAGACCCTGAAGGGGTAATCCTGAGATTGCTTGCCGAAACTCGCATTTGTCAGAGAGTAGTTAATAACTAGGCCGTATAATTTAACCGGATATATCTATAGAGAATATTTATGACGTTAACAGATGACATATACGCTCCGCTCTGCAAACTAACCATCCTGCGGACATTGCACTGTGAAATCCCTCAGCCCCCAATCTTCCCTCTGCGCCAGCCGAGCGATAGTTGCCGTCCGGCGTCGTATCCCTTCGAGAACCTGCAGCACCCAGCGGAGATTCGACTGGCCCGTCTGGGACCCGAACTTGCAGTTGGTCTGCTTGCCGTAGTATTCCTTGACGGCCGCATCCATCTCATCGACCAGGCGGCTCACTTTCCGTGCCGTGGAGAGGATCAGCATGCGCTTGTGGGTGCGGTCGTCCTCCTCGTCCAGTTGGAACGTGCCGACCGACATCCTCGTGCGCTGGACGTAGGTCGCGCCGTTCTTGGATACATGGCAGACCAGCAGGATCATCCGCTGCATCGCAATCGTCACCAGGATGAAGGCAAAGGAGGTCCGTGAACAGAGCAGGCAGGCAAGGTACTCGCTAATGCTCTGACTGATCTTGCGTACCGTCCCGAGCACCGTGTCTAGCTCGATGGTGTCGTAGTCGACGTGTCCGTAAAGCTCGGCAACGCAGTGCAGTTGCGTGTTCAGACACGAACACCGGCTGGAGGACTCTGGTCCCGGAAGTAACGGCTGATCCAAAGCAAGTGGAAACATCAGCGGTGGCGGGTTGGTGGTTGGCCATATATTTGGTTCCAGACTCGTTCCTGTAGACAGGTCAGGTAACGGACTGCCTGCAATCTGACTGAATGAGAATTCGGACTGTAAACCAATTAGACATAAAATATTTGAATCTGGTACTAGCAGGATAAGAGCCTACCGGCAGACTAGGGAGTTGGAGATGGCTGAAATCCATCGCAGGAAATGTAGGCATCCCCGAATTCGAGAAACCTGGTAACTGCGGTGTATTCGACGCATTTTCGGACCCCTTCTCTTGTGAATCGACGCTATTGTCTGGTGTGTTCACGGCGAACGGACTGTCTCGCTGCGAGTTCTCGCCACTCGTCGATGGCGATAATCCAGACCCCTCCGACTGTCTCGTCACTTTTAATCGCCCTTTGCGCAGCGATGGACTGTAGTGACAGCGATGGCTATTGCCTTCGCAACGCCGACATGGATGACCCCCGTTGCACTTTACGCGGGCCTGGCGACATAGATCACAGGCAGAGCGAAGCTTGCCGGTCAAGGCGGCTCGGGGGCGGCTCTCTCGAGATGATCGGTCTGTGGTATTCCACTTGCTTCGAAACTCGTCAGGGACTGCTGTTGAAGATACCATCTTGATGAACTGTAGGTGTGTGGATGATGAGAGAGACAAGAAGAGTGAGAGGAGGTCATTCAGCCAGATTACTAAGTCGTATTCACCATCCAAAAAGAAACACTCTCTTTCTACATACCAACCACATCTTTTTTTCTTCTTTCTTTAGTCTACTCGCTTTATTGTTGATCGGTGAGACTACGTGACTCTCTTCCCTATACTGAAATTATTGAAATAGGCTCCATCAATATAAATATATTCGCTGCTCTCCAATCATTCAATCCAAGGCATTCTCGGCGACCGTCGATACTTCTCCCTGCTTTTCAGATTGTTGTAGGTATAATCGGTCTGACGACACCACGTCTTATCTGTTCGATAGTCGCCGTACCCCAGATTCCTAGACGTGTGGAATGAGAAGGAGACGCCATCCGTCAACGGCATGAATCGTGACCAGCGTAGGTCGGTGAATCGAGTCTGGCACCACCTACAGCCAACCTCTCTGCTGTATCTGACATAGCTGTCACTGGGAATCAGCATATCATCATCGTCGTCATCGTCGCCGTCGTTGTGGTCGTCGTCGGGAGAACCAAGTTGCTGTGCGTCAAGCAAATGTCGACGCAGCTCCCGGTGCGGACACAGCAGTAAGGGGATACCCATCCGTTCGAGCTTGTCAAATACATATACCCTCCACAATGCATCTATCTGTAGCTGTCCGTCTCCCTGTAGAATCGCCGTGACAACCACAGAGAGCCTGGCTTGAGCGTACTGGGCGGACTCCTCACGCAGTAGCATTGCCCCCCCATCTGCGGAGATGACGACGGAGAACATATTTTTCAGCCTGCCACGAGGCTCACAGCCCGCCCGGAGAGACCAGACCAGGTCGACTTTATCGGGGTATGTGAGCTTCAGGGTAGGCAGGATCTCGACCATCCCGCATCGCGGCCCGAGCACGCAGACTCGTCGCCTCGCGGGCTGCAGCAGCCGGCTGTAGCGCGAGAACTGTGAACGAGGGTGTAGCTTGATGCAGCCAGAGCAGATCCGCCAGTGCTCATCCTGGAGGCGTCGAAGAAGCATCCATCGGTTTGACCTGTGGGATCTTGGGCGACACCCATCCGGAGGGACGGCGAGGCAGACTCGTGACTGGTGGCTGGCCGTTGAGAAGATGGCGAGGAAGGTCCAGCATGTGATTGCGAGACAGACCCGATCAATACCAGATATGTATTTTGTGATCGCCAACACAATCTCAATGGGGATTTGTAGCAAAGGGGGTACGCTGCCCGGTGGCAGGGGTGGTGGTAGTGGTGGTGGTTCAGGGGGCCGATATTTGAAATAGAACTTGAGCGGAGGGTGGCCAAACTTCACCATGTCGATCTAGTATGGAGGGCATCTCTATAGCTCGGGTGTTTCCAGTCTGTGTTTTTCAAGGCGTGTCTATTATTTATCAACGGATGATGTCAATATGTCGACTTGATGGATTGCAATCTTGGTTGAACCGTTCTTCTCCTTTCACCCACCTCTGTTTGTTGATTATTATCATCTTGCTCAGCATCGGATTATTCTTTTGCAGTCGGGTCAAAAACCGAGCGAGCAATTCGATCAATTAAATCCAGAAACAATGGTTGATTCTTGATTGCACCTTTAAGTGCCAATACTCTAATTCTATATATAACGGCAATTAAATCCTTCCTATGCAAAACTAATTTTTTTTTCCCAATGCCAAACAAGTTTTCATCAGCCCACTAACAAAAGCATTTCATCATTCAATCTCGGAGAGTCAAGTTGCACATTTCATAGGGAAGTCGGTGGCGCCTATTACCGGCACCGCCGGGCAATCTAGACCGAGTTGGTGGCCAGATTGAGCTCCCGATGGCTGAGATCGTGACGGTCCTTGAAGACCTCGGTGATCTCTTCAAGGCAGTCTGCGGCAGCGGCAAAGAAACCAAGGAAGGTCTTGCTCGGCGCCAGGACACGGCTCAGATACTCCGGGTGGAACTGTACGCCGACGTACCACTTGTGGTCCTTGAGCTCGACGATCTCCATTCGCTTGCCGGTTTCATCCTTGCCAACGAACGACAGGCCACCTTTTTCAAGGTCCTCCACCAGGTCTGGGTTGACTTCGTAGCGGTGACGGTGTCTTTCCCAGATCTGCTGCTTGTCGCCGTACAGCTTCCGCAGGCGAGACCATTCAGTGCCGGGCTGGAATTGGGTGGCGCGTTTTCCTAGTCGCATCGTGCCGCCCATCTTTGTTTTGTCGATCTCAGGCATGTAGACAATCACAGGCTGCTCGCACTGTTCGTGGAATTCGGCACTGCCAGCCTTGCTCATGCCGCATACGTTCCGAGCAAACTCAATCACGGAAACTTGCATGCCGAGGCAAACACCAAGGTAAGGGATGTTGTTGACACGAGCCCACTGGGCCGCTTTGATCATACCCTCCGTACCACGCTCTCCGAAACCACCCTGATCCCAAGATATTAGAAGAAAGTCAAAACATGATTCAATTGACCCGTGAACATACCGGGACCAAAATTCCGTTCGCTGTGGAGACCGAGTGCCAGGCCTTGTAGTATTCAGCAGGGTTCGCTTCCTTGTGTTCGTCCTCCAGGTGAGATGAGTCCACCCAGATCAGGTTCAGCTTCTTTTGGCAATGCATTGCCGCATGTTCCAAAGCCTTGTTCACGCTCATATACGAATCGCGGAGACTGATGTACTTGCCGACCAGGGCAATCGTAACCGTGTCGAGAATGTGATTTTGGCTGGTAGCCAGACCTTGCCATTGCTGCCAGATTGTCTTGCCTTGCTCAACAAGCTTGGGATCTTTCTGCATGGACGGGGCATCAATCTGGAGCAGTTCCTTCACGGTGTTGAGGAAACCCTGACTTTCAAGAAGGATAGGAACCTGGTATGTGCTTGGGACGTTGTGAACACCCACGACCTGTCCCTGTTCCACCTGGCAGGCATGAGCGATTTTCTGGATGGTGGCCATTTCGAGAGGGGCCTCGCAGCGGCACGCAATCAGGTCCGGTCTCAAACCGGCGCTGCGGACATCGCTGATAGCTCTTTGGGTGGGTTTGGTCTTTTGCTCAGAACCGATTAACGGAACATAGCTGACATGAATTTGCAGGAAGTTGTTCTTTCCCGCCCGCCTCTGAAGCTGGCTCATGGCTTCAATGAAAGGAGCGCTCTCAATATCTCCGACTAGAGAATGGCGTCTATTAGCAAGTGGCAAGAAGGACTAGATATCGTCACACCATACCTGTTCCACCAAGCTTAGAGCGAAAGTCATGTTAGTACATGGCAAAAGCAATGTTGCTATCCCCAGGAGGAAACACTCACTTCAACTAGAGAATTCGGTCAGTAAAACATCATTCTACAACTCCAGGCAAAACACTCACTGATACAAACATCCGGCTGTCTTCCAGACTCATCGACAGGAACCTTGGCAACCCGCTCGACCCACTGGTAACACGTTAGATCTGCTCAAGATAGCAGGACTCAGAATTCTGGAGTGCAGAACGAACGCTTTGGATTTCGTTGGTCAGATGTGGCACAATCTGGACTGGAATTTTGTCAGAACAAGCCATCGATAGAAATATCCCTTCCAGGGTGTATATCCACGAACCCGTCTTTCCAAGATAGTCTCCGCGACGTTCCTTGTTGATAACATGCTGATAGATCTTGCCCGTAGTGATATTGTTATCTTTCCCGAGTGTGACACCGAGGTAACGTTCGTAGTTTCCAAGATCGAGGTCGGCTTCACCGCCATCATCTAAGACGAAACATTCGCCATGCCTTTTTTTGTCCGCCCATAGTCAGCCTCATCGGAATCCAACAAAGCACAGTGGAGTCAAACTAACTCAAGAGGGTTCATAAGACCGGCGTCAACCGAAAGATACGGGTCGATTTTGATGCTGGAGACGGCCAGGCCTGCAGTTTTCAGCAGCAAACCGCAGCTGCTGGCAATAATGCCCTTCCCAACACCGGAGATGACACCTGCACTCGTGAGCAGTGCGACTTAGCAGGAAAACGATTGGGGAAAAAAAAAACATACCTCCAGAAACCAAAACGTACTTCATCTTTGCAGTAATATAAGGAGTGTGGCGACAATAAATTCGACGATTGCCCTCCTGGTTTTAAGCCAGGGAGGGGGGGGAGAAAAGAAAAAAAGGCGGCTATACAAGGCGGGACGAACCATTCTAGGCGCCAGCTGCAGGAAAAAAAAAAGGTCACGTGTGGTGGGCAACGGTGGCAGAAAGACACCGCCCCGTGATTCGACTGGCGGGGAATTCCATAAAAAAAGGGTTTCTTTTGTTACAAGAAGTTTGAAGGTAATAAATACATGAAATCGACATATCTACCTGTCCGTTTGAGCTGCTTGCTGTATCAGTTCCTTCAGGGGCCCAATATACCTTCCTCTTCCTCGCACGAGCCAGTCGCAGATCAAAAACAGCAGGACTCCCAAAAACACGGGGCCCGAGTAATTCATATTCGTCGCAGACACAGGGACCTCCGTCGGGAAGATGACAAATATACACACAAAGATTGCGTAGACAATGGCGTAAAGATTGACGGCCAACCCCCATCGGCCCATTGTCCAGGGGCCGAAAGTGATTGGCTCGTGTAGAAGGCGTTTGCGAAGCATGAGGACCACAGGAATAGTGTATGAAACATAGATGGAGCTAGTGGTCAGCGCCAGGATGGCTTCGAGAGCAGTAGTGGAGGCGATATTGATCAGGGAAAGAACCATGGTGATAACACTGACGAGGCAAATGGAGCGGAAGGGGATGTGGTATTTCCCGTCGACCTTGGCGAAGAATTTGGAATAAGGAAGACCACCATCACGAGCAAAGGCCCAGGTGAGTCGAGAGACAGAAGCAAGGAATGCAATGTTGGAGACAAAGCCGACGGAAGTGATTGCGGCTTGCATGGCGGTAGCCGCCCTCACCGACCCGGTGGTCTGGTACAATATGGCAATGATCGGGTACCCTGTTGGCGTAGACATGACGGTGTCGACGTCTCCGATGCAATATAAGAGGACAAGAATAAAGGCAAATGCCAAAGTCCCGTTGATGGCAATGGTTTGAATGAGAATCCGTGGGATGACTTTGGCTGGGTTACGGACTTCCTCACTCATGTGAAGCGCTCCGTCGAATCCTGTCAACGACTTAGTGTGAGTCTCAGCAAGGAGGAATGTGCGATGACTGCACAAGTCACCTCGATTCTCTTACCAGTCAGAGAGTACGTGACAGTCAACATCCCCAGACACCAGGCGACGCCATTGCTCTTCCATCCGTTCTCGTTCAACAGCTGGGTGAACACAAACTTGGACGTACTCCGTGGCGACAGCAAAACCAACGGAACGACCAGGACGATGAAAAATGCAATATGCATAATTCCCCCGCACAGCTGCAGTAGCGGTAGGCTTCTGACGGCGAAGATGTTGATTGCGAGCGAAACGAGCATCACCGCCCACATCAGCAAGGTTCCGTGCCATCGCTCATAGACATAATCGGGGTAGTTTAGAATCATGAGGCCTTGGATCTGCGTTGCGACGAGGAAACAAATGCTAGTGCCGGCAGCCTGCCAGGCAAAGACGGTGATCCAGCCTGTGCGAATAAAGACCGTTAAACTCGCCCTCGATCTCGCCTGAGGGGGAAGGGGGGAGTTCTTTGACTACCGTACCTTGCATCCAGGTGCAGAACGCCCTGATCTTCGGCGGCGCCAGCAGTGCAGTCCAGTGGTATTGGGCTCCTGCGAGCGGGCATATCGATGCCAGTTCACCCAACGACATAGCCAAGGCCATCGTTCCGGAAATTGACAACAGCATCCCCCAGACCAGAGCGGCTGGTCCCCCGTTGGTCAACCCTTCGCTGAATCCGCTATTCATGCAAGCCAGTTACTACTCTGCAGTCTAAACCAGGACGTATTCAACGTGCCTACCTCGCGATAGACTCCCAAGAAGCCAGCAATGTGATCGACAGGGCCAAGATGGAAAGCGACCCGAACTTCCTCTAAACCGAGCAGCGGGCGAACCGTTAGCAAACACCTCTCTCTTGCTTCGAATGGACTCAAAAGTCTTGATTCAACCTCTTTCTTACCTCCATCTGATATCTTGCACCTGTATTGCTCGCCGATCCGATCATCCCGTTGGAGCCACCGTCTCTCTGCTTCAGCCCACTGTTAGGCTGGATCTCCTGCACATACTGCCGCGGGACTCTAGTCCCAAACGGCGTCATCTCGATTGAATCCTGCGACATGGTGACTGTAGAGCTGTCCTGGACATCGGATGGTGGTTTGCAAGGTCACACAAAAGGCATCTCCGTTGGTCGCGGAGGAGGGGGTTGTACAGCGACTGTCCACCCCTCCGACAAGGATATCTTAACTTCCAGATAAAGGGCGACGACTAACTACCGACCAGGTTGAAGACGGAACACATGTGCCTTGGTACTATTTAATTTCGGAGCACGCCACAGGACCAGGGTAATCGGATTGTACCATCGGCCACATGGTTGGCCACAGAAAGTAGAGGCTAGAATGTCGCGGGTTTTCCCCTGGTCTACTCCGTACTCCGTACACCTGTTCACGGGCTAATAGCGGCCATCTGGATGAGAATGGATATGGCTTCTTTTCTTTTTTCTTCTTCCACGACTAGTCTCGCCTATGCAAGTCAGTTTTCCCCTATCACGGCCGTGCTGAAGCGGCCGATGTAACGATTGTTTCGCCCCACAGCCAGCAACCTGGCCTTGATAAGCTACAATCCGCCGACTATCGCGCAACTCTCGCCACTGGTAGGTCAGGCTAGAAGCACAACCCCCCCCCGGTCCAGAACAGAAAGCACTAATGGTTTCTTCTTAGGGGATGGCTCGTATAACATGGGTTACGGAAGGAACAGTGTCCTGGACAATACTCCGTAGGTGGGCCAACAAGAGGCGAGTTCTGCGAGTTCTGCGAGTTCGCCCCTGAAGACTTGTTGCTCCTTCAGCAACACGCAAGCGTCACGGAGGAGTTAAAACATTTCCCAGGATCAAGGGTCCAGTGGCACGTTATCCATGATTAGCTATTCCTACGCTGTGTATATCATTTCAGACTGCCCGTTGGACCAATTCTAAATCCTTCGACTGAGTCCTTCCGAACTCTTTTCAGCCTGGCCCCCAAACTCCGCTACCACCACTACGACAGTGGTGCGGTGATCAGGACTACATGGCAGGGACACTGCCACCCATCTTCCCCATCACGGCGGACGATCACGGCGGGTATGTCGCTGTCTCGGTGTATACGCTGCTTTGCTTGACTCTCGTGTTAGTCGTTGCGCGGCTGTTTACTCGATGGTATATCGCAAGAGTCATCCACGCGGACGACATACTCCTCGGCGTGGCGATGGTAAGCAAGGCTCTCCCCGCGCACTCCGACTGGCGTGGCTGCTCGAATAGTTGAACTGATGGGGGCCCCGGGGGCAAATGAACGAACAGGGCCTTGCAATATTCCAAAGCGCATTCGTTCAACTGGCAATCGACCACGGACTCGGAAAACGGATCAGCACTGTCTCGACTGGCGAGTATGACGCATTTCAGAAGGTAACAATGGACCCTGTGGGCGTTTGGACCATACCATAAGATGACGAGGTCTTCTTACACCTGATACAGTATATCTATGCGACCCAAATCCTCCTGATCGCCACCGTCACCTGCAGCAAGCTCTCGCTCTCGCTCCTCTTCCGCACGTTGACGGCTGAAGGAAGCTTGAAGTATACTGGCCATGCCGTGATCGCCGTCATTATACTGTGGGCAGTGTCCTCGATATTTGCCCTCGCTTTTCGGTGCTCATTGCCTCATCCGTGGATATATTCCCAGACACGTTGCATCGACCAGGTAAGTGGTAACCAAGTCGTGAAACATCCTCACATCCTAAGCCAAAGGCAATCTCTCCGTCTTCAGTATGATAATAACGGGTTTAGGGCGCACTTGTAACGGCCATCGGGGTAGTGAATATCTTGACTGACATCTTGTTGGTTTTGATTCCTTGCATTGTACTTCACCAAGTGCAAATTACCAGGTCGAAGCGGCTGAGGATCATGGCCATGCTTGCCACTCGTTTTCTGTACAAGAAGCTCCTATCTAATTCTTTTTTTTTCCATGATAGAGTATAGCACCTGCTGACTTGTATCTTTCAGGGTCTGCATCGCGACTGGACTGGAGATCCACTATGCGCTTATTGCGCTCCATGATTCTGACCGAACATGTACGATCTCCAACCAACTACTAGTTGCTGTGGTTTGACTTGCCTTTCGCTAATCAGATCTAGGGGCGAGTATCGCTTCAGTGATATGGGATCAGTACGTGTCGAAGAAAGCGAAAAGAGGGAAACGAAGAAGAAGGAGGACTAACCGGATTATAGGGCTATGATGAATCTCAGCATCATCACGACAGCCGTTCCCTCCCTCGGCCGCCTCGTTGTCGAGCTCAAGCCCAGCCTTAACGCGTTCACCTTCACCAAACAGCACACGTACTCGCCGAACACGAACTACATCGTTTCATCGATGTCTAGCCACTTCAGAAGTGAACAGCGCAACATGGGCGAGGACCTGGGTACTCGTACCTCCGTCCACGGGCGTGGGCAATCACACAAAGAAGACTCGGACAGTACCAAAGAGCTGGTAATGGGAGAGCCCGCGCAGCAGATGTCGATCACGAAAACGGTTGATTTCGAGATACGATAAATCTACCTGGCTATACATGTACAACAGTCTAGACAACGATATTAATGATGTATATGGATATACGGAGTATAACTAGAGTTATTGCATCAATATTCTCTTTAATCATACATAGCGTGAGGGATTGTTGTCGGGTAAGTTCATTGCCGCAAGGCAAGCTCATTGCCAACGGGTCCGAAGATGGCATGGATGTAAGTCGGTCTCTGAGCTTAGGAAGGTAAAGGAGCAAGATTACATATCGTATCGTTTCCAAGTTCTTGTCCCTTGTCAGTGACATGAATGGGAGATCAGTATTTTTCCGTAAGACTCGTAAAGTAATCAATTCCGATACCGCACAGAGTACTCCGTACCTAGATTAGAGATAGGTAGCATGTAAGATTAATATTTTGATCCACGATCAGCAATCAGATCGGTGGAATCTTGTTGATCGATCGTTCCCTTGGTAGATGAGTTGATGTGGAGTGGTTTTCATACCTAACCGCTGTGCTAATGTCGATCATGATCTCCCGCTGATCATCGCAATCAGATCGGGGAACGGGACGCCCGAAATCGATCGAGGTTGGGCATTCACTAGTCAACTAGCCAATATTCTTGTGGATCTGTCTGCAATCGTGTTGCGCGATGTGCGACGAGGTCCATAGCTACGGAAAAACTGTGAAGCGGCCTGACCAAGATCTCCTTTTATGGAGACGACAAGCCTCTGGTTGCCACGAGGATAGGACAAGCGGTGTATTCCGGATGAAATTCGCTGTACTCCGTATTAGATAGCACAGAGTACTCCGTATTACGTACTCCGTATATCGTGTCAATGGTATTATGTGCTGTGTAATACTGGAACGATCACCAGCCAGGAAAGCCGATAAGATGTTGCAACTCGCCAGAAGGGTGTCTGTACTTTGTATAGAGTACTAATGAGACACGTAAAAATACTGGCGGGTCCAATGTTAGCACAAGGATCACCAGAGGCGTCGTCTCCAGGTTCAAAAATCAGTGTCCTCGGAGTTCTTTGGAAACTGGGCCTTACCCAGTGACGGATTCGTATTGAATACCCGATTGATAGTCGTATAGTCTGGCTCTCGAGATATTATCCGTATTGAGGTGGTTTAACAGCCGGTCTGAGAAGCCGTTTCTTCTTCATATTCAAGAGCTTAGAGGTCTGTTTCACGGCTAACAATGGTCTCCAAGCTGGATATGAACGTAAGATCAGATGAATACTACCGAGAATCGAGTCATTAGAAGTCTAGTTGCCTTCCGTCCATAGTTGAAGCTGCTGCAGAGGAAGAAGGAGAATCAAGGCGTACACCTGCGTCCAGAGCCGGATGCCTGAGAAGTAAGGCACAGGACGCCTGCTTTGGGAAGTCACGGGCGAGGAGTGACCTTCGATCACGGGACGGTGACGATGTTAGTCACCTGAGATTGACGCTCCTGCCATCTTCAACTATTCTTGTCCAACAGCCTCACACTATTTCGACTCCTCTTCAAAGTGTCGATACAGCAGGGGTCGAGTGAGGTACGTACTACCAGGCATAGTACTATCTAGGTTAAGAATCGTTATTATTAACATAACTAACATTATTAACATTACTATTATAATATAGGGAATGCTGAAGCCGTTACCATGCCTCTCTTGACAGATTATGTCTCTGCTCATACTGGACAATCACGTCGTCCTGTCTCTGGATAGTCAGTGTCGCTTCATCGTCGCCTAGGCTATCCTTTCGGTTCTTCAGCCGACTGGACAACTCGACTTTCGATCCATCCTTTTTATTAGAGCCGTTTCGGTTACTTCTCTCGTTGGAGACCGGTGTGTACGGATCGGTGCTGCCAAGGGCTCGCTTGCCGAGAAGTAGTTCGATCAATGGCGCAAGGGTGGGAATACACGCTGCGATGATGATAGTATTCGACTCGATACTAACATGACTCATTAAAACACACTCAACCTCTAGAAAAAAGAACAGGGTATTCTTACTCGGTCCAGATAAAGACATCAGCGCTTGCATCTGGAGGAAGATGTTAATAAGCCTTTCTATTCGAACGTGTGAGGAACCGGAGTATTCTCACAGGTAGTATCCGAACGGTTGTACAGGGATGGCAGCCGTGAACATTTCACAATGGCCATAACACAGGCACTGTCGAGGTCGTGAGAAAGGTGTTTGTACCTTTTCGGGGCCACAAGGATGAACTTACAATACCCCAAGGCCCATAGCGATGCTGAGTCCGATCTTCTTTTTTCGGTGCATGTGGAGTTTTACTAAGATCAGAATAGGATAGATCGCAAGGTATAGGTCCACGGCTGCCGAAAGGCCTGTGTCAAAAGACTGTTAGTCATGGCAATACTCGAAGATGGGAAACCCGGCGCCTCACATCCTACCGCAATCGAGTATTCCACCAGGATAGACGCGTTCCAGCACTTTGCGCCCTGGATACCATCCACCCACAAGGCCCTGGTAGGGTGACACTGTGCAAATAGGATCACCACGCAGCAAAGTGCCGCCAGCCCAGTTCCACACACTAGGGTCCACATGAAGATGCGCTGTGATCGACTAGGATTCATGATTCGGACGAGGAGTGCCACGACCGCTAACTTGGGTAAACAGAATGACAAGATTCCAGGTGCAAACGCCACAGCGTTGAAGAACTTGGCCCGTTCCAGCTCATGTGGTTCAAGGGTCGAGGCATGTCTTCCGTACCCGGCATGGATTGAGACAGTTACAATCGAGGCATATATGTACTCGATGATCTAGTCATGAAGAGATCGTCAGTTCCCATGCCATAAGGAGAGATGCAATTTGAAAGGGGCTTCATAGTCACACCATCGACGCGCTGATCAAGATATCATCCAATCCTGTTTTTTGCAAGACATAGATTCGGACAAACAATCTGGCGAGGACGAAGACGGAAGAAATGGCTGTCAAGACCCAGATTATGCTGAGGATGGTAGGGCCTTTATCCTGGCTTATGCCATCGCCTGAAGAGTCGGTCATCGGTAAGAAGAAGAGTAGTCTATCCGCATCGTTTGTTCACTTCATGTCTGATGATCTGACGGGCTTGAAAATGTGGCAGAACAGGGAAGCAATCCCAAAGGCAGCAGCGTTCTTTCCAAACCCTAGTTTTACGGCGAACAGAATTCCGGGTTTGAGTACCTTCATATACGAGGCACGGGGGGGTCCATTATGAGTATTTCCGATTCCCTAGCGCACTGTTTTTCAAGTTTTCTGGGTCAGGTGGATAGATGACCGCCGGCATTCCTTCATGCCTCCTTGCCACTTTAGGGAACAGTGAGAACTGGGCAGTCCCTCATTTATCGGCTTCCCTAGCCGTTTATGAGAGGAAAGACGGAGCGGGCTATAAAGAGTCTGGATTGAACCATCCTTTTTTCGAGCCAAAGAGGAGGCTTTTGATCATCGACGGTTCAAATTGCCATTCCAGGAAGTCGGGACGGTTCATTTCCCCACTGTGGTGCACTTTAGCCTCGCTGACAGCCCGCCGATCAGGGGTTAGACGGTATTCTTGCCTGCAGGCTGTCATCGTGTGCAGAAACCTTCCCAGTGCAGAAAATGACAGGCGCCTCCCCTCGTGCTATAGCCACTAGCCGATGGAGAGCCTCGTTTTTGATGGAAAGAAAAAATATAACCAATACTCTCACATGGTTCTTTCCAAAAGGTTGGTACGAGTTACCAACCCGTCGGTGAATCAGCGGTGTGGTTTGTCCTCTTCCTCCTGGCGCACAGACATTAGGTGGTGGGGAAGCGGTTGCGATAGCGTTCGCAGGAACGGCCTGTTGGATACTGGAAACCAACCACATTGGTTCGATTTGTAGTGAGATGTCAGATGCGGATGGTGATAAGTATAACTATTTTCCGACCCTGGTGGGAGATGAACCCAAATCGCCGGGTCGCTTGCAGCTTGCGAGAAATGACCGCTGATCCCGTGCAGATTCAGCCATCGGTGGTTTGTCGCTCAGGGCTCGAGGCTTGAGGGTCAATGACGATGCCATATGGAGACTGTTATTATTAGTGCCCAGCCATTTGGCATCTGGATTCTTTTCCCGGAATGGCAGGCCTTGGCGCTTCGTTGAGCCGGGGTGTTTCATCAACTCGGTGGCTTCTGACAGAGAGAGATCCTGTGGGAATTACTACGGAGTACACACGGCGTAATTTGCAGATGATAGGGGTAATCCGTTCCTGGCGCTGGGATATCATATGATGTAACCACAGTATTCATGTAACTTAGTTATGTACATAAGGAGTAGATTAACCATCCTATTTATTCACTGACGATACTCTATGTAATACAGAGTAGTTACTGCATCTACTAGATATTGTACTTATCCAGGCTCGTAGTTTCGGATATAAATGTAGTATGTGAGTGCATTATATTCAGGTTATATACTGTGTAGAAACTATGCATCACGGGGTTTCAACATGAGCCCCTCTTTCAGCGCCATGGTGATATCCTTGCCCTCGACTTGAGCGACGATGGTATACACCCAGCGAAGACGAGCCAGGGCAACTGGCAAACCGGCACGACGGTACCTCACGACAGCCGCGTGGTAGAGGGAGCGGACGAAGACGAGCCTGAGCGGGGCGCCGTGGTCGACGAGGTATCGGTAGAGCTGGTGGAGGAGGAAGAAGGCGCGGCAGGGGCTAAGGTGAGGCGAGGTAGCGAAGGAGACGGCCAAAGCGTGGATGAGCTCGAGGCCGCGGTGTGGGTCTGGGACGGACCAGCCTTGGGAGAGTGGGTGCTCGCCTGGAGCGGGAAAGGGAGGGTGATAGCGGACGAGGGCCATATCGTCGGGGTGAGGGAGGGGGATCCAGGAACGGTAGAGGGCGAGCTTGAGCGGGGTATGGGAGCGGAGGACGCGGATGAGGGTCCAGACGTCGGTGGAGGAGCCCGTTTGGGCGAGGCGGACGCTCTGTTCGATGAAGTCCGGGCTGGTCACGTCCATCTGGCACACGGTGGCGTCGAAGCTGCCGAACAGGAACGCGCGGGTGGCGTTGTACGCGTGCAGGTCCATGAACACCTCGGAGAAGGAGGCTGCCTGGGATTCGAGCCGGCGCATCACGTCCCGCGCGTGGTCCGAGGTCGTGCCGCGCTCCAGGAGGTCCATCAGGTCGACGGACAGAGCAAGCAGGCCGTTGCCCGGGAGGCCGAGGTCGCGGGTCGCCCGTAACAGGAAGGTGAACAGGTCTGTGTGGTGTGCCTTGTCGTTGTCGATGGTCGATACGAAGAGGTGCAACAGATCGGACATGACAAAGGTGGGACGGTGGTCGCTGAAGCTTTGAAGAACCCACAACCGCAAGGTGATCTGGTGCTGCAGCGAGAGGCCTTCAACGGCAGGCACGTTCTTCCAAAGCGGCGAAAGGAAAAGATCTGGAGTGTGTGGCATCTGGGCAATGACGTTCTGCCAGACGTCCAGCAGTCGTCGTTTATATTCGCCGCTATGGTCTGAGCGGGCGAGTTGTTCGGTCGTGGAAATCAAATGGCCTGCCGTGACATCCGCGTTTTCATGCTTCAGAAGCTCTTGGATAGCTCTGATGACTGTGTCGTTCATGTCCGACTTGGCCGCCAGGTCGAGCCATTGTATAACCAACGCAGACACCCAGGAGGACCCTGCGGCATTGAGACCAGGATATCCCGTAGTGATGTCTCCGATCAATAGCATGGCCTGGTCATAAGGCAGCATCGCCGTCAGCTGAGCAAGCCAGGTCTCGACAGTCGAAGGGCTGAGGTCCTTATGACTCAGGACCTCGCAAGAGCCGATGGCATGCCACATATCTCGTAACCGACGCACGGTGCTTCGCAGCTCCTTGTGCGATGGGACGCGATCTGTGTGCGGGATGCGCGGGAGCGTCTCAACGATGTAATGGATCTCCTCGACAGGAATAAGGCCAACTTTCAGAGCACTGGTGACCGCCTGGAACAGCTTCCCCCGCGCGTGCGATGTGGAGGGAAGATCGGCCAGGTGGTCGATGAGGGCGACGAAGTTGCCAGACCCAGGCGTATTCAACGACGGGTCGCCGAGGAAGGCAGCCACCTTGAGAGCGACCTGGAAGTTTCGCACTGCGGAGGGCAGCATCTCCGTGAGAATCAGCCGGCTGTACCGAGGATCCTGCCGGAGATCGATCCGTAGCCGGCGGAGGATGCCCCTCATATCTTTGAACGTCCAGTCTTCATCCTTGATATAATTGCGCAGAAGCCTTTCGAAGGGGAGCTTTTCGGGGGGGCGATTTTTCTCGAGCGAGTCTAGGCTGGCGTTGGCGTGTACAGCGTCTGAATCTGCGTCTTGCAAGTCCACGAATTCACCACCCCCAGAACCACCCTTGTAGATCGGAGAAAACCAGCCTTTAAAATTAGCCACACGTATTGAGAGAGAGTCAGGCAAAGAGGAAAAGAGAAAAAAAAATCCCCCTTCTTACCATGATCTGTCGACTCCTTCCCCCGCGATAGCGCAGCATGCTCTGTCCCATACCGGCCAAACAGCGACGCGATATCCGGCATCTCGCCGACACCACCCCCCGCAGCAGCCAACGCCGTATTCCGTCTCTTAGCCAACCGTCTCCTGGCCTCCAACGGGCCCGGAACCCGACTCTCATACCGTCTCTGCTGTTGACAGTGGTGGTGGTGGAAGGGAAACGCTCGACCGGGACGACCGCGACCGACGAAGCGGGAGAAGGCGAGAGACAACAGCTCATCGGAGATGATGTACTCGTACGCATGCGTTGGAACGGGGCCACATGCTGTCGAGGGCAGGGCGTGCCGTGCTCGGAGATACATCTCCTGGCATCAATTGGGAGAGTCGAATCCGATTGAGAGGGGAGAAACGAATAATGAGGTTAAAAGGTGAGGTATTATTTGCTGGCTGCTGATTTTCGGGTGGTGATTACTAATACCAACGCTGACTGGACAGTAACTAACTACCTACTAACAACTCTAAACAACTCTCTAAAAAAAGTCTTCAATTCTTCAGAATAATAAATACTGGTTATTGGCTATATAAGACGGGGTAGCCAGGATAGTGGGGAAAAAATGAAACCGACACGCCAGAGCCCGAATACATGCTTTTAGTCTCCATGGTGGTATCTCATGCTGTGGCTAAAGGACAGTAAAAAAAAGAAAAAGAGGAAAGAGGAAACCCCGAGAATGATTCCCAGGAGAAAGGAGGAAGTAGAAAAGGGAGGGCCAGTGTTGTGAGTCTTGTCATGAGTCCGTTGTTTCTCCAGGGGCAGGTTTACGGCCCGTGACGGCGTAGAGCTCGGTGTAGCTGTGGATGGAGGTATTCTGGATGCACTTGCGGACGCTGACGAGGAAAACCTCGATCTCGGACTTTGACCAGCCGAGAGCCATAAAGGGTTTGTAGGACCAGCCGGAGAGGGCCTCGAGCCAGTTTGCACAAGCCCAGCCGCCGACCTGCTGCTCGTGCGGGTCGGGCGGCCATTCGTTCATGGGGATACGGGTGACGCGCTGCTGGACGTCGACGAAGCCGACCTCGCGCATCCAGCGGGCGAGCCGGTGGGCGACGCGAACCTGGCGCGGGGGGTCGGAGATCTGACCGGAGCGGATGCTCAGGTCGACCCAGTCGATGAGAGGGTATTCGCTGAAGCCGTCCGGGTTCTCGGGCGGCATGGTGCCGTCGTCACATTTGGGGATGGGGTCGAGCTCATGGCATTCCAGGTAGCCGCCTGGTTTGAGGTGGTGGAAGGCCTTGCGGAAGAGGTCCTTGAAGGAGGTGAGTGAGCCGGACATGTGCGTCGCGTGGATATAGTCGAAGTGGCCCTCGTCCCACAGCCAGTCCTCCTCCATGGCGTCGTCGACGAGGAAATGCACATTCTCGGGGACTTCGGTCGGCTGGACGGGCGACAGGTCGGTGCCGATGATCTCGGCGTCGGGAAAGGAGGCCGCTATTTTCGTCAGTTCTGTGGTTCCCCTTTTTTCCACACGAAGAAAGAAAAAATCTGTCAGGACTTCCTACCCATTTCAATCGGCCAGATGCCTGACCCTGTCCCGATGTCAAGGATCCGCCGGGGATCCTGCAGGGGAGCAAAATACAGGTTATCGCCGTGGGCCATTTTGAACAGATGATGCTGCAGGTCCAGCCGATCTATCTCTCGCTCGTCATTGGGGTAGATGTACGCTAGATCAACACCGTCAGCTGAGAATAGTAGAGCGAGTGAATGTGGAGGGAGTGGTATGGATGACTTACAGCCCTCGTGGTATTTGTGATATCGCCTGCCATTTTCAATAGGATAATCCGTTACACTAGCAGTCAACGACTGGGTGTCACTGTAGCTAGCACCAATGAGCCATCTTAACGACTAACTGAAGTATTTTCCAAACCAGATGCAAAGAGAGAGAGAAAAAGGAGGGAAAAGAGAAAAAGAGAAAAAGAGAAAAGGAGAAAAATAGGGATCTGTTGAGAGCAGGTACACTTACTAGGCGTGACTTGATTCCTGGACTCAGCATGAGCAAGTCGAACAACTCGTGAACCACAATAGAATCTCGATAACTTACATCTGATGCCTCTGTCATGAGTCTGCTGGAGAATCCAAGGATGAGATTGAGGGTGGATGGTGGGGGAAGAAGACGGAAGGAAAAGTCAACCCGTTGGCGAGCAGGAAGACGCAGACCACTTTGCGAGGGAATAAAAAAAAATAAGAAATGAAAAAATGAAAAAATGAGTATGATGAGAAAAGTGATTTTTCTCCAAGGAGGGCAAGAATTGAACAGTAAAAAAAAATCAACCGGCGAGGAAGATGGTAGAAGATGGTAGGGGGAGTTTGGTGATGAGTTGGCTGACCCAGTAGTAGTGATGGTGGTGGTGGTGGTAGTAGTAGTAACTAGTTAGTACTCAACGTAGCCAGTTAACTACCTAGTGAATAGACCTAGTACGAATGGAGGGTATATGTAGGAGCATCCCAGAGAGGGGAACTGCAATCTGTCCGGGTCAGATGGATTCATTCTGGATCTCTTGGGTTAAGCAAGTCGGGCCCGACAGGCTGGATTGAGTTTGTGTTTGGCGCGGGAAGGCTTCAAGTTACCACACTGAACCATGGACGGGTATTACAGTATGTACTAGTACCAGGTATTTCAAAGTATCAAACTAGTACGCTACATGTACTGTGTACTGATTACTGATACGGACATACTGTAATAGAAAGAAAGGAGTACAGACAGGTACAGACTACAAGTAGCTGGCTGCAAGAACTGCGGTAAAACAGTCTCCCTAGTAGCTATTATTAAATATTGTCCCAGAATGCTGGGACTGCTCCATACACATTGATGCCAGTCAACACTTGAACCGGACTACTGGGAGCGTACTATGTAGTTTTGTCTACTGGCTGTCACCTTTATATAGCAGCTGTTCTTGATTTTAGCAGCTATAATCAATCCCAATATCTTTAAAGAATAATATAAGATCATTCTAGTAAGTAATACTCTCTACTTGAATAGTATTCACTACATAATTATAAGAATAATAGCTAGAAAGTATTGTTTATCTTCACAAATGCGACTCATTGTACAGTACTACATACCTGTTATGTCGGTATCGGGAAGGAGTGGAGCTCCCCACTACCCGCCATACACTCTGACAGTATGTATGGTACAGACAGCACAAATATCTCTGGTAGATACTAGGTACCAGGTAACTGGAGCAGTGGACTAGGATTTAACTAGTCTAGACCTGCTTCTCTAGACACTTGGTACCGAGTACTCGCAAGTCGGAGACACATACTTAGTATTACTTACTACTACGGAGAACTCCGTAGCTAGTGTGCCTAGTATAGTACCTAGCCTAGTGCCTACCTAGTAGTACCTAGGTAACTAACTATAACTATAACTACTCCATAGGTTAGTCAACCTAATCCTGCTGCGACGTTAAAACGCTCTAGGAGAAGCCTGCAGGAAAAGCCGGAAGCAGACGGACCAGCTTTTGATCCAGACGCCAATGCAGCACAGGTGGAGCCCCCAGGGGTTTGGGTAATGGAGAAGTTACGCAAAATAGTAATCTTGCAAGTTCCAAACTCACAAATGTTGGATCCGTGGAAATCCTCCGAGGGGGATGAGGGGATGAAACTCCCGTTGTTATGGTCTGACCTAGTACCAAGTAGTTACCTAGGTAGTTACCTGGCAGTTACTGACTACCAGTATCTGTCTCTACTGTCCTAGGAAAGTGACAGCTGTCATAGTAAGTGGATCTGCAGGCAATAACAATTTACCAGTGAACAGGTAATCCGTATATACTACGTAGCTACTATGTCTCCCATATAGGTATGTACCTAGACTAGCCGGGTACGGAGCGACTCCGAGTACGAAGTAGTACCTGTTAATTACCTAGTTACCTACTGCTGCTCATACCGGGAGAGCCATATTCCCGGGACGGAGCGACCCCTGTAGGCCTCATTGGCGCGACCACTTGGCCCCTGCACGGTACCACTGCGTTGGAATAATACAGACGGTACGACCTGGTATAGAATACGTGTACATAGGTACCTTACTAAGTAGTAGGTACTAGGATACTAGGATACTAGGATACTAGGATTACTAGGATTACTAGGATTACTAGTTATGCTGAGGTACTTGACTACCTACCTATACTCTATATACAGTATGAATATAATATACTAGTACCAATTTAAGTTGAGCAAGTATCAATATGAACTCTCCTGAACCTACACCTATTCTTTAGTACTGGTAACTACTGAAGGAGGACTCGCATACGCCTGCAGGAATTAAGTTCCAGCCAGTCAATAGGTGGGGCAGACAGTAGATTATACCTATTGATCGATGAAAATGTGTTGTATAGGTTGTCTAGTAGGATTTACTACATAGTATCTACTATATATGGAGTAGTAGGTACTTAACTAGTAGTCTATGTAGGAACTAGGTTGTAGTTTAGAGTAGACATCCATGACATGACTAATTTAGCTTCACCCGGGTGAATCTCATCTCACCGGTCTTAAGATGACACATAGCAAACTTACTACAGTAGTGTTGAAGTATCCTACCCCTGGAGGAAACCAATTCCGCACCGAGCATCTGGTACAGATACATACGAGTCTGCTCTTAGATGATCTCCCTCTTAAGCAGACAGAATCCTCTCTACAGAAGCAACATATCCTTCCATCGGTTGCACCTTGTCAGTCCTGCCAAGTCAGCAATCCAGATATCGCCAAGCAGTCCTGCCTTACCTCGTGATGATCCTCACGTCCGTCTCGATCCTGGAAACCCCGGTCTGATGAATCAGCGTATGCGCAAACCCGATCCACTGCACCACTTGGTCCCATGTTCCCTCTGTATTGTCAGTATGAATACACAGATATATGCAGTATGGCAATACTCCGTATGCTCTGTCTATTTCAGGGGCAGGGGGAGGGAAGCACCAATAGTAGTCCCCGTGGCATGCATGTAGGACTTCAGCCCGGATCCGCGGAGGAGATCCTGCACCTGGGCAATTTGCTGGGAGTACGAGGGCTGGGTGCCTATCTATGTCGTACTGATTAGCGTGGAACAAACAAGACAGGAGAAAGACTCTCTTGCTCCTTACTGGCTTCAGGGAAAAGTCGGCAACACACCGCGAGGGTGTAGCCATGGCAGGAGGGTTGAAGGCCATTTCGATAGTAGTGCAGAGTGGTGCAGAGTAGTGTAGAGTAGTGGAGAATAAGACAAGAATAAGTAGGGAGATGTGGTTATCGGAGATGATGTCAGTATGTGTAGTTAGTTACATAGTACTGTATTACTACGTACTTTCATCAGAGTCTCCCTCGCTGTCTCCCTCGCTGCCTCTTCTCCAACGTGGCACTCGTAACAGGATCGTTTCTGCCGTGCAGCCTCTTGTGTAGTGTCTTGTCTGTTGTCGATGCCTGTAGATAGATGGCAGAAGCCGCGGATTTTGCGCTCTTGAGAGTTGGCTGTTCGAGGCGTTGAAGATTATATATTAGTTAGTACTCTACCTAGGTAGATCTGCTTCAGTTGACGCCTGGTGTCTGCAGTGTAGATGGAGAACGAAATGCCATGTCTCGAAATTGTCTTCGGGAGATCACGTCAAAAGGTTGGTTGTCTTCCTGAGAGAGCTAATAGTGGTATGTTGAGTACCTGTGGAAGAGACCTGGGCAACGGAACGAAGAATGACTGGAGAACATGGGGTCTTTGATTAGCATGTACGAGAATAGAGAGTGAAATAGATTTACACGATGCTGTTGTCGAGTAACGAATAGCCAGGATCTGTTACTGTTGGTCTAGTGTGATGTAATATATATCAGATACATCAACTACCTAATAATTTATAGATAAACCGAATTATTAGTATAAAGTAGGTAGTCCTGTTCTAACAAGGATGAGGAACTACCAACAGTTGAATATTTAATATCCTACTGTCATCATTGATACTATACACTCCGTATAGCCTCGGAAGCAACCAAGTTGGAACAGACTACAGTGATAGCATGAGTCTTATTGTTTCAGTCTTATCGTTTCAGATTGTGTAGACACCCGAAGCCTCCTAAGTATCCACCTCCATCTTCTCCACGGCAGCCAGGTCCTTGTCCCCCGAAAGCTCCTCGATCGTGACATACTTGCGCATGTCCTCCTTGGAGATGATCTTCTGGTTGAGATAGGCCGTGCTTCCCTTGGGGAAACGGTAGTTGCGCTCTTTCTGCCCACGATCGTTGGGCTTGATGTAGTTGCGCAGCAGCTGCGTGGGCTTTTCCTTCTCGATCACGCAGACGTCCACGTTGCTGCCGGAGCCCAGGTCGTTGAAGATACCGGCCAAAATGGCCTCGGCACACAGGTCCACCGCGCCCTGACGGTCCAGGTTGGGCTTCCACATCGACTCAAACACCGACATGGCCGCCAGCGAGCCCGAGCCCATGGTCACGTACGGCAGCTTGTCCGTCGAGCCGTGCGCGTGCACCGTGTACAGGCCCACCCCCGTCGGGTCCACGCCCGCCACCACCAGGTATGCTCCAATGTGTCCTTGGTACCGGAACAGGTGCTGCTTCAGCATCGTCATGCAAGTGATCACGCGTGGGCTCCGGCCCGTCGATAGCGAGTGCAGCTCAATGTTCGAGGAGATCAGCGCCGTCGTAAACTCAGTATCCGCCGCAGTTCCGGCTCCGGCACACCAGATCTGAGGAGCAATGAAGTGTAATTTCTCGCAGTTCTAGCCACATCTCAATCAGTATTCCTATTTTTTATAGTATTCTTTGGTAGGCTCAAAGACCGGCCTACCTTGTCCGCCACAATCGGCCCGCTAGTCGCCCTGGTATCTGCTGCGATCTGTTCATCCGTCAGCTTGCCGCCAGAATCGAAAAAAACAAGACTGGATACAAAATAAAATCATACCACCACGCCATTGTCATAGATGCATCCCACAATCGTAGTTCCAGTGCTGGTCGCCTTGGGCAGAGGCACACCCTTGGCGTGAAGGGCCGCGTTGCGGTTGTAATTAGAGAAATCGAAGCCAGGCATGGCGGATCTGTTTGAGATAATAGACGGCGGGTGATTGATCCTTGATTCAACAGAGACAAATAAAAGCAAAGGTAGGATGAACAAAGAGCTGAGCTGTGGTCGGGGTTGGAGCCAGAGTGAAGCCAAAAGAGAGAGTGACGAAGCTCCGCAGCCTAGCTCTCGCTGCCTGAGCCGACGGGCACCAAGGCATCCACCTCGTGTCACCGCCCGCGTCGAAGATCATCATTATTTATCAGGCTGGGAGAGAAAAGAAACAGCTCTCGTTGCCACAGTCCTCCATTCCAGCGTCAGGGCTTGCTATTCGCTTACCCGATACTACTGTGTCTGATAGAGAGAGAGAGAGAGAGAGAGGTGTTGTCTGGCCTCCTCGCCCTCGCCCTCTGATTTCGCCTCCAAAGGGAGGTGGTCCCAAGATTTTTGCGCGCACCTGGCAGCTCTTCCACCGGAGTCCTCCAGCACTCCAGCGCCGCTCCTTTTCTGTTGTGCCGCCTAGTCCGCCCTCGCTCAATGCTTGCAAGCCCTGTCGTTCTCTAGGCCATCACGCTCGTTCAGTTTCCGCCGATTTCGACTCCCTCAGGATGGCGTTTAGCTTCGGTGCGGCCGCCCCCGCGGGAGGCAACGCTGCTGCTGAGATGGGCCCTGAGCTGCCTGAGCTGTTAACCAACGTGAGTGGGCTTGTGTGGCTTGTTGGGATTTGCAGATCGTGTCTAATTGCCTGTTTGTGCTTCTAGGAAGTCGGTTTTAAGGGTGTGTCTAGTGACTGTAACGTCCAGCTCCTTCCAACCCCCTGGCCCGCCGACGCTCTCCCTGCCCCTACATGCTCGCTGTTCGCGGTCGCCCCGTCGAGAGGTCTGATAGTTGGCGCGGGTCCGGAGTCTCTGGTTGTTGCCACGTCGGAGTCGGTAAGAAAGGCCATCTCGGCCCCGACGGGAGAGGACAAGGTCAAGACGAAGCCATTCCAGCCGCAGGCCACGATCCCGCTGCCGGCGCGTCCAACACATGTGGCATTTGGTTCCGGTGATAGTGCACTGGTTCTCGCGACGGAGAATGGCGCGCAGTTGTCCGTCTTCCAGACGGACAGCCTCCTCCAGGGCAACGCACAGCCAGCGATCCAGATCTCAACCAACGGTGCTTCGCTCCGGGCCCTCGTCCCCAATCCTGCCCCGTCAGAGGAGGCGCTCTCCTCGTGTGTAGCCATGGTCACCAACAATGGCGAATTACTCGTTGCCGATCTAAAGACCCAGAGCCTCATGACCGGACCCAGCGGGCCTGTGCTCAGGACCGGTGTGAGCAGTGTTGCGTGGAGCAACAAGGGCAAACAGCTAGTCGCCGGCCTGGCTGATGCCACTGCGGCTCAGATGACCCCGGATGGTGCACTGAAGGCTTCAATCCCGCGCCCGTTAGACTTGGAGGGCGACTGTCATGGTAAGTAGAGTCTTGCTCATCGTCATGTATGCACGTGCGTCGTTTACTGACTGCCAGTAGTCTCTTCTATCTCCTGGCTGGAAAACGACATCTTTCTGATGGTCTATACGCCTAATGCGGCGGAGGATGATATGGGCAATACCCCTTCATCCTCATACTACATCGTCACCAGGCGCAAACAGGCTCCATTCTTGTTCCAGAAACTACCCGAGTTGTGCACTCCATTCGGCGTCAAACGTGCCCCCGCTTACCAGTTCATCGCGCGAATGAGAGATTTTAAACCCCATCTGAAGGATGTCCTGTTGGTCTCGTCTACGGCCTCCACGGATGTCGGAATTATCACCCGGTCGGATCAACCCCTGTACGACGACGAGCAGGCCAAGGCTGCCGTTGACCAGTTCGCCATGACTGAAGTCAATGATGATACCAAACGAGCTTCTTTGCCCTTGAAGGACTCGGTCGATGAGACGTCAGTGATCGGTTTAGGAATCGACCTGTCTAGTACGGAGATGGTCGAGTCCCCCATCCAAGGCGAAGACATCACCGAGAGCTCTACACCCCTGCCCAATCTCCTGCTCTTAAACAATGATGGCATCCTGTCGTCTTGGTGGTTCATCTACCCGGAATCTATCCGTCAAAAGATTCCTTATGGAGGCCTAGTTTCCGGCAACGCCCAGCAACAGCAACCCCAACCACCGGGCGCGGCGCAAGTCCAGCAACAGCCTTCTCCCGCGCAGCCGCATCAACCCGCATTTGGCCAATCGGCCTTTGGCCAGCCAGCCTTTGGGAAGCCGGCAGCGTTTGGGTCGTCTTCGGCACTCGGAGCTTCCTCACCATTCAACAAACCTTCCGCCGCGCCTGCATTCGGGAGCCCTTCTGCGCTGGGGGGTAGCCGTGCTCCAGCTTTTGGTGCTCCTTCGGCTCTGGGAGGCGGTGGTGCGTCTTTCGCCTCCCCATCCCAGACGGGATCTGCCTTCGGCGCGCCGAGTGCCTTGGGTCAATCCACTTCCTCGCAGTTCGGAAAGTCCAGTTTTGGTGCCCCTGCATTCGGCCAGCCTTCGACCCCTGCAAAACCTCTACCTTTTGCCACGGGATCTACTACTACTACTACTACTACCGGGGGTGGTTTTGGTTCTTTCGCAGGCACCGGTGGATTTGCGGGGTTGGCGTCGTCGAAGCCCGTCGGTGGTTCCCCGTTTGGCAAACCAGCCACGGAAAACCCCTTTGGAAAACCCTCCAGTACGTCTGCATTTGGTTCGACGGACATGGATACCGCATTCACTCCGCAGAAACCTACGGAAACAAAGAGTCCCTTCGGTCTGGGATCCAGTGGGTTTGTGCTTGGCTCGACGTTCAAGAGTGATGGCTCTGCTGCAAACGACCTTCCCAAACCCGAGAAGTCTTCAGGGCTTTTCTCGTTGGGTGGCTCGCTAGATGAAATGGTCTCATCCACGCCGAGTAAGCCTAGTTCTGGAGAGTCGATGGACGACATGGAGGATGAACCGATTCAGTCAGTGGAAGAAAAACCCGCTGCTGCGAAACCACCACCAGCAGCAGCAGCACCGTCGCCGTTCTCATCTCTCTCGACATTCGGCTCTAAACCACAATCTGTCTTTGGAGCCCCGTCTCTGGCCAGCACTACTCCAGCTGCACCTGCGGCCTCGATTTTTGGCGCCAAACCGCAGATCGAGGCGACTAAACCTGCCTTCTCGCTGTTCGGAAAACCTTCTGCCCCTACTCAGCTTGCAACGCCTCTGTCGCCCGCATCGGATAAGACTGCGCTCCCTCTTTCCCCGCCAGTCAAGGAGGAACCTAGTGACCAGGGTACACCGATACCGAAAATGGCAGAACCGCCGCTCCCTCCGGATACGACCAGCAGGATGAGCTATGGGCCGGGCGACACCTCGGCATCATCCAATGTGTCCCGAAGCTCTGCGGAAGATGCGCCTTTACCGCCCGATTTCCTCAAGAAGCCTGCCTCTGCTGTGCAGAAGGAAACCAAAGCTGCTCCTTCAAGCTTATTTGGAGCACCGAACAAGTTGGAAGCTCCAGCAGTCGCCGAGGAGGCACCGTTACCCCCCGATTTCCTCCCACCGAAGAAGGCAGCCAAGCCCGAAGAGGAAACAGTACCTGTCCCCGATGGCCCTGTAGAGGGCGAATCTGAAGACGAAGCAGACGAGTCAGACTTTTCTGATAGTGGAGAAGAAATCACTCACGAAGCCGCTGAAGAGGAGCAGAGTGGCGAAGAAGAAGAGGAAGAGGAGGAGGAGGAGGAGGAAGAGGAGGAGGGAGCTGATGAGACCCTCCAGAGCTTCAAGGCGTCTCCAGAGAGTTCTTTCGGTGGTCCGGCAGATAAGAGCCCTTCACTGTTTAATAGGATTTCAACAACCAACCAGACACAACAAAGGGGTGCTCGCCCGTTGTTCGGTGAAATTTCCAAACCGTTCTTCCCCGCTCCCAAAGATGTGCCACAACGCGAACTTCCACGATCTCCCAGTCCTGTTCGACCTAGCATTTTGAAGAAGGAGTTTCTCCGAAACGAGCCTCAGCGATCTTTCAGTGCCCCGGGTGCCCCGGGCAGTACTCTTGCAGCTCGGAAAGCCACCCTTACTGAATCTGCAATGCGGGCTGGTGGATTTAGAGGCGGGCTAGACGAGACTGCCAAGGCAGAACAAGCAGCAAAGGAAGCCCGCATTGCTGCTCAGAATCAGCGTGAGGCGGAAGAGGCACTATCCCTTTCGGATGACGATGAAGATGAGCGACTACGCTCTGACCTCGCGCGGCCCCTTGAGCCAGTTCCGACGCTGGATCCTTTCCTCCCCCATCAGGACTACGCTGGACCGACAAGCAAGCCTGGTATTCCGGGCCAGATCGAAAGATTGTACCGTGACATCAACGCGATGGTCGATACTTTGGGAATCAACTCCCGGTCTCTTTCGGCCTTTATTTTGTACCAGGCGAAGACAGAAGGCCCTTCCTTCGAAAAGCAAGTTGAGATCCTTCAGGGTGACCAGCCTGCAGACATTCTCGATGCGAAGTTGCTGCTTCCTGAAATCGAACAACTCGACAAGTTTGCCGGCGTTCTTGATCGCTCACTTGAGCAACAACGGATCCAAGGCGTGGAAGAGAAGTTAGAGCAATGCCGTGAGATATTGAGCAAGGAGATCTTGACTCTGCGTGGCCAGTGTGCCAGTATCCGCAAGACGCTGGACGCGCATACCAACCCCGCCGCTATCCTCTCTGCCCCTCTCTCTGCCGAGCAGATGAATCTCCAGCAGGATCTTCGCACCTCCTCTACTTCTGCTCTGGCCAAGCTTGCCGATCTCGAACAGGCAGTGTCGCTGCTGCGTGCCCGAATTGCCGAAAGTCCTCGCCCGGATGGCGCGGGCCCAAGTGCGGCGCCGCGGCGACAGCGCCCAACTGTCGAAGCCGTTGCACGCACCATTTCGACCATGATGGGCATGGCCGAGAGCAAGAGCAGCGATATTGATGTTCTGGAAGCCCAGCTTCGAAAACTCGGGGTGGATGTCACCGCGTCACCTGCTAGCCGCGAGGGGTCCCCCTTCACGACACCCAGGAAGGGAGTCGTCCGTTTTCCCACGACGCCTGGATCGCGAGGGTCGCAGGATGGCCCTGTCAGCGCGTACCATACACCCGAGTCTGCAGCCAAGGCAGTCACTTTCCGAAGCAGTGTCAACGGCTCGGTTAGAACGAGCAGACTGCGCAACGCCGAAGGCGCCGACGACATTGTTGGAAAAGAGGAATGTGCGCGCTGGAAGGCCAAGACTCAGCGACGGAGGCTTCTTGTTGCGAATTTGAAGAAGGCAATTGGAGAGAAGAATCCTGTCAAGGTCCGCGGAGTGGACGATCTGTAGGTGGCATTCAAGTTTTTGATGTTGTTTTTTTTTACCCGGTTGGACGAACGCAACGTGCCCTAGCATTGTACATAGGTTTGAACTTGACGATTTTCAAGTTGGTATCATTGAGAATAATAATTCTGTATTACCATGAGCCATTCATCCCATACTATGTAGTACGTACTAGTTAACTAACGGACTCGAAGCATACTCTCAACTGACATCATCCGCACATCACTCCCTTATATTCCCCCCAATAGCCACCATAATCGGGAATACATTTGACAGTACACACAACCATCAGAATGTCTCAGTCCGTCACCGAATTCGTCTACCTGCGCCTGAAATCGTCCGTTCGACCGGAAGACCCCTCCAACGCAGCGGGGAAAGAGTTCCTATCCATCCTGGAACAGACAAAGGCGCAGAGCGGCTACAACGGGTCTGCCTGGGGGAGGACCCATGAAGACGAGAACAGCGTGATCTGGATGATTGGTATTGACAATATTATATCTATCTATCTAGTATTTTACTCCCTAGAGAACTGTTCCTGACACTTATTACGTAGACTGGGCAGATGCCCGCGGCTCCTGCCCTGCAAGTCTACTCAGCCCCCTGCTCGAAGCAGAGAGTGCAGCCATCTCGATCTATACAAGTCTGCACCCGCCAGTGAGCAAGACAGACCTGTTAACCTGGAACCCCGTGACGGAGGTGTGCGCGCTGGCGTTTCCCAGCTCGTTGAGTGCGGACGAGCGCCACACCCTGATGGGCCATCTGGCTGAGTTTCGCGGGGCGGTGGTTCAGGGGCTCGAGGCATGCAAGGCGCCTGTCTCCTGGTCGATGGGGCAGGTCGAGCGGCCAGGCCGGATGAAGCATGCAGAGTCGGCGTCCGGTGAGGCAGAGTTCTTCTTGCTTGTTGTCGGGTGGAAGAGCGTCGAGGCACACATGGAAGCGAAGGAAACTAGTCGGTTCTTGGAGGCGATTGCCCCCATCCGCGAGATGATGCTGCCGCCTCTCCCGGAGTTGGGAATGAAGCATGTCAGATTCCAGAAGGTGGACTAGGATGGTGCCTATTCAGGTATATCTTTACAATAATAAGACCATTTCACCGGTTCAAACAAGTAGCATATTTGTGTGCTAGTCAGGTAAAATACAAACAGAAGAATGCATTCGAAAGCCGAAAATCCCATCCATTAAATAATTGAAAGGCAGAACATAAAAGCTGCTGCATAAGATTGACTTTTTCAGTATCACATTGGAGGCTCTAGTCCTATTGCTACACAGGCTAGATGCCAGCTTAGATGCGATGCTTTTCACTTTCTGCTAACTGTTAGATAACTGCGGATTTATTGGGTTGCATCCAGCATTACTCACCAAGTCGCGAATACAACATGTATAGAGCCATCTGGTTGCATTCTTGTGTACCAGTGATCGTCACCAACCGCTCGTTGCTGTTCTCCTGGGGCTCGTTGATCTTTATCACACTGCCGCTGAGATGGCGGATCTCGTTGATCTTGGCTCCGCCCTTACCGATAATCGCACCGACCATGTCGTTGGGGATGTAGATCTGCTGCGTCATGGGTTGTCCGGGCATCACACCACCGACAGGAGTGGCACTTGGGGCAGCGCCTCGGGCAGGTTGGGCAGGTTGCGGCCCGCCGCCGTACGGGACAGGCTGGTGTGGTCCAGTGCCAGCATAGGGCGTGTGAGGAGCACCGCCCCCATAGTGAAGCGCCGGCTGAGCGACGGGCGCCGGTGTAGGTTGCCCATGAAGGTATGGGACGCCGTAGGCACCCGCAGCAGCACGGTTAGGGTGGGCGTGATGGCGTTTGAAGGTATCCGGGTGCCCATACTGGCCACCCGCGGGTTGGGGAACATAGGGAACCACCTGCATGCCGCCGGGAACGGCTCCAGCAGGACCGCCGCTGCGCGTCGCGTAGGCCGACGCAGCGGGGCCTCCAAATCGGTCGGTGAGCTGCTCAACCAAAGTAACCGCGACATAGTATGTGGCAATGTGAACCGCATCGGCAACGCCAAGAATGACGAGCGACCGCTCGGTAGACAAGGGAAGGCATGCATCCGAGGCGTTCAGACGAGAGCCAGAGGCTTCCTGGATCTCACGGATTCGCACACCACCTTTGCCGATGATGGATCCGATCAAAATGTGGGGGATCAGAAGACGAAGAGGATAGGTTTTGGATTGGGCAGTGGAAGGGGAATCGAGGGGTTCGTTGTTAAGGGTACGAATAATCAGTCCAAAGGCCTAGTGTAAGATATGAAAGTCAGCGGTGCGGTCACTCCTCGGAGACCGTCTGTCCATCATTAACACTCACCTTGGCAACGGCATCCTGGGGGCCGCTGACGGTCAAGATACGTTCTACAGCGCCACGAGAATAATCGCTGACGGTGCACTTGGCCCCCGACAAACGACGAATCTGGGACACGTTCTCACCACCTTTCCCGATTACGGTCGCAGCCTCCTGGCTGGAGATCACCGCACGAATATGAATCCAGTTGGATTCGTCTTGTTGAGAACGGCCCTGGTCGGACTGAGAGCCGGCCCGGTCGGCGTGGGAAGCAGTCGACTGAATCGGTTGTGTCTCGAGGGCGTTGCCATGCGCTGCTTTGCCGTTGGGGGCGTCAGGAACGACGGTGTCACCTTGTGTGTCTTTAGCACCATTATGAGCAGCGACCTCAGAGCCAAATTCGCTCTTAACATCCACATGAGCCTCAGCTTCAGCAATCTTGCTATCATCATCGCTCCGAACTACTTTGTCCAGCGCCGGACGTTTGGCTTCAGGCTGATCATTCGGACCCGATGGGGAAGAAGGATCCTCGAGGGGACGCTTGGTTGACTGGAGATTGGATGGCGAGGCGGACATATTGACGACTGTGTGGTTTTCTTTCTCACAAAAAAAAATAAAATGCAAATCCTGGATCACAAATCCGGTCTTGCTCGACTTACGCAGAAGAGGCGAAGAGTCAGAGAACAGTTTCTTTCTTTCTTTCTTTTTTCTTTCTGATTCAGCTTTATTTGATCGATTATGTACACCAGGAGTTCCCAAGAAAACTTGCTGATGCTGGCGATCGATTGGAGAGGGAGGACTGGTGCTGTGGAGGGCTGGAAGAGGTGGCTGGTGTGCAGTGGGAAAAATGTGACTGGTGTTTGCAAGGAGAGCCGTGATAGGAGAAAGTAAATGCTGGGTGACGGTAGGTTAAAAGGAAGAGGCAGAGAACAGCACTGGTGGGAAGTTGTGCTAGAAGGCTGCTCGAGAAAAAGTGTTGATGGAGTAGAGGACCGGACAGGTGTAGGAAGCTGACGCGTTGGAGAGCAAAAAAACAGGTCGGGGCCTTGGGAAAGCAAGAGGCAGAGGTGATAGAGCAGAATAAAACCCCAAACGAAACCTAGAGATCGGCCCAGAGATCAGGTTGAGATCAAGGACAGCTCTCTCTCCCAGAGTACGCGAGACGCAACAGCTTCAACCGGTCGCCGTGGACCCGGAACAACCAAGTGCAGTTAGTGGGCGGGGGGAAACAGCGGCGGAAGAGAGTGACGCTCTTTCAAGAACAAGAACCAGTGCAAAAAGCAAGAAGGAGGGCGAAGAGGGACAACGATGAGATGAAGCTCCTGTCGTGGTGAGAAGGAAGGAAGGTCGGATGCTGCCAAAGATGATGTTGCAAAGGAGGAGCCATGAATCACGTGCTATACCTGTTGCGGTCTAGCGCGGCTCTCTGCACGTGATGGGCGATATCAGATCGTTGAGATGCCGAAACGATGTTGCTTGCGCGATGCTGAGGAATGGACATAGCTGGGCTATTTGATATTGCCAGGGCTTGATCGGGGCTTAGATATTGAGCTTGAACTCGCCAATCGCACATCCAAAGATCCACCCCGCTCTTTGGCCGGATTGTCCACCAAAACACCGTTCCCTTTCCCCTCACGCGTCGAGCTATAACAAACAATGGCTATCTCTCAAGAAACGGTGGACAGGATCCAACGGTTCGCGGAAAGCCGAAATAATGCATATGCAGAGTACGGCCGTCAGCCGCTGGGTTCGTCAGCTCTCGAAGCCTACAATCATAAACTGGATGAAACTCTCAAGGAGCTTCAAAATCGGGTGAAGCGCCAGGAAGACGAATTAAAGAAGGTATGGACAAGAAAAGTCATGGGCAGGAATTTTTTTCATCTAATAGAAGATGGCAGTTGCGTGCGGCAAACAAAATCAACTTCGCAAGCCTAAGAACAGATAGCGTGGTCCGGATTTCCCAGGCGCGGAGGGCCAAGAAAGCATACGACACACTCCTCAAGTCCGACAAGGAACTTCCCAATCCAAGAACCCCCCTGCCATCGTTGATTGCCATCGACGAAGTCACGCATCTAATCAGAGAGAGCAAGAGCTATGTATCCCAGACTACAAAGAGTCTGTCGGCTGATCGCCAGCGTCTGAAAGCGGAGGAGGCAAACCTGCAGGATGCTCGACTCATCGCGACTAATCTGAAAGAGAGAATTGAAAGGGTTCGCAAGGAGAAGTCTGCAGAGCAGGAGAAGTCGCCATCGGAGTTGGCACAGAACGAGATTAGGCAACAGCGTGAGAAGAACGAAAGGCTAGAAACGACGACCGAGAACCTGAAGGGTTCTCTTGACAAATTTATCGACAACACCCTTGCTGCGATGCTGGCTGCAGAAGATCTTGGCGGTCCATCTGTCGGAGATGCCTCAGATATTACAGACACGATGCTCGAAGCCGGATATACGAACCATGGAAGGCCCAAGAAGCCGAAAGCAGTTCTGCAACCAGGTGATGATGCCGGCCAGCAACGTATCGATGAGCTAGTCCGTCGACAGACAGGCCAGGAGCAAGTGCGAACGATATCGAACAAGAGAGGTGCGGCGGCTGCGGAGATGCACGAGCTACTCGACCAACTCCTGGAAGCCGGGACGGGCTATGTCGAACTCACACGCGACTCTGCAGCCTCGAGGTTCTTGGTCAAAGCAAAGGTTGCGCAGTTCCATCCTCGCGACGCGAAGCGGCTACGATTGATAGACTTTGGACGTTCCTTGGAGGATGAATAATGATTGTATGAACTCTGTAATGTGACCCTATTATCTAATGTTCCCCATCAATAGATTGAACATGTCATTTGGTGATATATCATAACCTCATGGATATCTATTCTGCCATAACGCCTCCCAATAATGCAACCCCACTCTACAAATAACAATTATAACATGATACGCCTTTGGTCCTCCTCTGCATAACAAGCCTTAGATATCAAGGCGTTGAACTCTCACACAGGCATCATCTGAATCCCGGATTTCGACGCTTTGGAAGCACTGGAAGTAGGCTTTCTGGACGATGACCCAGCCGCATTGCTCCGACCCCCAACCTTGGTCCGGGGCTTGTAGGGCTTTGTCCGCTGGGATGAGCTGCCCGGTTCCTTGCGGCGAACTCTTTTGGTTGTTGGGCGTTTTGACCCTCCAGATTTTCGACGTCGAGAGCCGCTCTGGGTTTCATCCCCGTAAGAGCCTACTATGGGGCGTCAGTTGAAGTTCCTAGATATTGTGGTTTCAAGAAGGATATCTTACCATGCCCCGACGGCTCAATCGACTCTGTATCGAAATATCGGCTTCTGAAGTCATTACTGCTCTCATCAACAGTCGACGCATTGTCGTCAACAAAAAGATCGTCACCTTCGGCGAACTCCTCTTCGTCGCTGGAAACGTTAAAGACGTTATGATGATTGGGATCTGGGACAATGCCGCTGGTGTGGTCGTCCTTTTCTCCTTGCATTTCCAGATAGCGTTTTTTGGAATCTCGAATTAGTTTCAAGAACTGGGAGCCGTATCTATCAACTTTGTCTGGATCGATGTTCGGAATTTCCAATAGTTCAGATTTGGCTGTCTTGCGTTAGCATGGCCCGGGTCAATACTCTGCAGCGCACTGGGTTGATCTTACTTCTAGGGAAATAAATGGCCATATCGCGTAAAATACTATCAGAAAATGGTTGGTCACGGAGGCTCCTTTCCATCATGATCTGTTGTTTTTCACGTCAGCATGCCGCCTTTCATGCTTGATAGAGATGGATATAACCTACTTCTTGACAAACGTTCTTGGCGTGGGAAACAAAATCCTCGACGACCATCTTATGCAGGTAGTCCAGGTCTTTTAGCTTCACATCGTCTGTAATCGGAGGGCCGACAGTGGCCTCCCTGATTCGAGAAGGTTGACCGCCAATCCGTAAGGGCTCAAACCCATCACTGTCAGAGTCTTCCGCGGCTGCCTTGCGACGTTTTGTCTTAGCCAGTCGGCGTTGATTAGCGGATTGAACGGGTGATGAGACATTGGTCGATTGCGGGAAGTCTTCTGCCCGGCCTCTGGAAACTGGTTTGGCAGCCCTCTTTTTTGTTGGCGAAATTCGAACCTGCATCTTTAATAGGCGTCGACCCTCCAGGAAATCAGGCGCCCTGCGTCCGACTTTAACATATTGGTTGGTGAACTTCCGACTGTTGGACACATTGTACTCATACAGGGCTTCTTCGGTAACAAGACGATAGAAAATTCGTTCTGTCTCTCCCATATCCAAATCGGAGCCTGCGCCAAACCATGGCAGCTTCTTATTTTCCTCTGAGACTTTTCTTGACGAGCCTCCCCGAAACATGTCTGCACATTGAAGCAGTGTGACCTTTTCCTCTCTTTCTTGAAAGTGCTTCACAATATTGATTGCTGGAGCGATATATCGTGAGAAATCTTGAAGCTCGAACACGGCATCAGACTGACAGTTGTCGCAAGTCTCATTGCAGTCCTCTGCGCGGAAGTGCTCGTTGAAGTACGCAAGGATCTGTACTCGTCGACAGTCCGTCTTGTTTTCACAGAATTGAACAACGTTACGTAGCATTTGACGCTGACGCTGTTTTTGTTGCCAATCACCGTCGCCCTCATCGATCATTCGCTTCAGGGCCGCAGTATCCTTGTAGCTGTAATATAGGTAGCATCCCGAGCGTTTTCCGTCTCTGCCTGCACGGCCAGTCTCTTGATAATAGCCTTCAAGGCTCTTTGGGATCGTGTGGTGGATGACGAAGCGCACGTCTGGCTTATCAATGCCCATTCCAAAAGCAATAGTCGCCACGATGACTTGTGTTTTGCCGGACTGCCAGTCCTTTTGAACAGCACCTTTATCGGTAGCTGGCATCCCGGCATGGTAGTGTGCAGCTGAAATGCTGTACTTTTTTCGAAGGTCTTCTGCGACTTTCTCGCAGTGTTTGCGCGACAGGCAGTAGATAATGCCTGACTGTCGTTTATAGTTGCCAGTGATAGTTGCCGCGATGTTCCCCAAAAGATCGCTTCCTTTCTTCTGCCGGATTTCGTAGGTGAGATTCGGTCGATTGAAACTCTGGGTGAACACTTCACAGCCATCCATATGGAGGTTTTGAATCACATCTATCTTCACATTCTCTGTGGCTGTGGCGGTCAAAGCAATTACCGGAACACCAGAAAATCGAGACCTCACATTTCCCAACTCCTTATAGTCAGGTCGAAAGTCATGGCCCCACTGACTAACGCAGTGTGCTTCATCAATAACGATGCGTGCGAGTCGACGTCTTCGATGAAGTTTCTCCATAGTTTGAATGAGTTTTTGGTTCTTGCTGATCATTTCAGGGGTGATATAGAGAAGTTGAATTTCCTGTTCAGCGTTTGGGCCCGTGAGTGTATCTGATATCCATTTTCGTTCATCCGCCTTGGTATCGCCATTGAGAAGAAAAGCCTTGATTTTTAATTGTTTGAGGTGCATAACCTGATCTTCCATCAGACTGAGCAGTGGTGAGACCACGATGGTGACGCCTCTAGTGTTGCCAGAGGTGATGACAGATGGTAGCTGGTAACATAGGGATTTGCCTCCCCCAGTAGGCATCAGGACAAATGTGTCCTTACCCCCCAAAGTTGCATTAATGGCCTCGAGCTGATTGAGCCGGAACCCACGTAGATGAAAGCGATCCTTCAATACAGACTTAACATCCATGGACCACGGATGGCGGAATAGGGCATTGGTGCTCGGAGACTTTGATACCAACGCAGTGCGAGTCGCATTACCAGATGTTTCTGCGAATACTTTGCGATTGGACGGTTGTGTTGATTGATTCAAATGTGGATATCCACCTTCTAGGTTGACCGCAGCTTGAAGCATTTCTTCGTCATCAGCATCCATCTCAAACTCATCGAAATCGACACAACGAAACGGGGGTGATCCCATTGTTCGAGTGATTCCAAGATCTTCGCCAGGAAACGTGAGATCGTCGTCCTCGAAATAAGCGGAACTGACATTACGTTCAGCGGTCAAGGGAGCAACATTGGTTGTGCGCAAAGCATCTTTCTTCGAAGATTCAAGCTCGAAGGTGCTTTTCACGGGTGGCATGAAAGATGTAGTGCTTTCAGTTCGCATTGGTTTAAATGGGTCATTAGCCATTCCAAATGTGTGGCTAGGCGGTTGCACAGTTGATAAGCCATGAGGTTTGGATGATTGTAAGCTCGAGGTATCGTCGAGTAGATTGAAGACATCAGCTTGTTCGATTAGGTCGCTCATTTGGGATTCAATCTGCTTGAGCTCAGCCGCGATACGCTGGATTCTTGTAGTCTCCTTGGTGGCGTTTTCCCCCGCAGTCAACGCCTGTAGAGCCGCGTGCTTAAGCTCTTCTTGCTCTGATGTATAGACTTGATGTGCAGCTTTATATTGTTGTAGCTTCTCAATGGCTTTGACACGGGCATTTGTCAACTTGTTTTCCTCCAAGAGATCGGCTGGCGGTTGCTCGCCGGCGAAGCAACTCTCTAGCATCACCATGGCTTTCTTGCCTTGTATTTCTTTCAGACTCGCTATTGTTGCATCAAGTAATTCAACCGAAAGAGCAAGGAATTTCCTCGCAGTGTCGCTGATCTTGGTCTGGGAGCCACTGGAGCTTGGAATTGTGGATACAGGAAGTGGCCTAGTAGGGGATGTTTCAGGGCGTCTTTGCACCGACAGGGAATCACGAGTACCAGGAGATTGGTACCTGTCATTTGGTTTCGTAGATTGAACATTTTGGCAGAAGCCTGATTCAGCCGAAGAAGATTGCTTAGGAAGGTCCGGGTATAGCTTGTCCTCTGTGATCGACATTGCATCGACTTCAGGTTCTTCCGGCCAATCGCCGAACAATTCCCCTTCATCATCGGAGTCCGCAATGACCTCTATGGATCTAGTACGCTGAGCATCGCGAATGCTTTGGTTCATTGAAGTATCCTTCTTCGACGAGAATGTGACTGGTGAATCGATTGCACTTTTTGCTGCTTGCTCTTTCTCAGAATAAGAAGATTTATTAGCCTTTCGTGGTGACCGGTCAATGGAAGACTGCTTTCGTGGCGATCGGAGGTCGGAGCTATATTCATCACTCTTGCGCTTCTTTCCCCGTTTCTCTGTAGGCTCCCTACGAGAGGCCAACTTTTCAGTCCATAATTGGCGGGGTTCGCCAAATTCCTCGAGGGTATCGGACGAAGGCGTTTCTTGTTCGCCGTCGCCGGTGAGATCAATAGCATCGATATCATCGAATGACGACGTCCAGGCCAAGTGCGGTCCAGAGCGTTGAGGGGTACTCTTTGGCAACCGATAGCTTTGAGAAGCAGGGGTATAGATCTGCCGTTCTATTTTTTCGTGATCATCACAGCAGTCAGCCCAGTGTTCTCCGATCCGATTCACAACATACGACGAAAGTCTTGTCTAACCTTTGGATACGCCTGATCGCTGAGTAGCGGATTGTGAAGATACCGCTTCTGTCCGCGCCCGATAGCTTGGTGTCTTTGGAGTCCCTAGAAGCCCGCCATTCTGCCGGCTGAGCATTCGAGGCTTCGATGCTGATTGAGGAGCCAAATACAGCCTGGCCATCTCCGTATCGGATATCACCTCCGTTCCATCTCCATCCGTAGCGACCTGAGAATCTCCCACTCCACCACCAGTCGGTCCGGTACTAGACACTTCTAAAATCGTTATATCTAGAGCCGTGGGTCGTCCTTCGTGCTCTGGATAGATTCGATTGTCTTCGGGAGAAGGCGTCAAAGAGGGGTACAGCGAAGGACCTTGCTTCAAGAGCCATTTGAGGTGCGCACTAAGATTATTTTTAGTCATAGAGGGTCGAATGTGCTCTCATAGCTCCAGTGCCTACAGGAGACCAGAGGAGAGCTTTGTACAAGACTGGTTCAATGGGCCATAACAATACGGTTCCTCCTCGAAACGGCCTAAGAAAGACGCGTCTCGCCGTCCCGGCGTTTCTACGCGTCATCACGTGGGCGGTAGCCCTATCAAAGGCGGTGAGCCCGGCAGTGGGAAATTTATCAGATCTACAAAGGTGAAGGTGGGGGAATTCTTGGGAAAACTTCTCGCCAGCGAACTGTGGTGGTCGAGACTGCTATAGATTGAGTCAGCCGGGTGTATCTGGTCGAGGCTATACGCCCTCGAAAAGCGACCGTTGATATGGCGAAGAAGAACAAGAAATCCGCCGAGCACAAAGAGCGTGTGGCAGCGAAACAGTCCAAGAAAGCTGCCCAGAAAGAAAAGAAGGGCAAGACGAAGGGACGCGATGCAGATAGCGATGCTGAAGACGTGGATCTTGACGATATCTTGGCGCAATATGCGGAGGAACAAGCCAGATACTTGAAGGTCACTGAAATTGTCTCTGGTCCGCCTACCCCGCGATCGTCTGCAACAGTCATCGGATCTCCTTCGAATCGGAACGAATTGTTGATCTTTGGGGGAGAATATTATGACGGAGCACTTGCAACCTTCTTCAACAATTTATATGTGTATCTGATTGATCGAGGGGAGTGGAGGCAGGTCACAAGTCCCAATAGCCCTCTTCCGCGGAGCGGACATGCCTGGTGTCGTGGAGGAAACAGTGGCGGAATATATCTGTTTGGAGGTACGTTGTTCCTCGCGATGATATGGTGTATCTACTAATTCCATATTGCTGTGTGCAGGTGAATTCTCCTCGCCTAAACAAGGAACTTTCTATCACTACAACGACTTTTGGCATCTGGACCCCGCAACCAGAGAGTGGACACGGTTAGAAACCAAGGGAAAGGGCCCGCCGGCGAGAAGTGGCCATCGGATGACTTACTATAAGGTGTGTTTGTTTGAGAAGCCAATCATGTCTAGATATTTCGACTCATCTGATGTGTATAGAACTACATCCTCTTATTTGGCGGGTTCCAAGACACTTCCCAACAAACTAAATACCTCCAAGACCTATGGATATATGATTGTTCCAAGTACACTTGGTTCAGCCCCAATCTGCCTACCGCAGCGCAGAAGCCAGATCCTCGCTCGTCCCTCTCCTTCCTTCCTCATGAAACCGGAGCTGTGATCTACGGTGGCTATTCTCGCGTTAAGGCCAGCACAGGAGGTGGGGGGAAGCAGATCAAGGGTGGTCCACAAAAGATGGCTTTGAAGCCTATGGTTCATCAGGATACCTGGTTCCTTCGCATCACTCCGCCTGCAGACGAAGCCCCCTCATCCACAGGCCCTACAGTTAGATGGGAACGGCGAAAGAAGCCGGCAAACTCGCCGAATCCAACCCGTGCAGGTGCTACCATGGCCTACCACAAAGGCCGAGGTATAATGTTCGGTGGTGTGCATGACGTCGAGTTGACCGAGGAAGGCATGGATAGCGAATTCTTCGATACCCTGTACGCCTGGAATACTGACCGGAACCGATTCTTCCAATTGGGCCTGCGACGTCCTCGGGCTCCGGGTAAGAAACAGGCAAGCCAAGCAACAAAGTCGCGCAACAGAAGCAAAGCCGACGAGGAGGAGCTTTTGCGTAACCTTGCAGCGCTGGAAGCAAAGGGTGGGATTCAAAATGACGACGGTGAAGATGATATGAAGTTGGATGCTGTCCCTGAAGAAGAGCAGACCGAGCCAGAAAAGCCGTCCATTGTTCGCTTTGAGATGCCGCACCAGCGATTCAATGCTCAGCTGGCTGTCCAGGACGATACGCTTTTCATCTTCGGCGGAACATTCGAGAAGGGCGATCGCGAATTTACATTCAGTGACATGTACTCAATTGATCTCGTCAAGCTTGACGGTGTCAAGGAAATTTACTACACCGAACCAGTGAATTGGGGCGCCTTGGATGAGGCCGACAGCGATGAGGATATGGACGACGAGGACGATGAAGAAGGGGAGGACGAGCAAGAAGAAGACGATGAAGACACCATGTCCCTGGACACGTCTGTTTCTGTCGCCCCCACGGAGCTGACTATACCATCTGTGACGCGCGAGATGGAACAACTAGATGTTGACGAGGCGGAGGCCGAGCCGACGGTAGTGGACGGCAGACCGCAACCACGACCGTTCGAGAGCTTGCGTGAGTTCTTCAGCCGCACGTCTGAAGAGTGGCAGCGCCTCTTGATAGAGCGGATGAAGGCCAAAGACTCGTCGGTCGAGAAGACGGTCAAGGAGTTGCGCAAGGAGGCGTTCGATCTTGCAGAGGAGAAGTGGTGGGATAGTCGAGAGGAAGTTATGGCTTTGGAAGATGAACAGGAGGAAGCTGGGATTGGAGAAGTAGTCAGCATTGCTGACCGGGGGGAACATGGAGGCGGTGCCGGGCGTCGTCGATGACCGTGGTCTTCGCACAAGTTCTATGTGGGTAAATAGTTCTTCTATATTATATAGCATATACCACTTATGAAATTATAGGAGTGGGATATTAGTCTGGCCCACCACCAGTTCATAAAAACAAGTCCACTGCTCACAATCCAGCAACATCCTCCAAAACAGACTTGATAATCTCAAAGTCTCTCTTCTCGTCGACTCTCCAGTTGGAAATGGCGATTCTGCACGCTGGCTGGCCGTCCCAGACGGTTCCCGACACGAACATCTTGGAGGTTGCATTGATCTTTCCAGCGAGGTCACGGTTCAAGGTTTGGTCTTTGGCGCGGAACAGCACAACCATATAGACTTGCTGGACAAGTTCCTCCTCGGAGGGGGCCTCCGGCAATGCAACATAATCGGGGTGGTGAAACAGCCAACCCGCCACCAGCCTGGCAAGTCGGATCTGACGCTGCAACATATTTCTATATCCATGTTTGCCGTAGGAGAGGAGCGATGCGTATGCCGGTAGAGCTCTGAACCGCCTCGAGTTTTCCAGACCAATGTTCAATGGTGAAGGAATGCTTGGACCATGGTCCTGTGCACTGCTGGAAGTCAGATACGCCGCATTCGCGTTTTGGAAGACGTTGCTCGCGATCTCCGGGTGCCGGCACAGGAAGAATCCGCAGTCGTAAGGGACGTTCAGAAGTTTATGGCCGTCCCCGGCGATGGAGTCGGCCAGTTCTATTCCCTCGCAGCCTTGGCGGATGGCAGCGAATTCGGCACTGTCGTCTAGCACTCGCCCAAAGATGCCGAAGGCGCCGTCAACGTGCATCCAGGCGCCGTACCGGTCGCACAGGGCGCGCAGCCGGCGTAACTCTTCAGAGCCTCGCGTGGCAAACTGGCCTGTGTTCACCTCGCCGCAGGAAACTGCCACAATGGTGGCCTTGTCGGCCTGGGCGAGTTCCTTTTCCAGCTGGTCGTAGTCGAACAGTAGACAATTCTTGTCTCGGGGAATGGCCCGAACGTTTGCCCGTCCGATTCCCAACACACCTGCTGCCTTGCCCAGGGACGAATGAGGCAAAGTAGTGAGCACCTGAACTCCCGTCAGGCCTGCGGCCTGGATGGTTTCAAAGAGGCCCGACTCTCCAACACTAGATATCGAAACTCCCTTCCTCTCAGCAGCCGCCTTCAGGACGAATTCTCTCCCGAGTGCCAGCCCCAAGATGTTGCTCGCAGTGCCACCGGTGGTAAATGTGCCGTTCTGCCAGATGGTGCGTTCCAGACGCAGTAGATCAGCCAGCAGACCAAGCGCGTTGAACTCAACATCCGTTACGATCGAATGGCTAGGAATATGAACTTGGACATTTTGATCATACGTGGAAACGACGTGGTCGGCGAACAGAGCAGCAGGGGTTGCTCCGCCAGTGACAAAACCGTAGTAATTTGGGCTGATGCTGCCGCCGTTGAACGCAGGGACAATATCGTTCAAGATATGCTTCTGGATCGATTGGAAACCGGTTCCTTCTTCAGGGAGCGACGCAGGCAATGACTGTCTAGCTTTCGCCAGGCATTCCGGTGTTGGGAGCACTCCCGACTGCCATTCCGAGAACGCGGTTGTCCAGAGAGATTCCTGCAGTCGATGAATCTCGTGGGCTGTGGTCTGCCGTTCTGTGAGTTCCATGGCGACTCCGTATACAATGTGGCAGCTCCAGAAATAATTGTTCAACGAGCCAACGGACTGCTGTCCAAGATTTGGATTGGTTAGTGGGGGCCAGAGGACAACTTGCTGGATAGGCACCACTATTTAAATCTACCCTCGGTGTTTGGACAGACATTGAGATCCCGGTATAGATAAGATTCTGAAGAGTAATAGTAATTATGATCGCTACTGTCTTGTTGAATTGCTCTGTTTGTAGCGTTCACCGACCAGTGGTGTGGTGGTTTCGAAAGCAGTACACTCCCGGCATCGCAGGGGTAAAAGGCATCAAGGCCTGGCTGCCTTCAGCCTGGAAATCATCGAGAAAATGTCAGTAATTGTACAATAATCACAAGAATAGTATCCTACCTCGTAGCCTCGCCTGGTTGACGGTTCTTGTCTGTCGGGGGGCAACGCGGGGGCGCCAGCCCGAGCCCGCTTGGGAGGAAATCAATAACGGCGCTGAGCTGAACTCTGCCTGCCCCCAACGTTAGCTGAGAGACAACAAACAACGTGATAGTAGCACTCACTGATCCGAGTGCAGAGCCACGAGGCGAGAAATAATTATAGAGCCAGATCTGAGAGCTACCTATCATCTTCTTGCAACTTCCAAGTCTCTAGATTAGCGGAAACCCTCCTCTCTAGCCCACCATGGTTGTGGCCAAGCTCATCGACAAACGGCTTCACAATGTGCCTGGTACGTCCATGGTTTTGACACGGCGTGCCCATTGACTGTGCTCTACATCCATATGCCTTCATGTTTAGGCTCTGGAGCCTTCGTCGAGAGACGCTGTGGACCGGTGTTGATCCTCCACTAACTGGCTGGCAGGCCGGTTGCGAGTCGCGGAGCTCTTCTTTGACGTCCCTGTCGACTACAGCAAACCAAACGAGGCGACTCTGCGCCTGTTCGCACGCAGTGTGCGTCGGTTCAATACTCCCGTAGAACCGACCAAGGAGGACAAGCAGCTGCCATGGCTGGTCTTCCTCCAGGGCGGTCCCGGTATGGGATGTCGTGCCCCGCAGGAGTATGGCTGGATTAGCACTGTCCTGGATAAGGGATATCAGGTATTCTTTCGCCAATTACTTCTTTTTTAATGTGTCCTTCAATTCGATTGCAAATATCAAATCCTGATTTTTGTTCAGGTTCTCTTCCTCGATCAGCGTGGTACTGGCCTCAGTTCGACCATCACGGCCGGCACGTTGGCCCGGCAGGGCAATGCGATCAAGCAGGCTGAGTACCTAAAGAATTTTCGAGCCGATAACATTGTGCAAGACTGCGAGGCTATTCGGAAGTGTCTGACGGCCGAGTACCCCGAGGAAAAGCGCAAGTGGAGCCTCATCGGTCAGAGCTTCGGCGGCTTCTGTGCCGTGACCTACCTGTCGAAGTTGTAAGTAGCCCAGACTGAAGGTGTGTACGGATGAGAGAGTATTGATCGATATGTGCAGCCCCGAGAGTCTGACGGAAGCCTTCATCTGCGGTGGGCTTCCTCCCCTGGTGGACACGCCCGACCCAGTGTATGCCCACACTTACGGTACGTCTGCGGTCAACACCAGATCGCTGCGTGTTTCCTGACTCTCAGCAGGCAAGGTCGCACAGAGAAATGCGGCGTACTATGATAAGTTTCCCGAGGATGCAGACCGAGTGAAGCGCATCCTCCGCTTCCTGAAGGACAACACCGTAGCGGTGTCTTCTGGAACCCTTACGCCAGCGAGATTCCAGCAGTTGGGCATCTTGTTCGGCGCGCACGGTAAGCCCCAGCTTTTATACAGGACCCAACATATGACGAAAACACAAAACTAAACATATTCTAGGTGGTCTGGATACCATGCATGGTAGATTGCTATCTCTGGTTCCGAGTCTGTTCTCTACCCCTGGCTAACCCACGCAGATCTCGTCCTGCGAGCATGGAACGATCTGGAAACCTTCGGTTTCTTCACGCATCCCACGCTCAATCTGATTGACAACTACGGCGGATATGACAATAATATCATCTATGCGGTTCTCCACGAAGCGATCTACTGTCAAGGGTAGGTTACACTTCTGAGTATATGAGTCTAGCGATTCTAACACTGTGGTTTATCTTAATAGCAAAGCATCTTACTGGTCGGCGGATAGGCTGCGTTCGTCGCTGCCCCAGTTTCAGATTGACCACGAGAAAGAACAGATCTTCTTCACGGGTGAAATGGTCGGTTTCCAAAACATCAGCCTTTTGCATTGAAGCTTCACTCAGGGAAAAAGAAACCCCCCCTCTGGCTGACATCCACCAGATCTACAAGGACATGTTCGACTCCTACTCGGAACTCCAGCAGGTCAAGGAAGTAGCAGACATCCTCGCCTCAACCGATGACTGGCCCGTGTTGTACGACGAAGCCCAGCTCGCCGAGAACCAAGTCCCCGTCTACGCAGCTACCTACGTTGACGACATGTACGTGCATTTCGACCTGGCCACTGCCACCGCGGCCAAGATCAAGGGAATCAAGCAGTTCATCACCAACACCATGTATCATGACGCGTTGCGCTCCAGGTCGGATGAGCTCATGCGCCAACTCTTCTCCTTGCGTGATGACTCCATTGACTAGTCTATGAACTGCGGTCTCTCTCTCTAATCTTTCCAGTATATAGAAATTGGATAAATTGATCGTATATATGTCTTAAAACTTTTAGAAGATCTGCTCATATTAGTCAGATACCTCTCAACGGAAACGTGTCTGTGGGATCTGCTTACCGCTCCGCCGATAATGAACAGCCGTTCTTCCTCCCGCTGGACCCATTGGACGATCTTACTGGCACTCTGGGCCAGTGCGTTTCGGCTTGCACTCGGACCAGAAACACAGTAGAATTCAAACAGGGGTGTCACCCATGCGAACGAGCTCGCGAACTGGGAGGCGCAGTGGTGGATTTTGATATGGGTGTGTTTGGAATGTACGCCGGCATGGAGGTTGTTGTAAACGGACATCAATCTTTGGAAAGAAAACCAATGCATTAGCTCTGCATGGAGACGATTAAATTTGATATCAACATACCGTTGTCGCTTCGAGACTTCGCTGAATTCGGGCTCGTAGGAAGATGCCGTGAATTGGACATTCGCTCGAGACTTATAAATGAAATGGTGGAGGGGGATCCCCGGGACAATGTCCCCGACAATAGGGCGGCCCTTTTCAATGGCTGCTTTGATGATTTTGATACTTTCATTCTTTTCCATTTGCTTTGTGTCCTGTTAGTCGATTACTGGCTTTCTGAGTCTCTGGTAAGTAGACTCACCTCAACAAATGCATTTCGCATCTCCTGTAGCTCGAAGAAGCTTTCCTTGTCGGCGCTTATTAAAATGATCGCTACCGAGTCTTCCTTTGTGGCGGCCTCGTCTGCGATGGTGGCCGTTTCGCTGCGGAGGTCGAGGAAGCTAACATACATGTACAGATAACCGCTGCTATTGAAGCCGGGAAGGCAGACTGGGATCCAGCTCTCGCCGCCACCAGCTTTCACGCCTTCTGCTTCAAAAATCATGTTGAATAGAAGCTGTAGATCCCCGGGGTGTAGGGAGTGCTTTTTAGGCCGGACGACGCTTACAAGTCGTCCGCCGGCCACCACCAGTCCGTAAAGAAGACTCTTCACTCTGGTCTTCATCAAAGCATTGTTGATCGCTTGGCGATGGGCTTTGCGGATACGTAAGCATTCCAAGGCAGAGAGGAGAGTGGACGGAGAGCCTTTCGTGAAGCTGTCAGCCAGCGTCGAAAGGAGAGTCTCAGACCCCTGAAGCGGCCGCTTCAGATCTGTGGAAGGACGAATGGAGAAGAGATGCGTTAGGGACGGTAGGGTCAGGGTGGACAAAATCTGCATATACAGTGCCTCGAGTTGAAGCTTGAGCTGGCTCTCACTTTCCAACATGCGACTTATGGCAACGAGGTGCAGTGGACCGCGAGTAACAACCACGAATTTCGTGTCCCCTGCGGAAAAGCTCTGTAGGTGGTCATCTGAGCCTTCGTAAAACGAGATGATGGTTTGTATGATGCCAATATATGATGATATCAACCCGCCTTCACCATGCCTCGTCCAGATTGGCTTGCCAGCCGCGGAAAGAATAAGGTAATGTTTCCGTTTGGCCTTCCATCTAGCAAGGATAATATCTGCTCACGCATCAGATGAGAATCTTGAAACAGCTGGAAACAAATGCCACAAACCTTCGTTGCTTCCATCTTCATTCAGCTCTCCAACCGGATCAAATTCTCGAAGGAACTGGTCCACACTATCATCCCTGAGCCCTGGAAATTCCAGAAGACTGGCGGCATCGCTCCGTTGGCTCCCCGCCTCCGTGCCAGAGAAATCACCGAAAAGGTCCTCCACCTGACCGGCTTCTGAGCCGGGAGCAAAGCTTCGGATACTTGCAGAGTCCCCGGCCTCACTCACTCGTGAGCTGCTAGGCTGGCTGAGACTCGCCTTGACTCGCAGACTCTCCGGAAGACTTCTCAGGCCTGCTCCTGCGGATACCTCCCTCACACCATCCGTGTTCGGTTGTGAGCTGATCTCGGTCAACGAAACAGCCGTTGTAGCTTTCCCTTGTAAATTCTCAGGTACTGCCGATCCGGCTGCACGTGCAGAAGCGCTTTCATCGGCCAACAAGTTCAATGAATCCGGTCGGGGAGGCAAGGGCGGCCGCGGTCCTTCGGGACTCACGCTTCGATTTCTAGACGTCGGAGCAGGGCTTTGTCTCTCCGAAGAACTGCGATCCCGAAGTTCTTCAGATAACTCTGGCGTACCGTGATCGTCGTTCGGAGGATCCATCTCTTATCTCTCTCACCGTGGGCCATCAGACGTTGCCTACTCTCAGAGCAGCCAAGCTTCTTCAACCGGGACGATTTTCGGGACAGGGAAACGTCATCATGAAGAACCAGTCAAGGTTCCAACCTGCGGTAGTCTGGAAATCTCTGCAGTGCTGGTGAGATGGGAATGGGCCGTGTAAGATCGTGGGCGAAACGGCGGCGGGGGAGGTTGACGTTGACGTCGGAAGGGAACTCGCCCAGCAGCTCTAGGCGGCCACGAAAAGGGTCAAAACATCTCCGCCGCGCCTGCGTGGCCTTCTGGCAGCACTGATTTCCTCGTCCACCCACCAAACCTCGCAAGAGAGGCTATTTCAGATGCGCGAAATATGACGGAGATCGGCTCATCGCTTCTCTGTCGATTTACTGTCTCAGCCAGGCACCATGAGCCTTGATCCGAGTGCCTTTCCGAGGTCCAACTCCCCCGCAAGCTCCGAATGCTCCCTGTCGCGACCGCGACTACGAGGGAAAGAAGGTCTGTTGCAGGCTTCACTATTGGGAATACGTTATTAGAGCGTGCCAGACCCAGCTAATTTGCTTTTTATGCTACAGATGCTCTCAGAAAAGACAAGAGTTATCGCCGATATGCTTCGAGCGTCGAGAGGGCCTTGTCCTTGTTCGACAACGCGTTGCAGGAATGGGCCGATTATATTTCCTTCCTCAGTCGTCTCATGAAGGTGATATAAATACAAGAGCTGTTTTCTAGTTCTTCAGCAGGAGATTGACGTGATGCCAGGCGCTCCAATCCCATCCTCCCGATCTACCTATTGTCCCTCACAAGGTTCTTGTCTCGAAGCGACTCGCACAATGTATGAACGCATCGTTGCCATCAGGCGTCCACCAGAAGGCACTTGAGACCTATACATATATATTTGACTTGATCAAGGTGGGTTGGCTCTTGACAGATCAGTGTCCCGATTGCTTGTCGCTAACGTGGCCTGTTGCCTCCCAGTCCGACGGACTTGCGCAAGACCTATCTTTGTACCTACCAGGAATCGCGCCTACTCTGACATTCGCGTCTCTGTCGGTCCGCCCATTATTCATATCTCTCATAGAGACATATGTTCCAAATCTGGACCCACTAGCAATCCGACCGGCGTTGAAATCGATCATCCTCGCACTGCTCCCGGGACTCGAGGAGGAAACCAGCGACGACTTTGAGGCGACCCTGCGACTGTTCAATAAGTTCCGCCATGTCTCGGCGAAGATGGGGGGCCATTCAGGTGATCCGGATGCAGGAGCCGACGGCCAGTATTTCTGGCAGTGTTTGTTCCTCGCATCCATCACCAATCCCAGCCGTCGACTAGGGGTACTTGCATATTTGAATCGGTTTCTCCCCAAATTGGGGGTCGCGGACTTCCAAGCTCTCGGGGATGGCCAGGCTCAGAAGGATACACCCGATGATATGGCGGTAGCAGCGAAATCTGTGATTTCTCCCGAGCCAGGCCTCCTCGTTCGCTGCTTTGCTTCGGGCCTCAGAGATGGGCAGTTGCTTGTCCAGCGGAATTTCCTCGATCTTCTAGTGACCCATCTGCCACTCGACTCCCCGATTTTGCAGTCGAGGATCACAGGGGATGATCTTCAGACTCTTGTCCTTGCTGCTGTGGGAGTGGTAACCCGTCGGGACATGAGTTTGAACCGGAGACTTTGGGGTTGGCTGTTGGGGCCTGAACCTGCCAACGATGGCAATGAGAGTGCCTTTTTTGGGTCTCCTAAACCGACGTCCGACAATGCTCGGCCTTCAACAAGCAATGGGCAAGAACTTTCTCAGTCTCAATACTTCATCCAGTTTGGACTGAAACCCTTGGCGAATGGTCTTCTTGACATGGTCAAACAGAGATCCACCGTGCCGTCCGAGAGGACAAAGCCGTTTCGAATCTCTCTGTCGCTTATGGATAGATGGGAAGTCGGGGGTTCCATCGTACCAATGATCTTCCTTCCTGTATTGGAAAGTGTCCAGGCCTTTGAGAGAGAGGCTTCTTCTAAAAGTCACTTTGATGAAGCCTTTCGTAGTGCTAGCGCCTTTTTCGATGGCGTCGAAAGCGGCGTCATCTTCTCAGAGTTACTCGGTCTCGTTGACTGGAAGTTGACGGATCTACAAAACAACATCGACAAGGTCTCACACAGCCTGAAACTGGCACAGTTCATCTTGGACAATTTCAATTTTCGCGAGGAAGACATGCTTCTGATCCATGTTCCCTTGCTAGTTCTATCAATTCTTGTCAAGATGGGCGAATCACACACTCTGAAAGACGAAAATTTGCTGTCAAACAAGCGGACTGTCTCCCAAGGATTGGGGAAAATGATGAATTCGCTGTTTGGCTTATTATCGGAAAGGGCCTTCCTGACAAAAGCATTCCCCAAAAAGATGGCAGTGGCTGCGACGGCAACCGACGAGCCTCCCACTACTGGGATACTTGGTAGAATTCATGATTTCTACGAGCAAAGCAAGACCAGCCTGGATCTCCCTCCCCTGCCCTTCCATCCTGAGCAGTTGGTGCAGTTGATCATTCGAGAGGTCTATGGACAGGCTATATCTGCCCTCGAAGACGCGGATGAAACACTTCTGGTTCATGAAAAATCAAGCCTCTTGATCGCCATACTAAAGAAGCTTCCAAAATCGAACATTTTCAATGATGGAAGATTCTATTCAGCAATTCATAACCGGTTGGCCAATGCGCCAAGCAACCCATCTACAGCATCGTTCTCTGTGCTGTCTTCCATCACCTCTTCGGTGACAAGTCTATATCTTGTTCAGGCTCCAGGATTCTATATAAGTCACGACTATGTCTCTGATTTAATCCCTCCACTTGTTCAGCAGCTTTGGCAATACCTGTCGCCGTTGAGCCCCAAGTTTCACGTTGAGGCTGTCCGATGCCTTTGGCTCTTACATTCGGTATCTTGGCCAGATCACTTGGTTGAAGCATCCTTGGCGTCTTTGATGATCGATTCGTCTTCAACCGGCCCGTTACATCTTTCATCGGAGGAACAAGCAGAACACTTCTTCGTCCTATGGACCCACAGTCAAGGAGGACTGTATGACCATCAACCCAAACAATCCGTCGAACCTAGGGATCCTCAGTGTTCCTACCATTCTTCTATGTTGGAAAGACCTCTTTTTATCGTGTTGGACCTCATCTTTCAGGGGGCGAGTGAAGCATCCCAGGAAGTTCAGAGATGGCTGCAGGATCTACCATCTATCCATAGGTACGACAGATTCCCCCGTTGAACCGTACAAGTCTCGATCTAACATGTTTCCAAGAGTTCTCGAGATCGTGGTTCTGCGATTCAATGAGCTTTTCTTACGAGCAGAACGTCAACGTTCAGACAAAGCTGGCAGCTTAATCGCGGTCGAGGACTTCAGGGAATGCAACTATCTGCTACGGACGATCTCCAATATTCTTTCCTCTCTTTCCCACCACGGCTGGAACATCCTTCTTAATCATACTCCATCTCATGCGGAAAGATCTCCGGATACACCAGCTTCTGAAGGTGAGGATTGACGATTACTCACGGCGTATAGAGATATCTGACTGATCAATCTACAGACAAAACTGAAATAAGGAGTCTTCATGCAACAGTATTGCAAGCTACGGTGGCCGTCATCACTAGTGAAGTCCCACAGACAGTACAGCGGAGTCCAGACCATGAAAAACTGCAGCAAGCAGCTCTTTTTGTCCTGCGACAATTGCTACTTGGCCCTGGAGCCGAAGAGATCTCAGAATATGGCATAGACACTCTGTTGATGAATAGATTGTCCCACGCCATTGATGATGAGATCAGTGACACGGTTCAAAGTGCCATCATTGATACCCTTACCGCCGCGCTGAAAGTCCGATTTTCTCATGCATATCTGCCTGCGCTGCCACCTAGACCAAAACACCATCGAGCACCCTCACGCGATCGCCTCACGAGCTCCTCCCTTCTGTCTTTGACTAGCGACAAGGCGGAAAAGGCTCCGGCCTTACCTGGATTGCCCCAACCGCCTCCGCAGCTCTTGGATTGCTTCCTCAAGGGACTCAGCTCGCCCAAATCTCGAGAATTTATCGATAAATGGATATTCTTCTTGTGCGAAATCCTACCGATATACTCGGCATCTATTTTCCAGATTCTTCTAAAACTAGTCGAATGTTTCTGCAAAGAAGTCCAATTGTCGTACACGAATCTTCAGTCGGCCTTCAAAGAAACGACGAGCTGGCCGCAAGATCGTGCAGAACATGCCATCATTTCCTTACTCGCGGGCCTCGAGACTTGCATTGCCACTGCTCACGAGCGGTTACTTGTCGAGGAAGCTAACATCCCGGCAGCAAAAAGCCCTGATCAGCAGCACGGATTCTTTGGCAATATGGTCTCGGGGGTTTTCACGACGGACGGAAATCAGTCTCGGTCGACCGCTGCTAATAACAGGCTTACGGTTCTGCTCTGTTTCCAGGATGCCGTACGATTATGTTTCTCTATCTGGTCGTGGGGGGCATCGGAGCGGAGCCCACAGGATCTTGAATGTTTAGCTTCCTTCCAATATACCTCTCTCCGCATGAGAAACCGATCTCGTCGGATTCTTGAGCATTTCTTCAATGCTGAGGCCCTTGAGTGTCTGGAGACAATGGTGGAACTATGGACCAAATCAGACGCTGGCACGTCTGCTTTGATTCTCAGCCTGCTTCACACCCTGGAAGGTTCGCGGCCGAAAATCACAGTCCCTGCGGTCTTCAATGCCATTTATACAAGGACCAACCCAAGCGCGCTAGATCCGAATCGCAAATCCGCGATGACTTCCAGTCTCTCGGAATCAGAGCTGGCAGGTTTCCTAGTCACTTATGCGAAGTCTCTTGATGATGACGTTTTAGACGAGATCTGGACTGATTGCACAACATTTCTGAGAGATGTTCTCAGCAATCCATTCCCCCACCGACAGATCCTCCCTCGGTTGGTCGAGTTTGCTGCCATACTCGGAACCAAGATGGAAAATACCAACTTTGGCGATGATCGCCGGATGAGAAAGGAGCTTGGGGTACGCCTAGAGAACCAACCTGTGCTACGTTGTAACCTGGAAAAATGCTAACAGATCCATAGGATGTACTGTTACGGATGCTCACTGCCGTATTCACCAGCAAGCCGCAAGACTCGGGCCTGCTTGCTCGGCCGTCTCTAGACTCGGACGGGGCGGTAGTTTCGCATGTCGGTCCCGATGACATGCTGAGCATCCTTGCCCGCTCAATGCCTGCCTTGATCACGACTCTGAGCGAGTCGGATCGGATCAACACGGCTGTCATTGGCATATCAACCAATGTGATCGTTCCAATCTTCCGCTCGCGGCTCTTCCCCAATAACATCAACCGTAACGTCATCCGTCTTCTTCAGCAGATAGCCAAGGTTCCTGGCGCGGCGAAGCTGTGGAAGAAAGACGTCGGCGATGCTTTCAACGATGCCCGGTTCTTTAGCTCCCAGCTTGACCTTGTGAAGAGTGGTTGGATGGGGCTTCTGCGGCAATGGGTCCTCGTCGACAAGGAGCGACTTGCCGAGTTGATGTCTCGCCTCCCTCCCCCTAGTTCTGCGGGGATTATGTTTGGCGTGGGCGCATCTGCTGCTCGCCTGGAAGCCGATCGGAAAACCCAACTCAATCTTCGGAGAATCGCCTTGCTTGTTCTTTCTGCCAGCCCCGACTACTTTGTCGGAGAGCTTCCGGCGCTTCTGCAGAAACTCGAGGATCTGTTGGCCGCCACCAGTCTGTCCTCCCCATCATCTGCCACTCGAGCCGAGATATTCATGGTCCTGCGATCACTGGCACTCAAGTCATCTCCGACCGCACTGGCACCGTTCTGGCCGCTGATCAACGACGAGCTCCAGGAGGCCATCTCGGCTGTGCCGCAGGGGCAACAGTCAGAACTGTACAACCCTTGCTCGTTGTTACAAGCGTGCAAGCTCCTTGACACGCTCTTGGTATCCGCGCCAGACGACTTCCAGCTCATCGAGTGGCTCTTCGTGACGGACACCGTCGATGCCGTCTACCGACCCGATCGCTGGGAGCCCGTAGCCCTAGCGGACGAGGTATCGCAGAGTCTAGGCGCGCACGGTGTTGCTTCTCCGACCATGCCGAGCGAGGCCGGAACGGAAAGCAGCCAGGGTGGTCTCAAACGGCCGTGGTTGATCTCGGACTCGATCCGCGAGACGGCCAAAGATGAGCTTGTTGAACGGGTCCTGCGCCCCTTCTTTGACCGACTCAGCATCCATGCCTTTGAAAGCACGTACAGCATGCACCGACCCGACCTTGGGGTCTGTGAAGATGATCTCCTCGCCGATTTGTTCAACGAGAGCACCATGGCCAACTGAGGAAGCGTACAGTAGGAACAAGGAATTCCAGGAATGCAATTGAATTGATATGTACAACAGTTGATTATTCTTACTCCGTACTTACACTCCCGTAAAACACAGGACAAAGATAGACGACCACAGTAGGCTCAGAAACACACTCCAAATAATACCAAAATATCCGGAAAAATTAGAATTCCCTACTTCATCTATTATTTACTATTTATTATCTATTTAAACACATGTGGCTGTGTCGTGCTGAGTCAAAATCCAAGCTCCAGCTGACGCCCAATCACACCCCAGACAAATCCGTAACGTCACCGGTCCAGGACCTCCTCCTTCATCTCCCCCTCCGCGGCATCCGCCACTCTGTCGAACAGTCTCAACCTATCTTGCCAGCATCACCAAGAAATGATCTCGCTGTCTGGTTCTGCATCGCGCATGGCTCTGCCTGGTCTGCGCTCTGCCGTCCTGCCGGGACGCGTCGTCGCCTCGCGAGCGTTTTCTGTGTCAAGCGCCTGTCGCAACGTCGCGACGTCGTTGCCGGCACGAAAACCTGTGGGTGCGTTTCGTGGGGGGTAAGTGGTGAATCCATTCTTATGCGTTTTGAGGGGGGGGGGGAACTGTATGGTAAGGCGATGGATAGATTTATCACTAACTGGTTGCAGTGTGTTTGGATTCCTAGCTGGATCTGTGGCGGCTGGGATCTCCGTCTACTATTACATTCTGGCCGAGTATCGGGTTTCTAACGAGATGTTGACGGAGGATATCTACGTACGTCTACTCTCTTCGCCTTTCTTTCGTTGAAAGGCGATATGGTGTTCTATGCCCAGTCTTTACACTTCCCCCTTTTCTCATGTACTCAGCACTAACTGGGTCTGCTTCTAGGCCCTTCAAGTAGCAACCAGAAAACTCCAGACATATATCACAGAACTGGAGACAAAGGTCGACCAATTGCAGAAGAAGAATTGAGATTGGTATCGTCCGACGGGTGATTGGTTCTGCTTTTATCTCTTCGTTGCATCTGGCTCAGAATATCTCGTTTTTATTTGTCTTTGAATTGATTTTCACGTTCGAGGGTGTCCTGGATCTACATCATTCGGTTCTTGTTACTCAAGAGCTATTGTTTCTATTCTTTTGAATCAAAGTGATAAGTGAGTTGTAATTGCCAATGCGTGATAGGTATATATTTCTTGGGTGGCTTCGTCTGCAAACCAGATACCCCGCCACTCTGTATGCTTTTCATGATTTCTAGGACATTTCTATACAGATATATCATCTTCTAACACTAATGTCTCTCCCTGGAAGTGTTTCTATTCCCATTCGCCCACTTAACCTCCCTCTTGGGTAGCCTTTATAATGACACGTGACCCTGGCGTCATACCCGATGCAAACAAACCAAACAAAAACACGACTTTCTTCATTTGCCCCGTGACTTGATCCAAGTCGCGATCCGCCTCACAATTGACAAACAGTCAGACGGTGCATTTCTGCTCGCTCGCCCGCCATGTATCGCATCGAACTTCTTCCCGGATCGTCCTCACACGTCACCCCTGGATGGTCCTATGTGCCCGACCGCGGCGTCGGACCTGCCAAAGCCGCCATCGCGCCAGCCGTTGGCCGGAAACGAGGCATCCGTGAACCAGGAGGGCGGGGGAATCTTTCGTCAAGACAGTCGAATGCTATTATCCGTCACTTGGCGGAACTGGATCGTGAGAATCACAAAGATGTGCAGATCCCTGTCCCTGCGAGACAGAGAGAGACAGCTGCCAGGGGTGAGCTAGACTTGTGTTTCTAAGGCGTTCGCTATCGCAAATTAGCTAACATAGGATTTTTCTAGCTCCCCGAGCAAAAACAACTACAAACTCGCGCCGTATCCTGCAATCCCAGAAGACGTTCCGAAACTACCTAGACGACGAAGAGGCCGCGCTCGCGCAGGCGGCGCAAACCACCACCCAGCGCCCGAGCGTGTCGAAAGTGACAAAACCCACGAATCTGCGCCGGAGCTCGACTCCCGCCCAAGTCGTGGCCTCAAAACCGGAACCGAAGCGGCAGAAGAAAGTTCCGGCGCCTACAACTGCCGCACCTGAGACAACGCTCTCGGCCTCGACAGGGAAAGAAGGGAAAGGGGGTGAATCAACTGAAGGAAAGGAAAAAGAAAAAGAAAAAGGAAGGGAAGAAGGAGAAGGAGAAGGAGAAGGAGAAGACGGGGAAGATGCTGCAAACACACTCATCTCCTCGCCATTCGACAACGATCCTCTTCTCCGCTCATACATCCCCTCTGCGCCCTCGGAACGTATCATGCAGGCCCTCCTGGCCGAACCGCCGTTAACTTACAACGCCTCGCGGGCGGGGCCCTCAGCCTCGAGTAAACTGCCGCGCGGGTTCTGCTGTATCTGCGGATACTGGGGGAAGATCCGATGCAAGAACTGCCATTTACGCACGTGCGGGCTGGGCTGTTACAAGGTGCATGAGGATTCTCGGTGTGGTGCTTTTTTCTAGCAGTATTGATCTGATAGATCTGATTGATCCGGATTGAGCAGATAATGAGTGATGACAGTAATATAATACAAAATGAACCGATGAACTTGATGTTCTAATTTTAACACTTCAAGTCGATTCCGTTCCGGCGTTCCTCCTCCCGAATCTCGAACATGGTCTGCACGCCGACGAAGAGGACAACGCAGGTGGTCAGCAAAAACGCAATCCCGGCCCACGAGCCAAGCGCCCCCGCCAACAGGCCCTTGAGCCCGTCGAGTCCCAGCGCGAACCCGACCAGGTTGGCGACCATCATCATGAAGACGTTAGCCACGGCGCCTACCCCACAGAGAACACGGTACGCGGTCGGTCTGTTCCGCCACTTGCTCGCGGGGAAGAGCATCTGGCCGAGGATCTCGGGCAGGACGAAGAACGAGATCAGCCAGCCCCACATGAGGAGGCGGAGGTTGATATCATGCCACAGGGCGACAAAGGTGAAGACGACGAAGAAATTGAATACCTTGCGGATTGTGGCTGTAGAAGAAGAAGAAGAAGAAGAAGAAGACTTGTCGCCCGATGATTTTGAAGGCCTGCCAGCACCTCCTAATGGGATGTAGACGTAGCGGACGATCCAGCGGTTATAAGAACGGTGCCAGGAGCGCCAGAAGGCAAGAGTGGAGTAGTTGTTTGACATGCAGCGGACCATATTCTCGGGGGGGTCGATGCCGTCGACGAGGGCCCACAGGCGGAAGAAACGCCAGGGGATGAGCAGTTTGAGCCAGATGATGTGCAGGTTGAAGTAGGCTAGCATGCTGAGCTGGCCGGTGGAGTACATGCTCCAATTCGGGGATGCCTTGGAGATGGCCACGGCGTAGATGTAGTGGAGCATGAGCTCCATACAGAGCAGGGTGAGGAAGAACCGGATGCCGTACAGGGTTGTTCGGGTCCGGGTGAGCGAGGGGGATGCATAGCGGCGCTGCGAGATGTAGTCGTTGAACGTGACGATCGGCCCGGATAGGTACAGAGGCGCGTAGAGCGCGTAGGCCAGATAGTTGCGGCCGTTGTAGGCAGCCGGCTCGGCGGGGATGCTAACGCGGTCTCGCTCCGATAGGGACGAAGGGTCTAGCTGCTTCTTCTTGGGATGGTGAGATCAGTCAGGTGGATAGTTATTTTTGTATGGCAGTGAGGCATTATGTTGGAGAGTTGCAGGCAGCATTTAAATGGGTGGATGACTCTCACCTCGATTGGGCTTGCTGCGGTATAATTCAGACTCCAATGGTAGTCCATGTTAAAGCTGATATGACGGAGCACTGCAAACTTGAACAGCACTTCCCATCGCGGCATCAAGCCGCCGAGACTATCCAGCCAGCGAGCCCAGAGTATAATTGCGGGCTCTTGCAACGATTCCGTCACCGGGGGGGTGAAGAGAAGGACGATGCGCTCCAGCGGGTATCCCGAACACAATTCGTTCGCGAACAGGATGGCAATATTGAACGTCCACGTCGCGGCTGGCACAAACCGCTGTGGCAGACCCCTTGCGATCCTGTAATTCACATACATGATCCCCAGAATCTTGACAGCCGACACGCCATGGAGAACCACGATGAACACCAGCCCGAAATAAAAGTCGAAGCGTATTTGGCGACGCAATCGAGCGTCGCCGGCCGTGCCATCCGTGCCAGAGACTAAGGTATCGTATATACGATGGAGGAGAGGGTGGAGGATCAATAACACCAGGAGGTAGGGGATATTGTCGCGGAAACTCGCATACTGGGCGTCCGAATTGTCCTGTCCACAGCGCCATTATTAGAAAGCCGGCACCAGTCATGAACCACCCCAGAACCACGCATACCACTTTGCGACCGAATATCCATCCGTCAGAGAGGAGATGAGAATAAGTCTTGTAAGTCGGGTGGCTCTCTATCCAAAAATCGGCGTCAGGCAGGGAACAGCAGGAAACAACGGGAAAGAACACGGTACATCACTGACCCTGAGACACATCGACAACCGTCTTGAACATCAACGGCACGCATACGATGAAAAAGAGATAGTAGACGAAGAACTCCGGCGTGTGCCATCTCGGCGGCGAGGCACGACTCGCAATAGCATTGGCGCGGGCATCACGTTCGGCAGGGGTCCGCCTGGAATCAGCAGCAGCTCTGAGCGAGGTGGTACTCGACGCGGTGAGACGAGTATCGAGCGTGTCGAGGGAATAGAGGCGTCGAAGCCAGGAGATAAGAGCGCTCATCTTCTCCACAGCATGGCGCCCGGAGAACGGTTCGGCCTACGGAGGGAGAGGGCGGGATCGAAGGAATCGCCCAGCGCGAGGCATTTCAGGGGCGGAGCGGGGATCAGTGGCCAGGCCAATGGCACGTACGACATTTACAACGCAGCTGGGAGGGCGTTGTTGATTTCTACTCTATTGCCGGGCGATTTTCTCCCGTTCTGGCAGTCTGTAATCGTCATTCGAGGCTCAGAATCCCTCTTTTCTGCTCGCTGGCTGGTATTTCGGGGGGGGGATTTCGGGGGTCTGTTGTGATATCACGTGTCCATGCATGTGACATCCGAATATGGATTAGTATGTCTCTGCCTGAGGCATCGGTGACGCTACCGCATCTCGTCAACCTCAAGAGTCACCAAGGCGAGGCCTATTGGATAGGAGAGATCATCATATACTACGGTGCTGACTATAAACACGACTTTCATCCAGAATGACCACGAAAAGAGCGAGTTTACTCCCCTTGTGTCTGTCTCATGTCCCCCGCCTAACCGCTGCAGATTGCCTTTCGAGTCCATGGCACTGTGCAAGGTAACCTCGCCCTTGGTCTATCATTCCAGAGTTCGGAAGCTTACTGTTGCTACCGCAGGTGTCGGGTTCCGGTAGGACACGATATACTTCTCGTCTGAGTTGGCATTCCGGTTGATTGTGTAGGGACTTTACCCAGAAACACGCCACTGTCTACGGGCTTCATGGCTGGGTAAAAAATACCTCGGATGGACGGGTTGGTTATTTGTGTTCTGTTCTGTTGTCCTGTTAGTCGGCCATGCCCATACTTACTCTTATCAGGTAGAAGGCGAAGCCCAGGGCGAAGAGGAGACGCTGAAAAAGCTCCTCAAAGACATCGATAAGGGCCCTCGTCTGGCGCACGTAGTAAAGCTGGAAAAGAAAGAGGTGGCCGTCGAGGAAGGCGAGGATCATTTCGCCGTCAAACGGACGACGGATTCCACTTATGAGGTTGCTGCTTGATTATCTATGGACTGCGCATGAATTATGAATCTGTTTTAGCATCTATAATAAACCTAGTTTCAAGTATTCCTAGGATTAGTTATCATCTACAAAAATCCTGCCTTTGGTTAGAAAAATACAGAGGAAGACTAAATAAATCATATATCTATCATATTATATATAGATATAGATATATATATATATATGCCTTACTTACACATAAAGCTACCACTGTTCAATTTAATAGAAGAAATATCATATAAGGACCTCACTAACCATCACTATTCAATATGTCAATATATTAACTAGATAAACTCATTCATTATCATATACAACTATTCTATAATTTTGAAATATCTGTATGAGGCCTCACATCCCCCGAATCTAGTATCATGTTGATATCGTATCTATTCTCCGATAAGATTTCGGCTCAACTAAGCTTAGAAACCCCCCTTGCGTCTATCCCTGCCTTGCTTTCTCGGACTCAAGCCAATTATTCCCTCAAAGTACAGTAGAGGCTTGCAGAGCGCCTCCCATATCTGCAGGAAAGCCTCCTGAACGGTGTTTGGAATGTAGACAGGACCGTGTCTTCGTAGGAAGAGAGAGCCTTTGGGCCTCCTGGAAGCAGCCAGAAGATGGTTTCTATCAAAATGAGTTGAGACTAGAGAAACGGTGGATGATGCCTGAGGCAGAGGGCAGCACGTGCAGCTCGGGGGTTTCGACTTCGGGATTGTTTTTCTTGTTGGGATCGACGACGTCTTGTTCTCTTCGCCTCCACTATTTCCTCCACGCCGAGACATTAAGATTGAAGGCCAATCTGTTCGAGGAAATTCGGGCACCCCTAGCATGTGGAATTGATAATGGTCAGTTAATCGGCCTCGGGGGCAGAGTGTCGAGCGTTGGGGAGAGTTCTGCTCCGGGGTCAAGGCGAGACGGGCCAAGTGTTCATTCAGTCAGTGTTGCTCTGCTGGTATGCCTCCTTTCCGACCTCTGTTCAGCCAAGGAATGTATTCCTAATCCTCTCTTTTTCGAGGAGAGAGCGAGGTTTCATTCCCAGGGATTGGGCGGGACTCGACGCTGACCCTTGATTGCAGAGCTCGAGCCACACAACGCTCCAGGGAATGTCGGGTTCCCGCCCAGAACAGTCCATCTGCAGGAACCCACAGCGCGTGATACTGGGGGAGACTATTGGCGGCTCATCTAGGCCATTCTTTGAAACATTGGGTTCCTGCCAGGGAGCTCGTTTGTTTGTTTGCTCGGTGGGAATGGGCGGTACAGTCCACGCGCGCCGAGCATCGTGAACTGCAGATAAAAAGGCCTCAGAATGTCTTCTTTCGAAGCCTGGGGACCCGGACTCTTGAAATTTAGTACCGAAAAAAGTCATTCGTTCGCCCTGCTCGCTCCAGTCATTCTTTTCTCTCTCTTTCTCTCGTTAGACACCACCTTGGTTGTCGAAGCATTCATTTAACCCCTTATAATTGAAAATTCCAAGGAAATAATCGAAACACCAAGTCATCCGAAATGAAGCCTTTCATCGCCGGAATCCCTCTCGCCCTCTTTGTGGCCGCAATTCAGGCTTCAGCGGTCGAGGTGGAGGCTCAGGTCGCCACTGCGGACGAGAGACCCGGCGTGAACGCCCATGAAGCTCGCTCGTTTCCCTTCACAGGCTCCAAGGGTTCGGTCGACGAGGGGAACAACGTCATCGTACCGGTGATTATTCAAAAGCTGCCCGGTCAGACCCCCAAGTCGGGGAGCAATGTCTGGCAGGCTGCACCTTCCACCAATGCTTGGGCACCTGAGTCAACCACCACAGAGGTGTGGGAACCTGTCACAGAGACCGATCCCCCGAAGCCAGTCTCTACATGGCAGCCGGAACCCCAGCCGGAGACATGGGAGCCAGTGACCACATCGGAATGGAAACCGGCCCCGGAGCCTCAAACGTGGAAGCCGGAGCCGACCAATACTGTTGCGCCTGTATGGCAGCCAGAGCCCGAACCCACGACCTGGAAGCCGGAGCCGACCACTACTGCCCCAGTCGTCTGGCAACCGGAGCCTAAGCCCGAGACATGGAAGCCAGAACCGACAACGACGGCTGTTGCATGGCAGCCAGAGCCAGAGCCAGAGAACACATGGAAGCCGGAACCTACAACGACTGCCGCTCAGTGGGACCCCAAACCACCTGCTTCCACTTCCGAATGGAAGCCTGAGCCCACGACCACTGCCCACTGGGAACCGAAACCACCTGCTTCCACCTCCGAATGGAAGCCTGAGCCCACGACCACTGCCCACTGGGA